GATGGATGGAAAAACGACCCCAACCGGGAATTCCTGGCGGAAGATCATTGGGTGCGATTATGGGAGTATCATGGGACACTTGAATAAATCCTGGACATGCCATATTGTAACATCCTTTACCATTTATACCCTATCAAACCATATTTAATATCTTACATGTTATTTGATCAAGAGACTTTACCAGAAATAATCATAAGAAATTCATATCATAAGTAAAATTGTTTGCATGCACACAGCTTCCAAAACCCATAGTTCCAAACTTGTCTGTTGCCAAATACACTTGGATTTATCTGTAAAAGAAGAATTTGCAATACTTGAAGACTATATTACACATGTAGTTAAGAAATTATATTAGTGAAATCAAATATAATACCTACCATTGTGCCCACCGAGATAAAATTTATTTGATTGTTTAATCCATTGCCTATATATATTTGGGTATACGAAGCTTGATCTTTTTCAACGTTTACGTGATATGAATTAAAATCGGATTCTACACCAATGGACCATATGGACCAGCAAGTGACCTTACTCCAGCAATCTACCAAGAATTGATCATATTAAAGACTTCATACTTGAAATATATATATTATAAAATATGTTATTAGATCCTACATATTGAGTTGAAAATTTAAAATAAAAATTTAGCGTATTAAGAATTAGGATTGAGATAAGTGCTTACATGGGTTCCAGGACTATCAACTGATAGCGGATGAACAACGTGTTTTTCAGCAAAACGTTGTGAGTTTGTGATGAATTCTTTTGTATTTCTCAATATAGGAACACTTCCAATTGGACAATCTATGTTCATCTTATATGTATTGTTGTAACCAGTTTGATTCTTTAACTTGGTTCTTGAAACTGTTGGTTTCATCTTTTTAGAAGAATAAAGGATAGTCAAAATTTATTTGTTTGAAAAAAATATTTTATAAAAACAGAACTGTAAGACGTGAATTTCAAAAGTAACGCACCTGGATCTGGTGGGTGTTGAGCAAGGGATGATCAAGTCCTGGTTGCTTATAAATATCTATACAATCGTATGTTACATTTTCACTTATCTGCAAAAAAGAAAATTTATACAATTGTGTGAACTCAATCCATGATAGATTCGGTTAATGGAAAGGTAGCTTAAAATAACAGAAGGGTCTAGGGAGGATTTTGTTTTAACATTGACCTTGAAGGATCTGATGGGCACTTGACTTTGATCGGAACAAACTATGGCTGCCGATAACAAAAAAGTTAAAAGATTCATAACAAAGACCATCCTAATTGTTGTTGACATTTTATTAGTTTTGTTTCCTCAAGAATGAAAGCACTTTCTAATTTATATACATATTACAATATTTTTTAGCATTCAATTTGATATTGTATTTTTTATCTTATAAACATTTGACTGGAATTATTACTTGAATACCAAAAGTAACGGGCTCATATTATCAACAAAAAATATGGAAAGATCATTAAAACTCATCGTATTTTGACCAAAAACCAAAAGCAGATTGTAGTCAATGTGAAGAAGATACTTGCAATGATCAGCCAACTGATATAGTAGATGAGCGATGATCAGCCAACTGATTTTTTTTTTTTTTTTTTTTTTTGACAACAACAAAAGTTCCTAAACTCGTCCGCGATGATGATCAGCCAACTGATATAGTAGATGATTGTTTTTTTTTTCTCTAATAAATATCATATTCATATTATATTACGTACGTACATCAACCAAGTTCGGGTCAATATGTGACAATTGTTAATCGATGAACATGTGGATTTTTAAAGAAAAAGATATATTATTCGTAAATAAATTTGAAATGGGTTTGTGGAATAGTGGAAAGCCCATCTAATTGAAGATGACACAAACTATTGACAAGGAACGCTTATCCTAAATCGTAATTAAAATCCTAACCCTAATGTGATTAAAATAAGCATCCCAATGATTACATTATAAATACTAAAGTCGATTTCTTGAGAAAGAAACAATCAATAAATTAAAAGCTTTCAGATCACAATTGGACGTCGTTAGTGATGGATTCGGGATTGATCTTCTCAATCGTCATGGCCGTCTCTTTATGTATGGTTTTCATAGTAAGCTGCATAGTGCACATCATCTGGAAGCGTCGAGTAGGTCTTGAATCTCACTCGTGCGGACAAGAAGTACAATATGACGACGAGCTTGGTCTTTCTCATCATCCTAAACTCACCCAATGATTGATAGATTTCACGTTTGTTATTAGGGTTTCTCTTTACGATTTTGTTTTGTTTCATTAGTTTTTTTTCTTTCTAGTTTTGTTATTTACTTAGTGAGGGATTAACATTCGACGTAAATTTGATTAAACATCTTGTTTTTGGTGGCTTCGAGATGATAAAAACCTATACTAATCTGGATGCCTCCAAATCTTCACTTGGAATATACTTTTGTTGATTTGAATATATCAGTTATATGGCGCGTAACATAAATTAATGCCACGTTGTGTCTTTTTTTTCCCAACAACTTCTTCTCCTTTGTTCAAAAATAAAAAGCTGCTTCTCTTATAGTGCTGCTACCGCAATTGCATAGTCCATATGCTTTTAACACATTCTCGTATATTTTGCCTATTCAATGTTCTTGTTCTGTTAGGATAACATATTTGTTTTGGTCGAAGCCTCACTACTTAAGCGTATATATGATCGATCGGTACTTATTTACTTGAAAAATATGGTTTCGCTCTTGAAATTAGCAAGCTTAACACCAATTAATGCTAAGTTACAAACACAAATAGCTTAACTACAGTTAAATTTCCCAATTTAGTAAACAACACCAACAATTTAGAATACTTTTTTCTTCCATTCCAAAATCGGGGAGAAAATCAATACATTGGCAAACTCAAGTGAAATATGCATGTATACAACGATGCAAAGGAGTGGCTGACTTCACATGCTTATGATCATGACAATGGGATGGTGATGGGGACAAGACCGCCAGGCGGGTGGTTGAAATGTAACTATGATGGTTCTTTTAACAATGGTAGCAATAGTTCAAGAGCTGGTTGAATTATTCAAGACGAGAAAAGACTATATATGGGATTAGGGCATTGATTATAGCTATGCAAAATTGTTGGAGTCGAGGACATAAAAGACTGATTTTTGAAAGGAGATTGCAAACAACTAATGGAAAAAGCGTTTTGAAGATGTCATTTTTCACATCGACTAGGAGGCACTTAATTTTCGGAAGCTTAATTGGCTACGAGAAGTTTGGTTATGGAAAAAGCGTTTTGAAGATGTCATTTTCACATGGGTTCCAAGAGAAGGTAATCAATCCGCTGATACACTTGACTTTAGATCGGTCTTGCTTACGACATGTTTGGATTTGTTTTTCGACTCTGTACGGACTCTAGCCTTTCACAAGTATGAAGAGATATAGTTCCGGTAGTTTATAGATCTACAAGGTGATTTACCTGCACCTTGTGCGGGCAGTAGTTGTTTTCTTAAATTTCTATTTAATTACTGTAAATTCTGTAAAATTTTAGATTATGGTTGCGTAAATTGATAAATAGCTATGTTACATCCGTAAAATGTCATTCTTTTATCTCATTCAAATAAGCACTCTCAGTATACAACCTATATTCTTCATTCGAAAGATTGCAGCTCTTTTATTGATGTAACAACTTGTGATTGTTAATGAATTGACATTTCTTTAGCAAATTGTTGGTGTAAATCTTTACTGTATAAATAAGAATGAAAATCTTATCAAATAAACCAATCATAAAATCTATAATTAGAGAGCAACATAATGTGTAAATGATAATAAAATTTTGAATTCGAAACTCACATGATTCAACTATAACTTTTTCTGATCGTAACTCACAACTCATCTGAAATCAGCTGATTATGATTTTTTCCAATATTTGAAACTCTGTCAACGAACTTCCATTTATATGTAATAGCTTTCCGATATCTCCCAAGGCGAAGTTCTTGATCTGATCGGTGGACAATGTTAAGTCTGAAAATTAACAATATTTAAAACAAAACTCCGAAGACTCTTAATGGTACCAGCGCGGCTTTCATGTTGCTTTCAACAAATGTGACGAACAAAAGACCAAGCAACCTATTTTCATCTACCACAATTAGCCAAAAAAAGAGTTTAGTAAAAACACAAAGGCCAAAAGCACTATAGCAAAGCAACATCATTAAACGGACATCCGAAAGTTTTGATATAAAACTCATAATCTAACATGAAAATTCTCAAATTAAGTAAAAGAACATGGATGAAATCAAAATCGAAGAATAATGTTTCTGTAATTACTGAGATGCATTTAATCTGTAACTAAAACATGCTTTGGAATTTGTGAATAATCTGAATTCAATCCAAGGGTTTGGAGGATCGAGAAGATTGAACATTGGATTTACTATGGTTTCGAATATAAAGCAAGATGCCACCATGATTACTAGGATTTAGAACATAAAGCAAAGATGAAAAGCCTTATAACGCCTTGGGCCTTAAGCCCATTAGGATTTCGATTAAATTAGACTTTACAAGACGACACCGTATTCCTTTTCAAAATCAAAATGCGTAAGTCGTCGTCTTCCTTCTTAAAATTTGAATTGTGGGTATTTGGGTACTGAGAATCGAAGACGAGGATGCTCTGTTTCACTTCTTGCATCTATATTATCAATCATCGACTATTATAAATAGAATATATTTGTCTTGGTAACATTATACTTAGCTTAGAAACGATCAAATGCTTTATCTTCTTCATGCTTCTGCAGCTTAGTGAAGAAAACAGAGTCTTTGTGTAGAAAACAGAGACCTAAACAGTTGTTTTGCGATTTAGGGAGATAATTAGTCTTATGACTTCAATAATGCTTCGAACAGTTAAAGGTCTACAATAAACATGAAGAATGAGTTTGAATTTATTCCAAATACAATTTATTTCAGATTAATAATAAACAAGAACAACAACAATTCCTCATCAGTTGAGCTCCGTTTCCGCGGTTTGGGACGAAGGATCTTCCTTCTTCCAGTAATGCCAAAATTGGCGAACTCGATCTATGACGCAGCAGATGAAAAGAAGAAGAAGAAGGATAATGCAGACAATGAAGGTGATGATCACAATCTTGCGATTCACCTGAGGCTCATCAGGAAGTGGATCCATCTGCAGAGAAATCAGAGAGAGAGAGAGAGAAATGAAATTATACTCTACTGAAATTTTACTCGGCTTAAATTCTGAAATGACTACAACATGTTTGCTGATATTTATAGCTCGCACACTCATCATCACTCTCAAAGAGTCTATTGCTTAGACTCTTAGCTCACATGCTCAACCATCGCTCTACAGAGCTAAGAGTCTAAATATAAGCTCTGTCCGTTTAAAGCCATGATGTGGATTTGATTGACATTTTAACCCACTTTGCTTGGCTATCCTTAATTTAAGCTTACCAGATCTGTCTCTATCGGAGAGTGTTGCCAAAGTCTTTCTCTAACCATTGGAATTTGATTATGTTGCCTGTTTCTTGGATATTTGAACTTACTTTTTTTTTAGTGAAAAATGTTCTTTTCTGACAAACTTGCTTTTCAGGATATGTTGTTGATCATTCTGCTAGGTGCAGCAAACTGTTAACTTAACCACAGATGGGGAAAATCACCACACCATTATTGGTACAAACTACAAACTATGAATCTTGAGCAACTTGTGGTCTCTGGTTATGTGACTTATGCAATTAAGAGGAAGCAAAACAAGGGCAAATCAGACAAAATCTACTTGTTGGTATGTGATCTTGTGTTAATGGTCTTGCTTCGATTTTGTAGCAAAACACACAAACCTGGAAGCTCAACAGATGCAGTAAAAAATCAGGAGCTTAAGAGGTTTTAGGCCTTAAAAATATTGTTTTAAAAGTAAGTATGAATGCAGTTTGTTTCACATATCACTCTGCATATTATTCTCATCTGATTGGTCTCTTATTTTCAGTCCCTAAACCCAAGTCTAACCTTTCATAACAAGGACAGCTTTCATGGAGAGCAAGATTTAACTCTCTGAAATGCTTGCGAGTCAAGAAACAGCCTACGTGTTTATTTTATAAGTATATATAAAATTACAGGGTGGTCAAATGGTTGGTATATCAAACTTATATGTTAAATATGTATAATTCAAAGTCGAGTATTTGTTGTATCTGGACCTAAAACTTAAGCAAGGGTAAGTATCTTATTGCTTCTGTCTCAACTCCTGTCACTGAGGGGCTGCTAGTTCTTTATCAACAGATATCATTGCTCAAGGAAACTCCACTTTCCGTTTGGAGAGCGAGAGATTGATTGAGTCAGATCTTGGTTCTAATAAGTTTGCCTCATTGGCTTTACCGGAAGAAGAAGCAGATTCGTCGGATTCAGACAAGGAGTCAGATGAGACGGATTTTATGACACCTTCCGGGAAGAGAATCCTTCGAGACAGACCGGTTAAACCATCGACAAAGGCTAAAGAAATGAATTGGCAAATAACGGCTCGTGGACGTGGGAACCGTGGACGTGGAGGGTGTGGCTGAGTCTCATTTTCTTTAGCTTAAAGTATATCGGAGCGGAAGATTCGATATAATCTAGTTCATCTTTTGAACTCTAATCTTTATCTTTGCTTGTAACCGTTTTTCGGAAACTGCATGATTTGATCAAATCATGGTTTAATAAAATGTTACCTTAAAAAAAAAAAAAAAAAAAAAAGGTAAGTATCTTAAAGAATTTCCACCAAATACGGTGTTCAAATGTATATGTATACGGTTTAGTGGGTATTATGGTTTAGTCTCTTGTATTTTAAGAGCGACTGTGTTCTTCTCTTCACTCTTAATGGAACATGAATATGATATCTATGACAATATATACCAAAAACGTACTATATCAGTTGGCTAATCATCACTTATGAGATGTATCAACCAAGTATCTCCACATTTACTACAATATTTTTTTTTGGTTGGGTCAACCGTCAACACTCAACAGTCAACACATTGACTACAATCAATCCCCCCTCCAATTAAAATTCATGTAGGCTATAGTTTCTATATGTAAACGATTGAGTTTTAATGACCTTTCCATAAATTTCGTTAATAAATACATCCATAAACGATTGAGTTTTAATGATCTTTCCTTCATTCGCGTGATAATTCCAGTCAAATGTTTCTGTTTTTTTTTTTTTTTAAATCAAATATTAAATGCTAATTAACATTGTATTATTATGTATATAAATTACAAAGTGCTTTCATTTTTGGGGAAGCAAAACTAATAACATGTCAACAACAATTAGGATGGCCTTTGTTATGAATGTTTTGATTTTCTTGTTCTCAGCAGCCGTAGTTTGTTCCGATCAAAGTAAAGTGCCTCTCATATCCTTCAAGGTCAGTTTAAAAACAAAACTTGAAACACATTGCCTCTCTTCTGTTATTTTAAGCTATCTTTTCTGTAACCAAATATATCATGGATAGAGTTCACATCGTCTTTCTAATTATCGTTAACATATATTTTTTTGACAGATAAGTGAAAATGTAACATATGATTGCATAGATATTTATAAGCAATCAGGACTTGATCATCCTTTGCTCAAAACCCACAAAATTCAGGTGCACGGTTTTAGAAATTTCGTATCTTACAATTTTGCTTTTATAAAATAGTTATTTTGAAACACATATATTTTGACTGTACTTTATTCTTTTAAAAAGATGAAACCAACAGTTTCAAGAATTGAATTCAAGAATCAAACCGGCAACAATATTACATATAAGAAGAAAATAGGTTGTCCAAATGGAACGGTTCCTATATTGAGAAATATAAAAGAATTCATCACAAACTCACAACATTTCGCTGAAAAACACGTGCATCCGCTATCAGCTGAGAGTCCTGAAACTCATGTAAGCACTTATCTCAATTCTCCTAATTTATGATACGTCGGGTTTTTTTTTTTTTCATACATTGGATCTAGTAACAAATTTGTATATATATATATATATCTCAAGTATAAAGTTTTTAATATAATCTGTTTTTGGTAGATTGCCGGAGTAAGGACACATAATGGTCCATTTCATGGTGTAGAATCTTGGTTTAATGCATACAACATAAACGTTGGAAAAGATCAAGCATCATATAACCATATATATATAGGCAGTGGACTGAACAACGAGATCAGTTTTATCTCGGCAGGCTTAATGGTATGTATTTATCAAAAGAATTTGTTATATCTTAGTACGTTCATATATTTATTTCCCTAGATAGTATAGTTGAAAGTATTACAAATTCAATTTTTACAGATAAATCCAAGTATATTTGGTGATGGACGTGTTTGGACATTCGGGTTTTGGAAGGTGTGTGCAAGCAACCAATTTTACTTATGGTGTATTTTTTTTAATGATTATTTGTGGTCAAGTTTCTTGATCAAATAACATGTAAGATATTAAATATGAGTTGATAGGGTAAAAATGGGAAAGGATGTTATAATACGGCATGTCCAGGATTTGTTCAAGTGTCGCGTGATATTTCCATAGTCTCTCCCACTGATCTTAAGCCAGGCATGTCTGGTTGGATTCGTTTGTCTATCCATCAAGTAAACTCCTATTTTATTTATTTATTTATTTTTTTTTTTTTTTTTAAACAGCCATAAACTCCTAATTCTTATATATCTATTGTTCATGTCTTTATTTTTCGATCTTTAATATTGTAATTAGAAATCTAAAATTAACCATTTATAGTCAAAATAATCATATATATATATATATATATATTTAATTATTTAATTACTAATTTTTTTTATGTTTTTCAATTTCTACAAAAGGACAAAAATACAGGAAATTGGTGGCTTACACGACATAAAATGCCAAAAGGACCTAACGTGGATATCGGCTATTGGCCAAAAGAGTTATTTAACCTTTTCAATAATGGTGCAAATATAGTTGGAGTTGGTGGTGTGGTTCAGGCTTCACATTCTGGTTCGAGCCCTCTGATGGGTAATGGTAGATTTCCGAATAGCAATTACAGAGATTCAGGAGCTTTTACAAATATCGAAGTCTTAAATTCTAACTATGAGCAGCTTAAAATCAGTTCTTTTCCTATAGAGATATTGCTAGATAGTACCAAATGTTATGGATTAAAAATTGGTAAAGTAGCTTGGTATAAGAAGAGTACTCTCGGTTACTTCTTTATGTACGGTGGTCCGGGAGGAAATTCTTGTGGAATTTGACCTTTGCATGTATAATCTTTAAACTTGGTATGCCATAAAATAAATTTAAATTAATAAAATGCAAACTCATTTAGTTATTTTATTTACTTAAATTTTTTTTTTTGGAGAGACTACTTTTTTAGTTTAATTTATTTATTAAAAAGGGTAAGTCAAAAAGAGTATAAACAAAGGAAAAAAAAGCTCTTTCTTTTTCGAGATACATCGCCAAATCACGAGTCACCACCTCGCTCTGTGTCTCTTGGTTATATGATTCACCATAATGTGTAGCAAACTCGAAGCATCCATTTCCAAAAAAATCTGATCTCTCTCTCACTCTCCTCTCTTATACCATTTCTCATCTCTCTGTTCCTACGATCCGCATAACATGCATTCGCGTTTTCGAAATCGATTTTTAGTGTAATCGCGTATAATAATATCTGCGAATTCTGATCAATCGACGGAGTCTCTACAGAATCGTCATCTCTTTCGTTCAGATCGTTTCGTTTGTGCGTTTGAGATCGGAAAATGGTGGGTAACGACTGGGTGAACAGTTACCTGGAAGCGATCCTCGCCGCCGAGCCTGGGATCAGCGAATCCAAAGACTCCAAAGCTTCGCTGCTGCTAAGAGAGCGTGGCCATTTCAGCCCCACTCGTTATTTCGTTGAGGAGGTCATCACCGGCTTCGACGAGACCGATCTCCATCGCTCCTGGGTCCAGGTACACTGATCTCTCTCTCGATTCTAATGCTCTCCTCGAAATCTCACGTTGTTGTTGAGAATTTCGATTGATTTTTTTTCCCCAGGCTGCTGCAACGAGAAGCCCTCAAGAGCGAAATACGAGGTTGGAGAATTTGTGTTGGAGGATTTGGAATCTGGCTCGCCAGAAGAAGCAGGTTTTGATATATTTCTTCATACTACTGTTTGATCGGATCAATAATAATATGTATCAAGGATCATGAGATTTGTTTCAATTTTGATTTTTGAGCACATTTTTGGGTTTACTTAGGTTGCAGGAAAGTATGCTAAGCGTAAAGCTAAACGTCATCTGGAGCGAGAGAGAGCACGACTGGAGGCAACTGCGGATATGTCAGAGGACTTATCAGAAGGAGAGAAAGCAGACGTGCCTGGTGAGATTCAAACGCCTAGTGAGAGCACCAAAGGAAGAATGTCTCGGATCAGCTCTGTTGATGTGTTTGAGAATTGGTTTGCTCAGCACAAAGAAAAGAAGCTTTACATCGTGTTGATAAGGTACATTTATCACTTGAGTTGAAATTTTCAACCATGTTCATGAATCCTGACGAACATTGGAAGCAAAATGTTAATTCTTGCAGTCTTCACGGACTGATACGTGGTGAAAACATGGAGCTTGGTCGAGATTCTGATACTGGAGGCCAGGTTTGCTTTTTGCTCTTTCTACTCTGTTATATTCATATTGTAGCTGTTGGTTTCACAGTGTTTAACAATAATGGCAAACAGGTGAAGTATGTTGTGGAGCTTGCAAGGGCTTTAGGATCAATGCCTGGAGTCTATAGGGTTGATTTGTTGACCAGGCAGGTATCAGCACCAGATGTTGACTGGAGCTATGCTGAGCCGTCTGAGATGCTTAACCCTCTGGACACAGAAGCCACAGATGAGGATCATGGAGAGAGTAGTGGAGCTTATATAATTCGTATACCATTTGGTCCAAAAGATAAATACTTGGAGAAGGAGCTTCTCTGGCCTCATATCTCCGAGTTTGTTGACAGGGCGCTAAGCCATGTCATGCAGATGTCTAAAGCTCTGAGTGAGCATATCGGTGGTGGACAACCTGTGTGGCCTGTTGCTATTCACGGGCACTATGCAGATGCTGGAGACTCCACCGCGCTTCTCTCTGGGGCTTTGAATGTACCAATGGTTTTCACTGGACATTCTCTTGGTCGTGATAAGCTGGAGCAACTCCTTAAGCAAGGAAGGCCAAAAGAAGAGATCAATTCTAATTATAAGATAATGAGGCGGATTGAAGCAGAGGAGCTATCCGTTGATGCCTCTGAAATTATCATTACTAGTACAAGGCAAGAGATTGAAGAGCAGTGGCGTCTTTATGATGGTTTTGATCCGGTTTTGGAGAGGAAGCTCAGAGCTAGGACGAAAAGAGGTGTGAACTGTCATGGCAGATTTATGCCTCGCATGGTTGTAAGTATCATCTTCATCCTCCTGTCTTCTAATTTTTTTTCTAGAAAAATATTTGTGGAGATTAATGGCGCTTTACTGTGTGAATCTAGGTGATTCCTCCAGGTATGGAGTTTCATCACATTGTACCACATGATGTGGATACAGAGGGGGAAGGATCTAGAGATGACGAAAATCCACAATCTGCTGATCCACCAATTTGGTCTGAGGTTAGACATTTTGCCTTTCATCACACGTTTACGTATTACTGTTCTGCAAGTTATTTCAGTGTTACCTACAATATAGTTATTTACTGTAAAATCTTCATTTGGGCAGATTATGCGTTTCTTTTCTAACCCACGCAAGCCTATGATACTTGCTCTTGCTCGGCCAGACCCTAAGAAAAACTTGGTGACTCTAGTCAAGGCCTTTGGAGAATGTCGTCCATTAAGGGAACTTGCTAACCTTGTAGGTTCCTTATCTTGTTCTTCTTAGTTAAAGCGCATATATGATCCGCTGTTAGTTTTCATGGGAGATATTTCACCTTTTGTACTGTTTTTTAATGTTTCTCTTTCACTGCAGACATTGATAATGGGAAACCGAGATGATATTGATGAATTGTCTGGCACTAATGCCTCGGTGCTGCTTTCAATTCTGAAACTGATAGACAAGTACGATCTTTACGGCCAAGTGGCAATGCCTAAACATCACAAACAGTCTGATGTGCCAGAGATTTACCGCTTAGGAGTCAAAACAAAAGTAAGGTTCTAGACTCATTTCAAATACAACTCTGGACTGTTACCTTCCTCTTAGAGCTCATTATGTCATAAAGTTTCCCTCTTCATTCTCTTGACCCTTTTTAATTGGTTTGGTTTCTCAAATTTAAACTTCCCTGATTATTATTACATTAAGCGAACAAACATTTTCCTCAAAACTACTGTAATGTATATATAGGATGTTTTAGCTTGTACTTCTGCAGCTGTTACTGCAAAGCAGGTCGTTGATCCATCTTATCTCAAACCATTTTCTCAGGGAGTTTTTATTAATCCAGCTGTGATCGAACCATTTGGACTGACCCTCATTGAGGTAAATGTCTCTGTTTTCTCTTAAATGCTCTGTTCTTATGTCATGTTATCTTATAACCAAGCCATGTGGTGTCTAACAGGCAGCAGCTCATGGTTTGCCCATCGTTGCAACCAAAAACGGAGGTCCCGTCGACATTCACCGGGTTCGTATCTCCCCATAAAACAGAATCCTTATCTATATTAGTTCCATGATATAATCCTTATTGATGAAATGGGCTAACTATTTGACAGGTTCTTGACAATGGTCTTTTAGTTGACCCTCATGATCAGCAAGCTATAGCTGATGCTCTCCTGAAACTTGTCTCAGACAAAAATCTCTGGGGAAGATGCAGACAGAACGGCCTCAAAAACATACACCTGTTTTCTTGGCCAGAGCACTGCAAAACCTACTTGTCTCGCATTGCAGCGTGCAAGCAAAGGCATCCTCAGTGGCAGAGAATCGACTTTGACAACTCTGACGCTGATTCACCTGGTGGCTCCCTCAGAGACATTCAGGATATCTCTCTGAACCTAAAACTTTCCCTAGACGGAGAGAAAGGAGAAGGTAAGAGTACCAATCTAGACGCTGAAGAGAGTTCCGCTGAACGAAAAGCAAATCTAGAGACAGCTGTTACAACGCTAGCACAAAAGAACACTTCCACAGAGAAAGTCGACAGCAGCGGCAAGATCCCAACTCTGAAAAGAAGAAAGTATATCTTTGTTATCTCCGTGGACTGCGAACAAGCCTCGGATCTTCTTGAAGTAGTTAAAACCGTTATTGATGTGGCGGGGAAAAGCGGTTCTTCGATAGGATTCATTCTCTCAACCTCAATGACTGTATCCGAGACTCACTCCACAATAATTTCAGGTGGCTTAAACCCTCAAGATTTCGATGCTGTGATCTGCAACAGCGGAAGCGAGCTCTACTTCACGTCCTCTGCTTCTGACGACAAGACCAAACTACCTTACGCGCTAGACTCGGATTACCATTCACACATAGAGTACAGGTGGGGAGGAGAGAGCCTGAGAAAGACTCTGGTCCGTTGGATTAGTTCTGTACACGAGAAGAAGAAGATGAAAAATGAAGGACAGATTCTAACGGAAGACGAATCTTCCTCATCTAAATATTGCTTATCTTTCAAAGTCAAAGACCCCTCTCAGGTACCACCAATGAAGGAGCTGAGGAAGTTGATGAGAATTCAGGCTTTGCGTTGCAATGCAGTTTACTGCAAAGGAGGATCCAAGATCAACGTAATCCCTGTCCTTGCTTCACGATCTCAAGCCCTCAGGTATCTTCTTCAACAAAAAACAATCAAGATCATCTAGAATCTCTCTCATTTGTGATCTTATAACAACACTAAAAGAACCAATCGATCTCTGGTTTAATTTGTACAGGTATTTGCTGGTGAGGTGGGGAGTGGATTTATCAAAGATGGTGGTGTTCGTGGGAGATAGTGGAGACACGGACTACGAAGGGTTGCTAGGAGGAGTGCACAAAACAGTCATACTCAAAGGTGTAACGAGTGATGCAGCCGCGCGTGTGCTTCATGGAAACAGAAGCTATCCACTAGAGGACGTGACTGATCCAGTTAACAGTCCCAATATCACCGAAGCAGACCAATGTGGTGGTGACTCCATTAAGGCTGCCCTTGAGAAGCTTGGCATCAATCTCGTCAAAACATGAGAATGAGGATGAAAAAAAATGATATAATAAGACGTAAGCTACTTTTATTCCTTTAGTTTTTGTTTTAATTAGATATTTTTAATTATTAATTATTTATTTGTAATTCGGATTATAATCTCATAGAATAATGTTTCTATTAATAAAAGGAAATAAGAATATTTGGCGTTGAAGGTAAAATGAATATCTTCTCCTTAAGGGCTGCGTTAATTAGCTCTTCTTTTGAAAGTAAATCACGGAAAAAAGGTCGGTATGATTTGATCTTGATACGTTGAGTAGAGAGTTTGGAAGTAGGATTATCATTTTGTTTATCTACACGATCAAATTCTCTTTGCCGAGAAAAGAAGAAACAAATAAACAAAAGCATGGAGACTCTTAATTATGGCCGCTGGTCGGAGCTCCCTACGGACATGTTGACATATGTGTTGGAACGTTTGAATTTTGTGGATTTCAAGCGTTCTAAGTTGGTGTGTACAAATTGGTATTTGTGCTCGAAACAAACGGTGCGGGCAAAATACGGATCTCCATTGCTGATGCTGTCTCTAGAAGAGGATGGTTGCGTGCTGTACAATCCAGACGAAGATAGGGTTTACGAGACCACGAAGAGAGACTTTTCAGGGATACGATTCCTTGCAAACTCAGGTAACTGGTTCCTGGTCCTAGATTCTCGATCCAATCTCTATATTATAGATGTGTTCAGCGATAAGAGGATCGATCTTCCACCTCTAGAGTCATTCAAGGGTGGTCGTTTTAGACTCAAGCAAGTAGGAGATAAAGAATTCAAAAAGGATTTACCTAATGGTATTGGTACCTACTGTGTCACTGAGAGTTGCGAAAATCTGAGAGGTGTTTTATGGGTAGACGAGAAGAAGGAAGAGTACATTGCTGTGTGGTGTTTTGACACATTTTTAGCCTTTTGCAAGAACGGGCAAGATTATTACCGCGAGATTCCAAGAGACTGGGAGTTAGATTGCGTATCTGATATGGTACTCAAAGGTTACATGCTTTACGTCCTTACGACCAGCGACAACATTCTACTCCTGGATTTGTCTGGACAAGATGGTTTCAAGGATGTGTCTACGAGTGATAAATTACCAATGTCTTTTATTGATTTTATACTATGGCGCAATGGTGACGCAGCCACATGTGATAGCAACAACATTGCTGTTACAACATCAGGAGAGATTTTGTTGGTACATAGCATCCTTTACAAGGCAACAGGGAAGAGGATCTTCCGTGTCTACAAGACGCATCCGGATGACACCAACCCTGTTAAGGTTGATTCTCTAGGTGACGAGGCCCTGCTTGTGGATTTGGGTATCACCGTCCCTGCTGATCATACCCTTGGTATCGAGCCAAACTCCATCTATTTCACCCGTGGTGACCGTTTCCGTAACCGTGACCGTAACCCTAACCCGATACCTTCATCCCCGGTCGACATCTGTGTCTATAATCTCACTTCAAAGACCTCTAAATGCTTCCCGGATCTCTCTAACTTAAAGCTCAAGGAAGCTCGATGGTTTTTCCCGTCTTGATTTGTTTCTTTCTTTGCATTCATTTGGTGTTCTTGAGAGGTTTCCATACATTTTTTTCTTTCCTTCTCTCGTGTTATTTTTCTCTTTATTACTATGTATTTGTCGTCTTTGAAAACCTTTTTTTTGGACTTGAAGGATCTTAGTTAGCAGTCTTGACATGGTGAATGGAAAAATCACAAATCAAGTTATCTCTTGATAGAAACTCATGAACACGTTGCCTGCACTCCGCATCGCTGTCGCAACTAATATCTCGACTTTGCAGATTAATGTTGAGCTACTGGCCTACTGCTAAACAAATAGAAAGTCTCTTCCCTTAAAGTCGATATATTAAGAGTATTTATTTTTTGGTTTTCATTTTTCATTTTTTTTTTACAAATGACAGGGTTAGTTTTGTATTTCATAGGTGATTGACTGATTGGATTTTTGCAATGTTAAATTTGCGTAATCGTTTTTGTTGTTAGTTTCATACACAACACTCATAAATATTTTGAGGATTGGATACTACTATTGAGGTGATTGGATTTTTGCAATGTTTGAATTGCAGAACCATTTTTGTTTGTTTTTAATTTAGTAAATCAAGTTACTCCAAAACAACTAGCTAGAAAACACTACTATTGAGGTGACTGGATTTTTGCAATGTTTAAATTGCATAACCATTTTTGTTTGTTTTTAATTTAGTAAATCAAGTTACTCCAAAACAACTAGCTAGAAAACACTACTATTGAGGTGACTGGATTTTTGCAATGTTTAAATTGCATAACCATTTTTGTTTGTTTTTAATTTAGTAAATCAAGTTACTCCAAAACAACTAGCTAGAAAACACTACTATTGAGGTGACTGGATTTTTGCAATGTTTAAATTGCATAACCATTTTTGTTTGTTTTTAATTTAGTAAATCAAGTTACTCCAAAACAACTAGCTAGAAAACACTACTATTGAGGTGACTGGATTTTTGCAATGTTTAAATTGCATAACCATTTTTGTTTGTTTTTAATTTAGTAAATCAAGTTACTCTAAAACAACTAGAAAACACTACTATTGAGGGGACTGGATTTTTGCTATGTTTAAATTGCATAACCATTTTTGTTTGTTTTTAATTTAGTAAATCATCCAAAAACACTACTACTAACTAAGTCTTTCTAAAAAAACAAAAGATACAGCATCACAGATCACACATCTAATTAAATAGTTTTATAACCTTTTTTCTATCTTATCAATAAAATGTTAAGAAATAAAAAATAGACACACTCTCTTTTCTTCTTAATTATTTCATATTTTAAATAATATTTCAAAAATATTTTAAATAGACTTATTAAAATATATAAATCACTGAATCCGAGAGCATAAAGTAATTTAAAGAGGGTTTTATTCTGGATCGTAGGCAAAGTGTTGTCACTAGTACTAGGTTACAGAGATAACTATTTTAGTAATGCCATGGAATGGTCCAAACTTCTCTTAAAATTTAAAATTCCATTGATTTAAATAAAATATTGTAGTATATGTCATGGATTTCTTTTCCTCTAAAGGTTTGATCTCTACAAAGATGATTAAACACTTCAAAGGGTAGAAAATCGGTAGAAATGGTATTAATTAATTTTTTTTTCTGTCTTAATGTTTATATACAGTGTATATGTTAATCACAAATTACAGCACATATTAGATGATTTATGCGAATCGGTGTTTATATTTATATAACTCTAAACGCTCTTTCGCTTTTTCAAAAAACTCCATTAACCATAACAAAAACAAACTTGCGAACTTTCCCTCTCTCCGCGCATTTCCATTTCGTCACAGCAGAGAGAGTCTCACTCTTTTTATTTTCTCTTTCTCTCTCTTAATTTTCCCGGGAAAGCATTTTCTCGGAAAAAATCAAACGGATCATTTTCTAGTTCGCTGAAGAAGAAGAGAATGATGGACAAGTTTCAGTACAGATACACGAGCTTCGGTTTCGTGACGATCTGCATCGGATCGATCGCGCTTGTTTGTTTGATCTCCCGAATTTCAACTTCCTTCTTCGACTATTCTCTTCAGAAATTCGAATTCTCGTTCCCAGAAAGTGAGCTCCGGAGAAGCGTCTACACTTCCGGAGATGAAAACAGAGTCGTTGATTCTCGTCACGTCTCTCAACAGATCCTCGCCGTCAAATCAAGCAATTCCAGTGTAAGTGTTACTTCGTCTCTCTCTCCTATCTCCGATCAAATTCAATTTACACTGCTGAGAAATCGATTTTTCAAGTTTTTTTCCCCGAAACGGAAATTTGAATCATCGCGTCCCCTGGGTGATTTCATCGCTGATCTCAAAATTTGAACTGAGAATTTCTCGTCATCACATTCCGTTTGCTTTTCATGAATTCGGCAATTTCGAAATTGATTCCAGAATCTGATGATCCCTCGTCTCCGAATCAGGAATTTCGCTTTAACATGTGAATTGTCGTCTCTTTGAATCAGTTGCAGAGTAAACCGAAAAAGCTAAGCCGGAGAAAAATGGTGGAACAAGGACTGGGGAAAGCAAGAGCTTCGATTCGCAAAGCAGCTTCTAATCGCAACGTTACATTGTTCAACATCGACCTCCCAAACCCAGAAGTCTATCGTAATCCATCAGCTTTGCATCGGTAAGTGATGTTCATCATCCAATTTTAAAATTATTAAATTAAATTAGATTCCAAAAGTTTTGCTTTAAAGTGATTGTGCACGGCTAATTCTCTGGTTATGCGTATATTTTACTATAGGATAAAAACAAAGATAAAAAAAAAGTATTCTTCTAATTGACGTTAACGAGTCGATACATTTGAGGCAAACTAAACTCCTTTTTTTTTTTTTTTTTAATTCGGAATTTAATACACTCACACACACCACTAGTTTTGTATCATACGCTCTGAAAAAGCTACACACTTACTTATTATTCATGATGAACATTTGCTTTATTTCCTTGTACACTAAAACAAGATCATGATTCTGAGAGAAATTCTTCCACAAGCAATCGATTTACTGAGATTATAGGATATGCTATTGTAATTAAATGAGCCAGTCTATAGAGAATAAAGTCCTAGGCGGTGGAATTAAGCCAAAGTAGTCTGCAGCGAATTAAGGCCCAGTTATGTGTCATTTTCATGAAATTCGTCATTTCTTTACACATTTGGCATTTATCAGATTACGGCTCATTCGCTATAGCATATGGTTACACTTTAATTTCTTGTCTTATATTAATTGTAATGGTCCATTATCACTTTTAGTCAACTAAAATCACCTACCAAGTGTCACGTAGCTGCAGTGGAGTTTTACTAAAAATGATTAGCTACTAAAACAATGATTAGTGATTCTTTTTGTTTTGGTTTTGCAGGAGTTACTTGGAAATGGAGAGGAGGTTTAAGGTGTATGTATACGAGGAAGGAGAGCGACCGTTAGTTCACGACGGACCGTGCAAGAGCGTGTACGCCGTCGAAGGCAGATTCATAATGGAGATGGAGAAAGGGAAGACGAAGTTTCGTACTTACGATCCAAACCAAGCTCACGTCTACTTCTTGCCCTTTAGTGTCACTTGGCTGGTCAAATACTTGTACGAAGGCAATGCAGACGCAGGGCCTTTGAGAACGTTTGCTTCTGATTACATCAGATTAGTCTCCACTAATCATCCTTTCTGGAATCGAACCAGTGGAGCTGATCACTTCATGCTTGCCTGTCACGACTGGGTAATTACTAATTAATTAAACATTTCATCATCTTTTAAATTTTTTGCTCTGCTTTATGGGTTTTGTTTAACTAATGTAGGGACCTCTCACTTCACAAGCCAATGCTGATCTCTTCAACAAGTCGATTCGTGTGATGTGTAATGCTAATTCATCAGAAAGGTTTAACCCTATCAAAGACGTGACGCTCCCTGAGATCAAACTCTTCGGCGGTGAAGTAGACAGCAAGCTCAGGGTATCTAAATCTCTAATGGCTTCACCGAGGCCGTACTTAGGGTTCTTCGCAGGTGGAGTCCACGGACCTATCCGACCGATTCTTTTGGAGCATTGGAAACAGCGTGACCCGGAAATGCCTGTATACGAGTACCTTCCTAAAGACTTGAACTACTACGACTTCATGAGAAGCTCCAAGTTCTGTTTCTGTCCCAGTGGCTATGAGGTTGCGAGCCCTAGAGTCACCGAAGCTATGTACGCCGAGTGCATTCCCGTGATTATCTCTGTTAACTTCGTGTTGCCGTTTAGTGATGTGCTTCGCTGGGAGAGTTTCTCTGTGATAGTCGACGTTTCGGAGATTCCGAGGTTGAAGGAGATTCTGATGTCGATCTCCGACGAGAAATACGAACGGCTTAAACGGAACTTGCGGTACGTGAGGAGGCATTTCGAGCTCAACGATCCGCCTCAGAGGTTTGATGCTTTTCACATGATCCTTCACTCCATTTGGCTACGTAGACTTAACTTGAAGCTTACGTAAGGAAGAAGACTCGTAGGTCATATAAAAAAAACATTTGGTTAGTTTTTTTGGTTAAGTCAAACCTCAGAAGTGTAGTACCTTAAGAGTCAAGATATATAGTGGAGAGTGTTATTATTACTAAATGAAATGAATGGTGAATTATTGCAACTTTCTAATCAACAGAGCAAGTAATGTAAAAGATCTATATCTTTATACTATACCAAAGTACTAACTATCAACAATCATTTGGTTGGGACGAAGTTGTGAGAAAGGCGTTCGATCTGTGACCGTAGGATCTCACCGAGCGAGAAACGGTGGGGTGGCTGCGGTTGCGGTGCGGCTGAGACCGGCGGTGGTTCATGCGACGCAATTGCAACTCTGTATTTGGCATTGTCTTCATTCTTGACTTCGAGATGGATCGGTCTCATCTCTTTCTTCACTGATTCCACAAACTCCATATCGATTTTGTTGCCGGAGATATCTCTGACGTAGAAAGCGTTGAGCGAGTTCTGGCCTTGCGTCTCCACGTCTGCACGGACGACGGTCAAGCCGTTCTCACGGAGGACACGAGATATGTCAGAGAGTAAGCCTACTCTGTTCTCTGCGCATAACTCCAACTTCAACCCCTGCATTTAGCCACACACCACACACCCAAATTGTTTACCATTCTTAACAAGAATCCAACAGTTTGGTGAATCTTCCTCTAAATTCTTCTGTCTGAGACATCTCAAAGTTGGGAATTGTGGTTAACAACACATACAGAAACGTTACCTCGCAAACCCGTCGTTCGATCGCAGCTTCTAAGCATTTGACCACTCGTTCTTTCTCGCCTTCCGTGTTCAATGCTCGTCCATCTATGTGTCTTATGAAGTATTCCTACAAGTTTAAAACCCAAGACATAAACATCGAAACCCTAAAAGAGTCTAATAATTTCAAGGAAGCTTTTACATTCTAGGCCTACCTGAAAAGCATCAGCTCCATCAGAGCGGAGAGCAGCGTGGAAGATAACGTATTGCATATCAACCAAAGTGCAGATTGTATCAAACATGAGCCTTCTTCGATCCTTAGACTTCACTGTCACTATTGAATAGCCTCTCTCTTCGCAATTCCCAATCGAAACCATCGTCGTCTTCCTATCACAGTACTCCAACTTTGACGACAGTAGTGACAACGATGAAGGTCCACAGAAAGGTTCGTCAAAGTCTCTCACAGATAGCATTAGCTGATGCAACCGTCTCTCCACGTTGGAATTCATACAGCCTTTACCTTGTCCAGCAAGAAACCCATCCATCTCGTTCTCCTTGTGACCCACGTGTGTAGAGTTTGAAGCTGGATCCGTTGTGGCACGGATCACAGTACTGAGGTGGTCCTCGATGGAAGCCAAGCGGCTCGGGTCATCGATGGGAGCGTGAGTATTGTCGTCAGAGACATAGGCAATGCAAGCCAAACGAGCGTTGTGGCTCCAAGCATGAGCTTCTAAGACGTTGCAATGCAAGTCGGCGAAAGCAGCGAATATCTCTGAGAAGAGTCCCGGTCTGTCTGTCCCGGTCATCTCTATCGCTGTGTGCTCACCGTGATCAAGCAATGGAGGCTCCAAAGAGTTACTGTTTGCATTGTTGATCAGCTCGCTGGCCTTTACAGAATCAGACTCTCGCCTACTCGTACCAATGGCCTACATTATGAGTACATATTTCTAGTCGTAAGTACACTCAAATCTCAAATCAAACATATACAGTACATGGTTTATTCAGAGATACAAAGTTTAGAACAAACATGTTGGATGTGGTTGATGACGCTTTTATCAGTGAGTTTATTGCCATGCTCGTCTTTAACATGGAAAACTGCATACAAGTTTAAGTTTTACAAGTGTACTAATCTGAATTATATAAACAGAGTAAGAGAAATGAGAAATGTGGATATATATATACACGCACATACCATCCATGAACCATCCACCATCGGAAGAGATGTAACTCTTTATAATGATGAGATTCATGTCTGTCAAGATTTGCACCACTTCTAGAAGAAGTCCTTGTTTGTTCTCACTATTCACCTTCAATATCAACCATTTCACATTATAGATTACACCGAAATCGGATATTCACAATGGAATCAGAAAACGCAAGAACAAACTGTCTGCAACACGAGTTTGCGTCCAAGAACACCACTGTATCCAATTTGTTACCCTAAGTTATTAAAATCTCTTTCAATCTTGTGTGCGTACCTTCACAACGGTGCAATCTTGTATGCTGTCATTATCAATGTAGACCCTGCATCTGTAAATTACACACGCAAAAAAAGTAGCAAGATGATCAAATGTATACGAATCAGCGTTGTTCAAAGATTCTATAGCAGAGAAAGAGAGAAAAGAAGCTTACGGTGGTCCATATACGCGTTCACCAAGATTCTCGAAATCAGGATCAAAGTAAGGCCAACAAACTTTCTGCATTGTTTCCACCGCAAGATCTGTGATTCCTGTATTAGTATTAGGACAAAAGATTCAAGAAGAAGGGAGAGGAAACGATTCTCCTTCTAACCAATATAGGCAGAGATTGTGTTTCCACAGATATGTGTTTTGGTTTTTCGTGTAGGTAAGAAGTTTGATTTTTTAGACAGAGGAGGCGATGAAAGAAGAAGAGATCTCCACCTTCTAATACAGAGGATTCTACAAGATAGTCATTTACTAAGTTTAGCTAAGGGATTAGTGTGTTATAACGTGTGGAATAAGTTAGTTTCTAGGAGAAGATAAAACTTATTGAGAAATTCTATTATAGATACAAACTACAAGGATAATGACAAAAAATCATCCTAGAATTGATTACATATATAGTGTAGAGTAGCAGTATAGGTCAAGAACTTGTCAAAGTCAAATACAAGAAATGGTAAAGAGACTCAGTGAAAAATAAGGTGTTCCTTGTCTCTCTCTTCATTATTTGCTAACCTCCACATGTTTTCCTAAGTTTTTGGAGAAATTAAAGTTACAAAATCTCTGTTTGTAACGATACTAAATCACGTGAATAATTTAGAAACCACATACACAAGAACGTGTGATCTCTTTATCCTTATCATTCGGCTTTGAAACGATCTTCCAAATTCACTACAAATTGCAAATTTCACCCATAATAAGATTTAGTATATACCACAAAGTTGCATTACTACTTTAATATTCAAATATCTACACACACACACACAGGTCCAAAAATGGTTACTACATTCGTTGCTAACGAGTTTAAGATGGAAACAATATTCACACACAGGTCCAAAAATGCCACCACTCATGCTTATGATAGAAGCTCCAGTAAAAGCTAGAAACCAAAACCGTATTCATAGGAATCTGAACATTCTTTCAAATTATAACGATGAAATCAAAATGATTACTTTCAAACAAACATTGAGGGGTGTATGTAGACTTAAGAACTGACTACTCTAATTTTAAAGTCATTACAAAAAGCAAATTCACTCTCAAAACCTAATACTAAAAAGAAGCCATGCACATAAAGGGACATAGCTCATATCACATAACTGAAGATAATTCAAGAAAATTCAAGTGGAAGGGAGAGGCAGAATGAAACCAGTGTATCCTTACTTGAAGCATAAAGGAAGTATTGATCTGAGCCAAATGGATACCATTGCAACGCACAAAGTCACTGCTTGTATGTATACAAGTATAAGAACAATCCTGCACCAGGAAGAAAAAAAACAAAACTTTTGAGCAAAAAAGTGTATGTGATTGCAAACAAGTAAAGAGAAACCACTTGATGGGTTATCAAGTAAGAGATTAGTGGAGATATAAGTCTTTAATTTCGTAATAGAGGGTCACAGTTTTGAGCTTGATCCGAATCAATTTCACATCTTTGATGATGAAAATCTTACAGTAACGCGAGTGGAAGATTTCCATCATAAAAAAAAAGTGAAATTGCTTTATAATCGAATCAAATTTAGGCATCCAAAACCCTTGTCAGCAAAATTTGATGTCTTGTGAGAATCATAACATCGCCATCAAACTTCAGCTTATAGTAGAAAACAGAAACATCATTTCTTGAATCAATTGACGAATTCTTAAAGGTAAAATTGTTATACAATACATCAACGCCTAAAAATCTCTTTCCCAAACATAATTCAGCTGAAACCGAATAAAAAGGCAAAGCAAGTGCTCGAATCGAAAATAGAAACAGTAGAAATTAAGCAGTGAAAACTCAAAACAATCACCTAAACATGTAGAACCAAACTCAATATCTGACTCGCCCATTGAGCTCGCACTAACCTCAGCTAAAACCACCAGTTCCATGTGCCACCAAAAAAAAAAATCCAAATTTGACCAGTCAAACGACTAACTTGGATGATTTCCGACTGTAATCTTCTGGCACGAACTGTGATTTTGAATATGAGAACTCGGAGGAATTCTACGTAGGATTTACAGGAGAAGCTGCTTGTTTCCAAGTGACGACGGAAGTGAATTCTGAAAGATGAAGCCACACCGATTAACTTTCTTGTGGACTCAATGTTTGTTGGGCTTAAAAATCACAATGCTCGGCCCATTAGTGATAATTTTAGTTAACTACAATATGTCAAATCGATTAGATGTCGAAGTATTTGTTGTACTCGTTGTATAATTTTTCTTTTTATTTAATATAAACCACAATATAATAAACTTAAATTCAAATAACACAACAACAAAAATTATTTTCTTACCAACTTTAGATTCTCCTTTTAGTAATTTATAAGTTAAGATCGTTTATGGTTAAACACGTTGTGTAACATAGGTTTCAATGATAACTGTTAAAATCAAAAGTTAAGATGATAAAATGTGACTAAAGTATCGCAAAAGAGTATGTAACAAGAACCAAGGATCACGTTTTGGTAACCAGATGGACCATAATAGACCGCAAAAACAAATAAAGCTTCTCACCATACAAACAATGTGAAACCCATACCATAAAATTTTCATTTCTTCTTATTTTTTTGTCAGAAAAACGAAAGTATTGTCACAAAATTTTAAACGGAAAGGTTTTGACTCACTGTTACATAACTGAAACTTATGCGACGAGATTGTAACATTTGACATAAAAAATGTTGGCTTTGTATTTCATTCTACTCGTTTGCGTGCCCTTGGCCGTCCTCATGACAATTACGGCTCCCCGACTAGCCATCACTGTTGCCGTTACTCAGCCGGCTTTCTTAGTTATACAAAATTCCAATAATACCGTAATAACTTCTCAGCCACTAGATCACGATGATTCTCTCCTTCGCCAAGCTTCTAAAGTAGACCCAAACCCACCACCTAAACTACCTAAAAAACTCGCTTTCATGTTCTTGACAACAACTTCTCTTCCTTTGGCACCGGTTTGGGAGCTTTTCTTCAACCAAACCTCTCATCACAAGTCTCTCTACAATGTCTACGTCCATGTAGACCCGACTCAAAAACACGAACCGGGTTTGTTCGGCACGTTTCATAACCGGATCATACCATCCTCAAAACCGGCTTACCGGCACACTCCGACACTCATCTCCGCCGCGCGTCGTTTACTCGCTCACGCGCTTCTCGATGACCCGTCAAACTACATGTTCATCCTTCTCTCTCCTTCTTGCATTCCACTTCATAACTTCAACTTTACCTACAAAACACTTGTCTCCTCCACAAAGAGCTTCATCGAAATCCTCAAGAACGAGCCGGGCTGGTACGATAGGTGGGCGGCTCGTGGACCTTACGCGATGCTCCCTGAGGTTCCACCGGAGGAGTTTCGTATAGGCTCACAGTTCTGGACATTGACACGAGCCCATGCAAAGATGGTGGTGAGTGACGTGGAGATATGGTCCAAGTTCAACAAGCCTTGCGTAAGAAAAGACACGTGTTACCCTGAGGAGCATTACTTCCCGACTCTCCTACACAAGCGGGACCCACAAGGGTGTGTCTCCGCTACGCTCACGCACGTTGATTGGAGCGTCAGCGACCATGGTCATCCCCGAACGTATAAACCTTCGGAGGTTGGGGCTGAGCTTATACAGAAGCTGAGAAGCGCACGGCCTAGGTACGGAGACGGGGACAGAACGAGACAAGACCCGTTTCTGTTCGCTCGAAAATTCTCTCCGGCGGGGATTAGTCCGCTGGTGAACATAGCTCGAAACGTCATCTTGATTTGATCAGTAATTCGGATCATCTCAAAGCTTTTAAATGAAATGTATTTAACTATTGTTTACGACCTTTAGGTGATCATTGTATGATCTTTAAATAAACATATTTTCTTGTAAAATGTTAGATTAGCATTCGATACGTACTATTTTATTTTGATGTGTTTTAAAAATGAATAATAAAAGTTTTCTTGAATACGTCAAATGAGCAGGAGGGGAAATGGGCTAATAGATGGAATACCATTTTATGAGTTTAAACTTTAGGATTTATTTGGTTAATTTTAGCTAATTTTGAGAATTTTGTTATGTTTAAACGTAACGTGTATATATGCATGGATGTACAAAATTATATTTTTTGAAAACATTCCAACAAGGTTTTACTATAAGTCCAAAAGCTAGTTTATTGAGGAGATGGCAAAGCTTTGGAGACTTATTACAAAGTTCGATATAATTAGTAAAAGGAGATGGTAAAATTAGTAAGAGAATGATTGAAAGAGAAGAAATCACAAGAAACGCGGCTGGCCCTAACTTCCTCAACAAGGAATCTCAGCAATAACAAACAAAACAAATGAGGCGTAAAAACCTCAATTAACACTAGTTCTCGTCGGTCTGATTCGAACCCCATACGACGAATCAGACAACAGAGAGAGACACTCCGTCGAATATACCAAACTCCATCCTTTGATTAGAATCCCAGTTGAAGAAACCCTCAAATCATTTGTATCTCTAACTAGTCGATCAATCTTGAAACCCTGATCCATCAAAGAGGATGCTAATATCGCGTGTTACATAGGGTTTCTTGATTTTCATTGATCTTGTTTAGAGAAAACGGATGGGAAGCTTTCATCGCCGGACTTTTTCTTACGATAAACTTCCGACAGAACCCATTAGGCTCTCGGTTCGCAAACTAGATGGCTCTTCTTTCGGTAAATGCATCATCATATTATACTTTTCCTTATTGATGACTACTTGTCAATTTTCTCGTTTTAGCTTTAATTTGTATTTTTTTTTTACTTGAAGATGTTTGCGTGTTGAGCTCGGCTACCGTTGGGGATCTCAAGCTTGCCATAGAGACTGCCTTCAGCCACGTCCCCAAGAAGGGACCCTCCAAGATCTCATGGTACATTTTTCAACTTTTATTTACAATTTTCTCTCCCATTATGGTTAGTGAAAATTTCAACCTTGGTGTGTTTTAATGGTGAAGGCCACATGTGTGGGGGCATTTTTGCTTGTGTTTTGGGGGTCAGAAGTTAGTCATGGATACGGAGGGCATCGGAATTTATGGGATGAAGGACGGTGATGAGGTTTTAATACCCTATTTTCATCTCATTTCATGATAATGATAATTCTTTTTAAATGATAAGAGGTTCTTAAGGCAGGAGTGAGACTGGAATATAACAAGACGTTGTTACGTGAATGTTTCAGGTTAGGTTCAACAACCATGTGTCGGGAAATGCGATATTGAGCAAGGGATATTCTAGAAAATCCAAACAAAAGAATTCGTAAGTCTTGTTGTTTTTAACACAGTAACTTTCTTCTTGCTGAATTATGTTTTTTTTTTTTTTTTTAACAATATCCTGAGGGTTTTTGTGTGGGTTGTCTTTGTTTTAGTCTGATAGTGACAAAGGAGGAAGATGAGGAAGTGAATAGAATAGTGGAGCTTGATCACGACTCTTGGGATGATCTCGAGAAAGGAAGCTTAGTGAGGTACGGTCCGTACGGAGATAATGACTTAGAAGCTTCCCTAGGTGAAAGCAGAACTTGTCTATCCACAGTCCCAGGTTGCTGTTTTGTTTTGGGTTTAAAGGAGCTCTTGGGGTTTGGTAATGACCGAGGATATTACTCTTTGAGGGATACGTGGAGAGACGATTGATTCTTCTTTTTGTTTCCCCAACTTTTGTTTTCTCTACTTGTAAGATTTTTGGTCACAGGACACATTTCATTTTGTAATTACAACAAAATGATCCAATTAAGGATCATGTTATATTACAAAGGATAGTTTGTTCAGGAAAGCTTATACAATGATCATAGTACAGACAGTGCTATAAAAAAAAGGTGGAAAAACAGAGCTTTTGGCAGATTACAACATACAAAAAAACAACTCCGAAGAGCTGTAATGGCGACTAAGAAGTTACACCGCCATTGCCAAAAGCTCTACAAGGGGAAAGATAAAGGCACTACCACAAACCTAAACCAGAGAACAAGGACTCCCACAAGAACTTGACTAAACATGAAGACGTAGAGGTAGAGACAAACAACTCCAAAAAGACGGCCAAGACCAAACCCTAACTAGATTACCACAACTCACTCACAGGATTCCAAAGAACACAACAGCTGTAGAAACAGGCTGAACCTGTCAAAAAGTTGAAAAAACAGCTGCTGCGTCCTGGGAAAGAAACTGAGTTCTAGGTAAAATCTATGGGTTTGGCGACCAAAACCTAGAAAAAGACTTGACTGATGCTACTACGGTTTTTGCAGAAAAGCGTGGGTTTTGTTGTTCTGAGGATTTAGTAAAGTATATCGCACCTCCATAGATGTTCAAGAAGGTTATCCACAGTGCTGCTGCTGATTCTACCACACCGTTGGATGTTCAATCCCAAAAGCGTGTGGCCGAGTTTTTGTATGCATGTCTTGCTTTTGTCTGTAATCGCTGAGCAGCCGCCAACAGAAAGCACCTGAAGATTCAAATGGTTTGGAGACGTTGTCAAAGCCTTGATCCCGTGATCTGAGACCAAAGTATTTGACATGTCAAGGTCATTGACTGAGTAGCAGTTCTTGGCTACTGAGACGAGGCTTGCGTCGGTGATGTTCTTGCAGCCGTCAAGGTTAAGAGACTCCAACGTGCGTCCGTGGCAAACGGAAATTGCAGAGACTGTGTTGTCTGAAACATTGATGCATCCGCTAAGATTCACCTTCACTAGACCAACATTGTTGCTCTGAAGCAACTCGAGCACACCTGCATCTGTTACTCCGTTCAGTCCACAGAGTTCAACATCCTGAAGCAGGAGACAGAACTTCCCCAAGAAGGCGAGACTTGCATCCCCGAAGCCAGGGCAGCCGCGGATTGACAAAGAACGTAAGGCGCTGCGACTGGTTGATGGCAGAGGAGACTCAGTGTTGAAGTCATGGATGCCCAAACAGTTTGCCAAAGAGAAAGACTTTAGCTTTGAGCCAGAGTTCATGAGAAAACCCAAGAACCCAAATTGGTTGATCCTGTGGCATTCCTCAAGTTTCAAACTTTCCAGCGACAATGCAGATTTAGCCAAAGCGACGAGTCCTTTGCCAGAGACAAGCAAGCATTTGCTTAGAGAGACGTGCTTGAGATCAGGGCAACCGTTTGCAACAGCTTCAAGCCCAACATCAGTCATCCCTCGGCAAGACGTTACTGAGAGGGACTTCAGTTTCTTCATCCCTTTAGCATTTCCCATGACCCAGAAACCTTTCTCGTTCACGCCTTGAAGGCCATGAAGCACAAGATCAGTAACTCCTGCTCCGTAGTGGCCAAGAACGGCGAGAGGAAGACCGGTTATGTTCAGCATCTGGAGTTTCACTTTCGTCAAGTAAGAACCAGCTTGCGCCAAGAGGAAGGCAACTCCTTGGTCTCCAATCCGTGGGCAGCTCCTAATAGAGATAGATCTCAGATTAGCACAACGTCGTGCAATAGCCCTTAAACCTTCGTTTCCAACGCCAGAGCACGAGTCGATCGTCAGATCACTCAGATTCAAGCAGTTCTCGGCGATTGCAACCAAAGCCTTATCAGTAATCCCAGGGCAACGTGAAAGGTCGAGCTTTTCGATCATCGGGCATGACCTTGCAATCTCAGACACACCCACATCACTAACTGCAGGCAAATTCCAAAGAGAGAGAACCCTAAGAGAAGGACAACCATGAGCAATTGATCCAAGTCCAGCGTCTGTCACTTTGCTGTCAAAACCACTCCCACGGATCTGAAGCTTCCCCAACCCACCACGGCTTGAAGTCCCAACCGAGATCGCTGCCAACCTCAGATCCGTTGCTTTCTTGCCTTCCAAACTTCTTGACAAGAATCCATCACCTTCCACATCTTGAACAGACTCACTCCTAGTGATACTGCTCAGAAGGTTAAGCCAGTGCTTGGAGACGCAAGCGCATGCGCTCCTCTCTTGGCCGGAAGGCAAGCGTCTAAGGATCTCGAATAGGCACTCATCAGGCAATATGTCGATTGAAGTTTCCTTTTGCTCGAATCCGCTGTAAAACGACGGCGTAGCAATGCGTAGTCTCTTCCGTGCTGGTAAATATACGCCGGGACAGCTCCCTGGCGATAGATGCATAGATCCTCCAGCGAAAAAATCTTCATCACCTGTAACCAAACAAATCAAATTCGATTACTCTCAATTGAAAATCTCAGCAGAGGAAACAAAATTCGTAAAAATTTAGAAAGCAAATCCATGAAATGGAACCATGGAGAGACTAAGCAGATCAAATCTCAGATTCTAATCAGTAGTAATCTTAATTGAGGCAAGTATCCATGGTTGCTATGAGAGAAATTGAAAGTAAATCGGGATTCTAATATCGATGACGATCAAACTGAATCTCCACCGAAAATCTAAAATTGGGCTAAGAAATTAGAGGATTCGTGAGCATACCACTAAATCTGAAGATCCCAGACATGATTCGAACACCGTTTGAAGAAACTCCGGGAAGCGTGGTAAGATGACGTAGACGGAGATTAACAAAGCAGAGACGGTGTTGAGTAGAAGTAGAAGAAGACTGAGATTCATGTAACGCGAAGAACCCTAAATGATAGGGCAAAAAGAGAGAAGGAAGAAGAAGGAGGATAAATTTTGATTTTTTGAGATATGAGAGAAGCAAAAATTGAGAAACTGTTTTAAGGATGGGGAAGATGATGGAGGCGTACGGTGGACGTTAATGTAGAGAATAAAAAACCAAGTTCAATGTATAGACGCGAGAAAGTCGGATTTCTTCACCACCTTCTTTGTTTCCAAGAGACCCACCCAACCCAATTGTAATCATTTTTTTATTTTAAATTTTCTGACAACAAAAACATTATTGTTTTGTTTTATTATTATAAGGTTTTTTCAAAAGCAGAAACAAATAATTTATTTCGTAAAGTTTTTGAATGCACTGAAGGTGAGAGCTAAAGGTTGACAAAAAAGGCTGAATACATTGAAGGAATGGAATTGAAAATGTCGAGTACATGCATTGTTGACTAAAAAAAACATAGAGAGGTCGACTTCGTTGAACTTTTTTTATACTTATTTTAGCTGGAGAATTAAAAAAAAAAACATGACTGTTAACAACATTAGTTATTGTTTATTTGAATAGTTAATACTATCAAATGTTGGATATCTCGTAACATGTTTCTTTAATGATTTTATGGGGATATCATAGTCCAAAACCGTGTTAAGCCTTATATTTGAGAACAGGAGCGGTTTACATATATAATTAAAAATGATTTTACATATATAATATGTAAAATATGATACTCTTTCAAAATACACGCATCCAAAGACTTGATTATAAACCCATAGTCCATAGATTTCTTAACCAAAGAGGAGCGGTTTGCTCATTAAGAGAAAAGCCAACAAATCTTTATCGTGTATACTAATGACAGCTTAGTCACAGTTAGACAATTAATTAGTTAGATGAGTTGTTTGTCATGATGGTTTTTTTTAAAACAAGTGTTATTGAAATATGTATATTATCACTAGCTAGTTGCATAATCATTAGCAAGTTATGAGAAGAAAAAGAAGGAAAGAAAATGTTGGAGGTTTTCAAAGAAGAAAACAAACAATATTAATTAATTATTGTTTGAATGCAATACTGAAGGTTGTAGTTAAAGGTTGACACTTGGCAGAAAAAGTTGAATACATTGAAGGGGAAGAAATGGTTCGAGTACATGCATTGTTGACAAACCTTTATTTTTATTTTTTGGTTTGATGAAAATTGCTGACAAACCATTGAGAGGTTGAGTTCAATGAATTTTTATTGATTTTAAGATTGAAGGAAAGATGACATGATTGTGACGACAAGTAATGTTCTTTTCTTTGCTTGAATAAAACGAAAACCAAATGTTGGGTATGGTCGTTACATACATTTTGAATTCTATTTAACACGTCTCTAGGAAGCCGGTTTTATTTGATTTGTGTTGATTTTTTTTGTATCGATAATATGGACTGTAAGTCTGTAAGACGGATTAATTAATGATAAGCATGAGTATTAGTAGAGAAAAATATTTACTAGAACAACAACATCTATCAACCCATACTATCTACTATCTAGTCTCTAGTCTCTACGATATACTATGTTTTAATAAATGAACATAATAAGACACGACATTTATAAAATTCATCCTCCAATATTACATTTCTAAAAACTCCAATATAAAAAGACACCATATCGATAGTTCAACCATCATACTAGCTTATCACCCAAAATGGTAGAATTTTTGAGATTTCATGTTCGAACAATACAGAAAGAGAACTATGATATCCTACCATTTAACTTCGGTTTCTATAAACGAAGATTTGTTCTGACTCGTAGCATATACTATGCATATAAGTCGACATATAGCAACTTTTCTTTACCAAATCTGTACACTTGTTCTAGGGATTATATCTGATCCTACTGATTTATTTGTTGCTCTTGTGATCGCATATGAATAGGTTCAAGTTCTCTGAATATTGCCTTGTCTCCGGTATTGTGCATTTACTGCATGAATACGTTTCATCTTTATTTTATTTTATCCAAGCGAGGAAAGCAAGGATGGAGCTGAGAATGACGTAGAAGACATGAAAAAGGTCGTTTTTGATAATAAAGTCGGACATCTGCAATTAATTTACAGAAGAATTTACTTTCTCCACCAATAAATAACTTTGGTCGGATTGTCGGTAAGATTTAGTCATTTAGCAATTAGCACACCATTAAGATTTGTCTTTGGGAGTAGAGATGGTAACATAACACCCAAAGGACCATAAATTCAGATTTTAATTTTATCAGAACATTCAAATAATACCCTGAAGTAAACATAACACCCAAACGACCATACTATTATAATAAAATGATCATTTCGCAAATTCTGTTGAAATACATATCACCGACCTGCTTAGAAAAGAGAGGAACCACTTTGGTCATAATAATACAATTCTGATTATAATAAAAATCAAGCATTGGACACAAAAACTGAAAGAGAAAACAAATCTAAATCAGGGTATTTCCTTTGAAGGTAAGGTATTTTTAGTTCCTTGAGCGTTCACTTTGTGGAAGCCAAGTCTAAAAAACCAAAGCGCAGTAAATTTTTTACTTTACTTTTGATTACACACATAAAATCAGAAAATAAGAAATTAAGTTTCAAGAGTTGCAAATCAATCATACAAGCCCTCTTGCTCCCACACATCCACCAGAAAATCCACCATTTCCTGCCCAAAATATTCATAAATCAACAAAGCCTAAATCACATATACAGAATCTGGAATATTGCAGAAGGAATTGCTTACAGGGAGAGGTATTGGACGAGAAAACCTTTTGTTCATACCCAACAAGCTCTCATATGTTGCATTCCAGCTGCAGAAAACCAAACATTAAACTCAGGAAGTTCCAAGAATTGACAAGAACTCTTATTGGCTAATAACAATCCATCAACTTTCTGACTTTAAAACATCATAAAGTGTAAGAACCTCAACTTCTATAGTCTAAGAAGAGCCTAAAGGAGTAAAGAGAAGAATCAATCACAAGACACTTCGAAAGCCAAGATCTTGCCTATCTTTATTTGATTTGCTGATGCATATTTATTGATGAAGCAAAGTCAAAGTAAAAGTTACATGGATGGTATCACGCAGTTGAGTCTTTTGAATATTTGATACTTGTTCTTGAAAGTACTAAGTGAAGGACTAACTTTATAAAAGAGCAATGCAAATGCAGAAAAGAAAAAAAAAAAGAAAGATAAACTTGGACCAACCTTATTGTAGGTTCTCGATGTTTCTTCTTTGTTTGAGAAGTTCCATTCGCAAGCCACTGTTGCCTAGTTTGGTTCCAGAGGTTCAATCCTGTACAAAAAGAAAGAACATGAATGAGAATAAACAAAGCAGAGAATCATGAAGTAACAGAATAAAAGTCAAACAAACAATATATCAAGATGCAGGCCAAAACATATCAAATATCAATACTGAAGAAAATTCTGTTTTTGTGTGATCAGCTTTAATTCTAGGTAGTTTGATAGAGAATATTATTCATCAGCCGCCAACATCTAAGCATCATGAGACAATAATTTTCATGCTGAATCAACAAATACATAGAGAAATGTGTGGAAATATCATCTCACCGTTGTTTACAAATTCTGTAGGGTTGCTAGTACTAGCAGAAGTAGCAGTGTTGTTGGTGAAGCTGATAGAAGACATGCTTCTCTGTGACTGCATCGTGCTGTTATCCATCTCGCAGGTGCTTGTGCTCCAGAAGTCGTCTGACACGCTTGGCTTCTTCACTAAACGACCTTGTATCCTTAATCCTTTAGACGGCTCATCCACTGCAACTATAAGCGGTGGTTTATTGCAGCATCCAAAACAACCTCTGTACTGTTGCAAAACCACAAACACACCAAAAAATGCCAGTGAGAAAAAAGTAAACTTTTATTAGGCTTGTTCTTGAAATCAAGAGAAATGCAAGAACTAAGGAATTTGAATTCGGAAAGACTCTTTACTACAACCACAACACAGATTCCACAGAGGGAGAGAGAGAGAGAGAGAGAAAGATACAGAGAGAACAGAAGGATGTAAGCAGAAAGTATACATGTGATTCAAGTCAAATATTTATCCTCTGAAGATTATGAAATGAAGTTTCTTTGATGATTTTAACCAAAATGAAAGAGAGCATCAATCATGAGATAAGAGATGTAGAGCAAAAGTGATAGTTGAGAGACGCTTTGGTTCCATATTTTTGCTTAAAATGAAAGCAAAAACCATAGGGTGAGATGGTAAGCTAAGCCACACCTACAAAGTTAGCCATAGCCACACATTCTTAAGAGATGATTGGTCAAATTCAGATTTGTAAAGTCTAAATTTTTACTCCATTTTCATAAGATTCTTCTTCCTTTCTCAGTCATCACACAAGAAAAACTGAGAATTTCAATTCGAAAAACGTTAAAGAAGGAGAATTTGGGAGAAAGATCCTCACTCACCCCATGCAACCAAATAACTGGTAGATCCAAGAGGGAATATATTCACGGATATGCATTTACAGCAACCAAATTAGCGATCTTCTAATCAAGACCCTGATCCCAGGTAGGAGAAGTCTCACAATCCTGCAATTCAAATTCCGAAAATTTCCATTTTTTTTTTTAAAGCCAGAATCAATCACTGAATCGAAAAACACACTCTGGTAAGTTCTTCAGATGAGAAGATATATAAATACCGAAAATAACCTCAGAAATGGCATATTCGGGGCAAATTGGGATTAGGGTTTTGTTCCGCCACCTCCCTAGCAGCTAAATCTCAAGCCTGATTGATTCCAGAGCAGAGTCGTCATCTTCTTCTTCTTGTTTATTGGTGTTTTGTTTTCCTCGTTGTGCTTGTGTGGTGGTTCTGCAACTCCCCAAAAAGAAGGAATAGACAAAATTCCGTTTCTTTTTACAAAATAAAATTGTTCGTTATTCCAATTAATTTACACTTTACTAAAACTAAATAAATAAAAAATTTAAAAAACTTACGGAGAAGTATTTAAAAAAATAAAAGATCAATATGGTTGTATAACTTGGTAATTTAATCAGAATTTTCTCCTTTGCATTGATTAATTTTCTTAAAATATTGTTTTGGTCGGATTAAAATTATAATTTTTTGAGATTAGAAAATGAATAGTGGCATATCTAAAATTAAAAAAAATTGGTTTGTTAAAAAAAAAAGGATTTTTAAAAAGCATAAATTCCCAAAAGCTTTCCTTTTTCCTATCTACTTTACTATTATGTACAAAAAAGCAAGATATTCGTGCATGTGGCAGCCATTGCGATTAGGCAAACTTTTTTTCCTGTTTCTGTCAACGCACATTTTGTTTCCTTTTGTTATTGTCACGATTTTACAAAATTCGAGTATTTCTAAGCTAAGTAATCCTCTAAAGAAAAAGAAAAAAGAGGGGACGTTGGTAAATGGTTAGTGAACAGCAAAATAAATTGAGAATATTATAGTATTATTATATCATATATAGATGCAATGATTTACAGATAAATGACGTCAAAAAACGAAATATACAAATGATATATGGATATTTTGTGTCGGCAGTGTAAATGGATAGGCTGAGTTATGTCGCCATCTCAATTATTGATAATGTGAAAAGTGTAAAGAGTTTTCTTGATAAAAAAAGGTTAATGAATGGTCTAGGCTCTAGATGTCTACTAATTACTAACGTAATCCGGTAATCGACTAGCTTCAAACCAAAGCCAATTTGGACATAATCATTGGTCACTATTGTAGAGATGCTCCGAATTGTTATAGATGTGGATAGAATTTGTATTTCCTAAAACTTTCTATTTCTACAAAGACAAGTGGATAGGCACCCAAGTGGCGCCGCCGTATTTACCTTACGCACCAAGTTGGAAAAAAAAAAATCTCGATTCAAAAGTGAAATATTCATCTCTTATATAGAAGAAACTCTTGGAATTCAAAAGAGTAGAAGGTGCTCTAAAAGTTGTTTAATTGATGTTTTTTTTATATAAATATCAATTTTGTTTTAAATTATGAAACTTAAGATAAATCCAGTAGTTACATCAATTATGTAAACAATTTATTTAACATCATTTCTTAATAAATCGCTCTATTTAGTGTCAATTATTTTTCTAACACGTTATAATTTAATCTTATTCAGACTCTTAGGCTCTTAGCTGTTGTATTGACTTAAGTGGTGAGGATGGGAGGGAGATAATCAGATTTTTCACCTAAAACCTTTGCGTTAGTATCAGGAAAGAGCTCAGCACCAGCAAGATTTGTCACTTCCCCGTTGGTACCAATGCTAATCGGATAACTAAGCAAATGTCCCGGTAAATCATAATCTCGAGGGTACTCTTGTGCTGAGTATAGTCCCCATAGCTCGTCTGCTTTGGCATTTATCAATCTTATACACTCTTCGCTTTCAGGAAACTGGAACGCATTGGTTGTGATCCGCAGATGTTCAAGCCATAGTGATATCCTAAAGCTAAAAACTTGTCCCGTTGGCCTCATTTGATTGGTAGATAGCAGATGGTTTGGCTGGTATGCTCCCATCGCAATCTCCGAGTCTCGACCTCCATCCATAGACCTTTGGTTAATATTTGCTGATCCTATTATTATGTACTCATCATCAACTGCATAGAGATAGGAACATGTTAAGAGAACTTTATCATTGTGTTGAATAGACCTAAACGGACCGGATTCATGGGCTAAGTTTTTCTTGTGGTACAAGCAAGGTAGATTTGTGACTTACCAATCATCATTTTAGAGTGGACATAGATCATGAACCGACGAGAATGTTGAGCTCTTGCGTAGTCAGAGTTAGCCTCTGGTTTTTGCGGTGGCAAGTATTCGCCTGCCTTGCTAACTTCTCGATTCCCGAGGCAGAAAAACGTTAAGTAGTCTCTAGGGTTTGCATCTAATCCTTTCTTACGTAGGGCAATGACGATATCTGTATACATCATCTCCATTGTTCTCCTTTGCCAGTCTAGTATCGCTTGAACAGATGCAGATCCAGGTTTTCCTTCAGGCCACAATGGAATCACGATATACACTGAGAACCTCTCACCTGCCTCGATCTTGCTTACGATCTTGAGAGAAATCTCTTTGGGAATGAGTTGTAAAGCGTTTGTTTCGTTTAGGTTTATGTCTCTAGAGTTCCATCCAAAGGAGCTTCCTATGAAGTATTGGTTCTCGATGTAGATGAAGTGTTTGGCTCTCCTTATGGCGTTAATGTAAGCGTCTTGTATGCTTCTTTCGATCACGTTGTCTTTTCCGGTTATAAGTCCGACGCTCGAAGCTTCACGTGGATCCTCTGAGAACCCTTCAACTGCACCGTCATCTATCGACCGGAAAACTTGAACCGTCCAACCTTCTGCATTTTCCGATTTTACAATTGGCAGTGGCGGAACCGTGATCTCGGAGAGTCTTGCCATCGATACTAAGTACCTTCTACCACTACCTGAAGAACACAAAATATAAATTGAATGTGTTTTGAGATTCTTGCATGACTTTTCTTTAGGGTTCAAAAAGTATTTATGTGTTTTAAAAAAAAAATGTAAATGCGAACGCCAAATTGAAACAATTTTTTTCCCTTCCGTTAGTATTTATAAATCTTTTAATTTTTTTTTTGTTAAAGTTTTAAAGTTTTTGGTTTATATTTGGACAAAATCACCATCTTATAACATGTAAAAACAAACCGTTGAAGCCTAGTGATTTGTTTCAACATACCTTGTTTCATCCACCTTTGCTCAAAGTTGTACAAAACATCCCACGCGGCAGGACCATCAAGCTTGCAGTGAATATCGTGCCACGGCTCACGTGGACCGCCTTTTTTAATCGATGCTCCATCGAAATTCGGTTGGTGAAAGTCATTAGAATGAACATTGTTCAAAGTACCGAACAAAGGATGTTCCTCAGTATCGTATCTCCCATCACATAGATCAATCCCTCCAAGAAAACTCACAATCCCTCTCTTGCCTCTCGAACCTTCCACTTCACCGTCCACCACAATGGTTTTCTGATGGTGAGTGAACATCGTAGCGATCCGGAACCCTTGAACAATGCTCTCACCGTTATCTGGATTCCGCGGACAGAGAACACAACGCACTTTCGTGTTCTTGAAGTAATCGTACGTTTCTTGATCATGAGTCATCATCAAACCGTCTCTCCTAAATGCTTCGTGAGACGTTCTATCGTCCCACACAAGCATCAGCACGGTCACGTTTTCGTCCGCTTTCTTCTTCAGCAATTCTCCTAACTTCAGGTTTCCTCCTGGTCTCGACCGTTTAGGATCCCTAATCAATGTTATGTTGGGGTAGACCGACCAACCTGTGATGTATATCAAATGTTTTGCTTCCCATATCGCATCGAAAATCTCTTCCCAGCACCGGTGATGCTTGTAAATCGCTTGTCCTCCCGCGAGAGTAATGTCCGGGAACTCTCCAAGAACATGAGCGTCTTGGTAAAGTGTAACTTTGCAACCTTCTCTTTGGTTGAAATATGCGTTAGGAACTCCTTTAAATGACGGTAATATGATTCCTTTGTTCCAATCCACGTTTTGTGTCACGCTGTTAAACTTCACGCGGACATGGATTTTCGCACCTCCTTGGATCGGAATCTTGTGCTCGTCTAAGATATCGAGCCATCGGTCTATTGGTTGTCCGGTGATGACTTCGGTGACAGGTAAATAAGCTCGGCCGATCAAAGTCGCACCGACTGCTTCATCTTCTTTGACTGTGAATACGATTTTGGAGATTGAATGTGCTGTGTAGACATGGAAATTTTGGAACCATTTAGGATGACGTCTCATCATGGTTCGAGCCACTCTGGACCTGTCTAGGTCAATGGTTGCGTAGAGATGTCCTCCGAACATATCTGTGCATGAGGATGTTAGTCTCTTGATTGGAGACTGAATCTTCTTCCCCGCTGGCTCCTTGTTCCCCTATTATTTTGAGTTTTTTTACAAGTTAAAAAAACTATATATTGTTAATTCGTGTTCATTACTATATAGTATTTTAAGAAGTTATTAGCCCTATCAGTTAATCCAACATTTTACATTTCCATAGATCTCTACATATATATTTAGTATCCTATTGGTTATTTAGCTATTAGAACGTTATTTAAAATTCGTATTAAAATAGACAGTTCACCGAATATAAACAATACGATGAGAGAAAATGTGATTACATTATAATTCGAAATTTATTGATTATTTAAGGGCTACCTTTCCGCATAAATTGAATCTTGCACGTTGATGCAACTTATCGATCCTATATATCTTCACTTCAAGAGTTCCATGAAGCAGCAACTGTTCCGCCATTTCTTCACCAGCAAACTATTCGATTTTCAGTTTAAAATATAGTTTATTTGGGGAAAGTAGATGACTTTCTGTGATGATGGCTATAAATAGTAGTTATAATAAAATAACAAACCACATAAAATCTCACTTTTGAGGATAGTTTTGAAAATGTGCCAATCCGCTTAGCGATGGTGGGTATGTAAACGTAAAGGTCGAATATAAGGAAGAAAATGGAATATTTAAATGAAACGTTTGGATTAGGGTTGTGGATTACTTGGGGAAACTGCATGGGATTTACTAGAAGAAAGAGATGAAGTCTATTATTGGGTTTTACTGTAAAACCTTTTATTGTAGGCCAAACCGAAGACAAGGGAAATCCAAAACGGAATATTCTTCTTTTAGACATAAACCTGACGACTCACGTACGCATACAATTTTCTTGATACCATTCCATTATTATTCTTACTTTATTACTTATTAGTCTACTGAATATTATTCCCAACATATTATTATTTTATTAGGTATGTAAGGACTTAACAAAAAAGGGGATATAGTTATCTTATAAATTACTTTTTAAAATGAAAAACTCACTGTGTAGTCTGTGTTATCCAAAAACAAAGATTGTTCTCAAAATTCTAAAATTCTGATCAATTTTACTAGAAATAAAACTGAAATAGACGAAAGAGTTTTAATGAATAGACAAGTATGCAGAACTATCTTGAAGGAAAAAAACGGAAACAAAAGAAAGAGTACTCGAGACATAACACACATATTTGATTGAAACAACGTAATTTCTATGTATATTAAAAACAGAGTATAATAGTCATTTTATATCAATGAGTTTTGAAACATAGTATCCTATTATGGGTTATATGAAAATGTTATCTCATGATGGTATATCTCTGATAAAATGTTTAAAATTTTAAGTAAAGGCACAATATCACTTTGCTTTTATTTTATAGGAATAAACGAAAAAACGTATACAAATCTTTCGTATAAAATACAAAAGATATAACATTTGTATGAACCTAATAGTTTTCTCTCCTTTATCACAAAAAACTACTAATATATATTTTTCCCTCTAAATGATCTAATATTGAGAAACAGATACTAGAAGTCTAGAATACATCTCGTGTACATATACACTTCTAGAAGCTTTTGTAAGAATATTTGTATTCTTATATATGTGACCTATGTGTTTTTCAGTTTAATATAAAGATCAAGTTCTTATAGTTAATGATTCTAATATAAAAGATGATTCCATGATGGATTGGTTTCAATGAAAGACATTAGAATCTGGGTGTATTGATAACCCTCTTCCCTTACCCTATAATGTTATAAACATCTTTCTCTAATGGTCATATGTATTATATATATGATTAACTATATATATTAATACATGTGAGAAAGGATGTGTTGAATGGTCGTGAGGTTACGTACGTAACCGTTGGTATGCATGTGTTTCTATTATATATATAAGAGATCTCAGAATTAAGAGAGAACACAACAACAATCACAGACACACACCATACAACACTCGTATAAGAAAAGTCAAAGAGAGATTAAGGTTTGGATCCCTTGTCCATCAAAAGGGATCAGAAGGAGAAAGGGTCAAAGGGAGGAGAAGATCAATTGAAGTATTGATCTCACAACAAGACAGAAGAAAGCATGGATCAAGGTTAGTGTTTCTTTCTTCTTCTCTAAGAAACTGTTAGGGTTGGATTATATCAAATCTAGATTATCTTGGGATAGATTTCATATGTGATAGAAATCATTAAAGTGGTTAACAGCTTTTATAAACAAAAGCAAGAACTTGTGGGCCTGTGGCTAGTGGCTATCTGTTTAAATTCATGTGGTTGTCACATCCTTAAACATTTTTAAATTTATTTATTTGTTTGATAAAGTATCACACAACTGCTACATTTGCAAATGTTGGTGAATTCATTTATTTAAGGTTAAGGTTTTACTAGTTCTACGTCGCCTTTAGGTCTATGGCATTTAATGCACAACTACTACTCCAAATTTAAAACCAATAAGAAAAAAAACACTACTACTGCAAATATCCGTGGACTTTACCGCCCGACTCACCGACAGTTCTTTAGGTTAATTATTTAGTTAATCTCCGAAGAAGTAAATTTACAGATACAATAAGATTATTTTTTTAGTGATGAAATCGATAAACAATCTTGATTAATTCATATATAGAGAATAATTTAGGTGAATTTGTTAATTAGGTGAATATGAATTTCTCTTGAAACGCATATAAGAAAAAAAAAACAAAGACAAAAATTATTCTTCATGAAATTCACACAAGCGATGAAGAACATAGACGAATTGATTGATTTAACATTCGTAGCAATAGATAAATGATCACTTAATACTATTTATGGTGTGGAGACATAATATCGAAAAAGAAACAATTACACCTGTTTTAGAAAACGAGTATCTATTTTATACTTGGACTGTAAATCATGTCATTTATCATTTCAAACCTGTCTTAGTCCCTTTATAAAAAAAATTAGCTGTTTATCAAACAAGAACAGACTGAAACACCTTTTATAATACTCCCCCATGAATACAAATAAACGACACCCAACGTGATAACTCCTGAAAGATGTGCAGAACAGGAGACTCGAACTTAAACTATCCAAAAAGTCATGAAAACTTAGAAGAGAGTAAATTGGAATTAGAAAGAAAAAAAAAGAGTTGGAATAAGAAAATAATCGCTGGAACATAAAATTACTCTTGGTTTATTAAAACCAAAAACATACATAACCCCATGGCACGGGAGAGTGAGAGAGAGAGGAAGATAGGACAATTAATACCATAAAGAATAGTAGAGAGGACGTGCAAAAAGCAGAGAGTTAAGTGAGTAGTTGAAGGTAGAGAGAACATAGAAGAGGAATCTCTCTCTCTCTCTTCCTTCTCCGAGTTACATGTCAGAGAAAAAACAGGGAAATTCAGAACCCTAATTTCTAACATCAAAATGGTAAATTCGATGAAGTTCCGAGGTGTCCGCCAGCGTCAGTGGGGTTCTTGGGTCTCTGAGATTCGTCATCCTCTCCTGTCAGTTAACTCTCTCTCCCTCTCTTTCTTCTCTCTTAGACACACATTCACAGATATAATATAGACACACACATAAAGTATATTTGTGTATACTTTTTATGAAAGAGATTTTATATACTGATATATATATAAGTTGATCCTATGCGTATAATTCATATATTCATACATTTTTGATCTTTTTCAAATTACTATCAATGTTTATAGTTTCACAGATTCATGTAACTTTGTTAAAAACATGTGTTTTTTTTTTTTTTTAGTTACTTCGATTTTTCCTCATTTTCGTCAAATTAAGGAGATCCGTATTCATTAATGTGTACATCAGTACATGGAGCGATGGCTTTTTCGTAATTCTTTTTGTTGATGGTGTGTTTATATTTGTAGTTAGTTATGTGTATGCATCATAATCAGTACGTATTTTAAGCATTTACATTTTTAGTGCCTTATTTTGGCAAAATCTGTTTATACATATATTAGGTATACTAATAACTGAAACAACCTTACTAGCAACGTATTTGGTAAGATTAAGACTACTAGAAATTGATGTTTTTTATGCTCTTATGATTATCATTAGATCCATGTTCTGTGTAGTTTTTGTTAATTCAACTATTTAATTTAGTAACTAATGCATTTTTGTGTGAGCGACCAGGAAGAGAAGGGTGTGGCTAGGAACATTCAACACGGCGGAAGAAGCGGCTAGAGCGTACGACCAAGCAGCGGTTCTAATGAACGGTCAAAACGCAAAAACCAACTTTCCCGTCATCAAATCCAACGGCTCAGATTCTCCCGACGGTAACTCCCCATTAAGGTCGCCGAAATCGTTATCGGAACTCCTAAACGCTAAGCTAAGAAAAAACTGTAAAGACCAAACACCGTATCTGACGTGTCTCCGCCTCGACAACGACAGCTCACATATCGGCGTCTGGCAGAAACGCGCCGGGTCAAAAACGAGTCAGAACTGGGTCAAGCTTGTTGAGCTCGATGACAGTGTCAATGCACGTGCCGGTGATATTGGGACTAACAAGATGAAGAAACGCAAGGACGATGACGTTGAAGAAGAAGATCAGATGGCGATGCAGATGATCGAGGAGTTGCTCAACTGGACTTCTTGTCCTGCTTCTTCATCCATTGAAGGTCTAAAAGGAAAATCACTGAATTAGATGACCAAGATAATCAATCCAGGGTATAATTATATTATTAATATACGGAGCTATATGTGATATTTTCCGAGCATATGATATACCCTATAGATTGAAATAAGTACGTACGTATATACGTAAACATATAGCTTTTCAAATATATGTATGTAATGTGACTTTTTTAATTTAAAAGAGTTTGATATTTTCTGTTGAATTTGTAGACGTCAAGATGTAACCACACCGAGGTGACTAGACATGATACAATGGTACATGTGGTAGGATGATAATTAATTTAAAATTAAAACATCGTACATGTGAAAAAGACTTGACAACCCTTTTATTAGATTCTTGTGACTCGAACGTTAGACTTGGTACTAACTCGACAAAGAAAGCTTTTACTATTTTAACAAGGTTACGTCGGTGGGTGAAATTTTATTAGGTCCCCATTTTTGTTTTCGAATTTCCGTATCATATGAGCTTGCATTCTTTCTAAAGTGATTCCGCCATTGAATATTCTCTCCATCAACCACACGACATTCTATATATATCACGTCTCGACTAAAGTTGCTAATTTTAGACAATCACATTCATATGTCAACACAGCATGTATCAGCTAGATGTTGTCCCAGCGCAACGATAAGAACATTTATTATCGTCCCATTACCGAATCAACCTGCATATCCGTGAATTTCTAACAACAACAAAAACAAAATATAAAAAATAATAATAAAGTAAATTGATGTATCTTGGTTATACGCTGGTTCAGTTATTGAAAATAAATTAGAGTTAAGACCTATCAGTTGAGAATATGATTCGTTTGCTCGGTTTAAGACTTTACTGCTAGTTAACTAACGGTTAGCTATATTATTTAAATTATATTTCATAAAAAAATAATAATAACTTGCCACGTGGCACAGTTCAAGAGGACAAATGAACATGGTTGAGGACTTAAAGCGAATGTTGTTGTTGGTATAAAAACATTTTCATTAATTTGGTGTTGTAACGTATAGTTTATGATGTAACGTAAATATTATCAAACTGGCGTAGTCGGTGTGGTGTAGTCACGGAAATTGTTTTCCCTTCTCTGCATTTATCCTATAATATTATTATCACCATAAAAGTATAACATTATTATCGTGATATTATAAAGAATATTATATTCCTTAATAAAGTCTCATCTCATGACATCAATATCTTCAGTTCATTTAAAAAAAAAAAAAAAAAAAATCTCATAATTTAAAAAATAATTAGAAAAGGAAAAACAATTATAAATTGGTGAAGCACTTCCGTTACGTGGGAGTCTCTGTTCTTCAGGTAAACGTTTTTTCAGGATCTCACCAAATTCACAAACTTACAGAGAAAACCACCATCACTCCCGTCTCCGCCGCACAACCACCGTCCTGACAGAGAGAGAGCATAAAAAAAAACAAAACTCACGAATGGGGAAAGGAGGACAACTAAGCGAAGGTGTGATTAAGAACATCATCCTCTCATACACTTACGTAGCGATATGGATCTTCCTCAGCTTCACCGTGATCGTCTACAACAAATACATCCTCGACAAGAAGATGTACGACTGGCCTTTCCCGATCTCTCTCACAATGATCCACATGTCCTTTTGCTCAACCCTAGCTTTCCTCCTCATCAAGGTCTTCAAATTCGTCGAGCCTGTCTCAATGTCTCGCGACACTTACCTCAGATCCGTCGTCCCCATCGGAGCCTTGTACTCACTCTCCCTCTGGCTCTCTAACTCCGCTTACATCTACCTCTCCGTCTCCTTCATCCAGATGCTCAAAGCCTTGATGCCAGTCGCCGTTTACTCCATCGGCGTTCTCTTCAAGAAGGAAGGTTTCAAATCGGAAACCATGATGAACATGCTCTCGATCTCCTTCGGCGTTGCGATCGCTGCCTATGGAGAAGCAAGGTTCGACGTGTGGGGTGTGATCCTCCAGCTAGGTGCGGTTGCGTTCGAGGCGACGAGATTGGTAATGATTCAGATCTTGCTTACATCCAAAGGAATCACGTTGAATCCAATCACTTCTCTCTATTATGTTGCTCCTTGTTGTTTGGCTTTCTTGTTTATCCCTTGGATTGTTGTGGAGTTTCCGATATTGAGAGACACTTCTAGCTTCCATTTCGATTACCTAATCTTCGGGACGAACTCGTTCTGTGCGTTTGCTTTGAATCTTGCTGTGTTCCTTCTTGTTGGGAAAACCTCTGCGTTGACCATGAATGTTGCTGGTGTGGTTAAGGACTGGCTCTTGATCGCGTTCTCATGGTCGGTTATTAAGGACACTGTGACTCCTGTTAATCTTTTCGGTTACGGTATCGCGTTCTTGGGGGTTGCGTACTACAATCACGCCAAGTTACGAGCGTTGAAGGCTAAAGATGCTCAGAAGACGGCTCAGCAGGTTGATGAAGAGAGCGGTCGGCTTTTGGAAGAGAGGGAAGGAAATGAAGGTGGGAGGAAGAACGAGCCTGAGGATTAAAATTGGTGATGAATTTTTTATTGGTGAAATTTTGTGTTTGTTTGTTATTTTTTTTGCTTTGACTTATATTTTGTTTGGAATAAGAACTAAGAAGCTTTAAGGGTTTTATAGTAGATGGAAGAGAAAAATTTGGTAATGATAGTGAGACTTGAGATAATGGCTATTGGTCTTGCAATTTGCCTTAGTGGTGAATTTCTGAGAATGAGAGTTTGCAATTTGATTTTTTCTTTTTTTTTTGGGGTGTTATTAATGATTAATGACTTGTGGCTTTTAACAACCTTTTTAAATGGATTTTTTAGACTTTTGAGGTTTTATTTACAAGTTATATCTTTTGCTACCAGTGCAATACAGATTGCGTGTTCATATAGATACTGCAGAGTGATTGTACTTGTTATGAAGTTATTTGAGATTTTATTTACCAGTTATTTATATTCTTTCGAGTTTTGCTACCAGTGGATTATAGATTACGTGATTCATATATATACTGCATACCGATTTGTTTTCGTTTTGAAATTGACTGACTACTCATTTGCTTTGCTATGATCATTTTAATAATTTTTTTGGTCAGTTTGCTGATAATTTTAGTAAATTAAATTGCTTTCATTAGTTTGGCATGACAAATTTTATGGTTTTTATTTATCATCGTATCATGGCGGGAACAGATACGGTAAGAATAGACGCGTAATAAAAACATATCAGTTCAAAATCGCATAAAATCGCTCATATCAGTACATACTACTTGAACCGAAGCAAACAATTGAACTAAAAGATGTTGGGCCCACTCGAAAGCAGGACCCTCCAAAAATAGGCGTATGCCACTTGGCGTGGAGAGCACACGGTATTCTTTAGTAAAAGGCGAAAGAATAGTTCGCTTTGTGCTCACCACATGGCTGCGTGATTTTGAAGGAAAGGACGAGACCTTTATTTATACTACAACTTCTGCTGCTGACGATTCCCATGTTTCCGATGTGGGACTCTGTAACTAAACAGACGACAAAAAGCGCTGCTAAATTAAAACCCTTCGTGGACTTTAATGGGCTTGACATAAGCTTGGGCTAATATCCGAGTGAAAACTCTCCATTGGTTTTCTGGTTGAATTATTAACACCACCTTAAAAGTGTTTTTCTCCGTTTCTTGCTTCCAAATCCGAACGTAAAAAGAATACATGTGAAACGTTGACTTAAGAAAGATCTACCATTGTGTGCTTAGCTAACTTCACAGAGTGTCCTAGATGTGTTCTCCTTGTTTCTTTCATAAGTCATACGAGAAGATGAATCAGAATGAAGGCGATGCCCTTGTAGATTCCTTCAATGCAAAGTTAGAATCTTTGTCTTCTCTTTCAAACCAATCTTGTATCTACAAAGTACCTAATAAGCTCCGTAGGCTAAATCCTGATGCATATTCGCCTCGTCTCGTGTCCTTTGGCCCGTTTCATCGAGGAAAAGAAGAGCTTCAAGCCATGGAAGAGCATAAATACAGGTACTTGCATAGCTTTCTCCCTAGAACAATCTTTAGTTTACAAGATCTTGTCAGAGTTGCAAGAACGTGGGAAGAGAATACTCGGAACTGTTACGCTGAATATGTGAGACTTAACGTCGATGAGTTTGTGGAGATGTTAGTTTTAGATGCAAGCTTCTTGGTTGAGCTTCTTCTGAGGTCTTACTATTATCAACTAAGAGAAGAGAAAGATCGTATCTTCGGGAAACCAAATCGAAAGTGGAGAATGCGCCAGAAGCAACAGAGCTTCACAACGCTGGTGTGAATTTTAAGCCAGCAGAGAGCAAAACTTGTTTACTTGATATTAGTTTTGCTGATGGAGTACTCAAGATTCCTACCATTATCATCGACGACCTCACTGAATATCTCTACAGAGACATAATTGTGTTTGAACACTGTCATTGCTCAAACAAGAACTTCCTCCACTACACAAGGTTGCTCAGTTGCTTCATCAAATCCCCTGCAGATGCTGACTTACTCATCCGCAATGGGATCCTCGTGAACGATCTCGGGAATGCAAAAGATGTTTCGAAGCTGTTCAATAGCATTTGCAAAGAGGTGATATACGATCTCGGGAATGCAAAAGATGTTTCGAAGCTGTTCAATAGCATTTGCAAAGAGGTGATATACGATCTCGGGAATGCAAAAGATGTTTCGAAGCTTTTCAATAGCATTTGCAAAGAGGTGATATTTGGTAGAAGGTTTTACTTTCTGAGACTCTGTTTATCTATATATTTAATTATTTATTACAGACAATACGAAGAGATTTGTGCACCGCGGTTGGAGGAGTTTTGCTTCATGATGATCAATGGTACATGGGACTGGATCATGGAGACAGATCAGCCGTCGATCTGCTAAAGTTAATACGTGCACCCCGTTGTTATAAGAGATTTGGCCCCAACACATTTAAGATGACCAAGACAACTTTACAAATTTGAATGGAATTGATTGAATTTCGGGTTTGGGTTTGGGTCGACAAATATAAGAGGCATGATTAGCATCAACATTATTATCTCCTACTATAAATATAACAGTTTCTTTCTAATGAATAAAACAATCTATTTCTGATGAATAAAACACCAAAACTTGAAATTTAAAAAAAAAAAAAAACAATATTATATATTATAAATTCAGAAACCCAACATTTAAGTTAAAAAAGGTAGTAAATTAAAACACCCTAAATAAATAGTAGAAAAGCTCTTTGATATTTGAGAAGATGACTAATATTGGACTATCTTGTGGAGCAAGAATCTTTCATAGCTTTGATCCCACATGAGTCCAATTACATCGCCTGTTTGGTAGGCCTTGTCTTTAGCAAAAACGCCCCATCCTCCCTTGAGATAGTATACGCCATCATTGGATTTAACTAATCTCCATGTGTAGTCATCAGCTTCATTACCTTCCTCTATAACGTGGACCTTCACTTCAACACCATTTGCCATTCCCATCTGCAAGACCATAGGCTGCCTCATCAGTGGAATTATAGAACCTTCTAATCCTTGTCGCGGCAGATAAAGTTTAGCATTAACTGAAGTATCAGAATCAGTTAACTTCTTTTTTATAACCCATGGATCATATTGAGATAAACTCAATTTTGTCTCCTCTCTTTGATCCATATCCTCTCCTTGATCCATATTCTCAGCTAATATAAATATTTTTAAACTGTGAAAGATGATGATAGCTGATATGAATATTTTGATTGAGAAATTAAACTCATCCCCTTATGTTTATATAGCTTTCGGTCAAATAAAATTTCCCTTTTTTTTTATTGCTAGGATGTAGTATTTTTCCTTTAAAGGAGATTTTTTTTGTCATCTTACTACAAATATTTTCAACATTTTTGTCAAATAAACAATTCTTTTTTTGTTTTAATAAGAAAATTTACATCTCTATATAGGAAAACTGTAATTCATTAAGAATAGTAAACTTTGCATTTTACTTATTGTGATCATCGATTTTTTAATTTTTATTTTTATTTAAAACTTCTAGCCTATTCCTTTTACGAAAGTTTACAATTTATTCAAAAAATTTCTTGTCAAAAAAAAAAGGTACATTCCCAGTTTGTGTGCGAGTGTTGAAGAAAACAATTTGTCAAAACCAAATGCATGCATATACAAAACTAATTTAAACACAAACCTATGATGACTATCAAATCTTGATTCATTCGATATTACTCCTTGCGAACAATTGTCAAAATGCACATATATGAATCAAAAATCGCATTTGTTCTTTCCTTTTGACTTGAAACAAATTTTGTTTTCTAATATCAGAAATTCGAACGAGGCAACAAAAATCCCGCTCTCTCTCTTTCGCCATTTGAGAGGTCATCTAAGCTTCCCAATTCGATTTTCTGAGCTAAGGTATCATCACCACTCCTTCACGCATCTCGCATGTTCTTCAAGTGCAGCGAGATATCTCGATCCCAACATGCGAGGGATTCTGATTGATTGGCTTGTAGAGGTATTAAAAACAAGTTGCTTCCTCATGTTTCATATGCATAGCTTTACTTCAAAAACAAGTTGCTTCCTCATGACTCATGAGTATTTGTTAGAGTAAGAATCTCTGTTTTTATGCTTTTTTATTTCCTCCAGGTTTCTCAAGAGTACAAGCTGCCTTGAGATACACTCTACCTTACAGTGAATCTAATTGATCGGTTCCTGTCCCATAGTTACATTGAGAAGCAGAGGCTTCAGCTTCTTGGTATCACCTGCCTCGTGAGTTCCCAATTCTTTTGAGTTAGCATTCACATTGCAATGTAGAAAACTAACTAATGCATTCTTCTTTGTATATTCTTGTTGAGCCACTGAAGCAAATACGAAGAGATTTGTGCACCGAGGTTGGAGGAGTTTTGCTTCATTACAGACAATACATACACAAGGCTAGAAGTTACAGGTAAAACCATTCCATAGCACTAAAGTTTCAGTATGCAAAAACCATATCCGTTTCTGAAATCCCATCACTTTCTCTCTCGTACAATCACTATATAAGGATGAGAGGAAAAACAGATTTCAAATCTTGAGAAAGAAAAAGGTAGCAGAGACTAAAATAGAGAAGAAAAAGAAGAAGAAATATAATGCACAAGGAATAGTAGAATACAAGAAAAGAGAAACGTGTTTTAACATTTTTTAGAGTTTGATTTTTATTTTCCAAAATAGAGAGTTAAATTGTAAAATGTAGTTTAGTTCATACAGAGCTAATATATTTTTCATCGTGAATTGTAGACATAATAGTTGTTATGAAAAAAATCACTATATTCTAAAATGATGTTGGGCACATATCTATTTCAGTATTTTCATTTTATCTTGGATAAATTCTACCATTTTTTTATTTTGACAACGCACATTAGCAGTAACACACCACTTATATATTTATGCAATTTTAAATATTCAAATTCCACAAGAGTTTCCTCTTGGACCACCATAATTAAAAAAGTAACCGAGTCTACCAGTATATAATGGAGATCTTTTTCCGATTTTTAGTCCATAACATTTGGGACTATCTAGTAACTTCTCTATTGAAAAAAAGTCAATTTTGGTCTCTTCATACATAGCATTCAATACTTTAATATTTGTAAAAATTGCTGATTCAGTAATGTCTTTAGTTTGGAAATTTACCATTACCCATCACAGGACTTGAAGCAGAATGTGAAGTTTTAACCACACCTGCAGCTCCAACCATATTTGCACCACTATTTAAAAGGTTAAATAGCTCTTTTGGCCAATAACCGATATCTATACTAGGTGTTTTTGACGATATTGTTGTAATCCACCAATTCCATGTACTTTGATCCTTTTTTGTTTATATCAAGCAACAAAATAAAAAATATATTAAGAAATGTAAGTAATTATTTAAGGCAAAGTATTATGATGTAGAATAATTTTACTCAAATAAATGGATCACTAATTTGATTATGTAATTGCTTATTTGAAGATTCATAAATGAGAGTGTATGGAGTTCAGCTCATAACATATTTTTCATCGTGATGCTAAATATATAAAATTAGAAAAATACCTGATGGATGGAGATTGGTAACCAATCAGACCCTGGCTTGATGTCTTCTGGTTCACCTATGGAAATATCTTTTGATACTTGAACAAATCATGAACATGCTGTATTGTAACACCCTTTTCCATCTTTACCCTATTAAACCAAACTTAATATTGTACATGATTTAAGGATTTTACACAAAAATAAATAAAAATGTTTGTGTGGATCCACACCTTCCAAAAACCATATGACCAAACACGTCCCTCGCCAAATTGGTTTGGATTTATCTGTTAAAATAATTAGAATATTTTAAGATTATACATCTAAGTTAACTAATGTATGAGAGAGAGAGAGAAAAAAACAATAAGATGTAAAACCTACCATAAAACCTGCTGAAATAAATTCGACTTTGTTATTCAGTCCGCTGCCTAGATATATTTGACTATATGCGGCTTGATCTTTTCCAACAGGTATATTATATGCTCTAAAAGATGATTGTACACCATGAAATAGACCATTTGTTGTCCTTATTCCAGCAATCTACCAAAAACCGTTATATTAATGATTTAATGCTTGACATCTACATATAAAATATATTATTAGATCTAACATATTAGGAGGAGTGAGATGAACTCTTACATGTGTTCCAGGGTCATCGACTGTTTGCGGCCGAAAAATTTTCTCAGCGAAAAATTGTGAATTTGTGATGATTTCTTTTGTATTTCTCAATATAGGAACGGTACCATCTGGACATCTGGTTTTCTTTTTATTAGATGTGTTGCTATTGCTAGTTTGATTCTTTAATTTGGATATTGAAACTAATGGTTTCAACTATTTAAAAAAAAAAGTTATGGTGTAGTCAATATATATAGAGATATTTTAAAATCTCATTTTATAAAAGAAAAAACAAAGGCAAAAGACAATTTTTATGACCATGCATCTGAATTTTGTGGTTTTTTAACAAAGGGTTATCAAGACTTGGTTGCTTATAAATATCCACACAGTCGTAAGTTACATTTCCACTTATCTGCGAAGGACAAAAACGACAAGAGTATTGAACTCAGTCCATGGTAAAAGGTGATGCTGAATAAATTCAGTTGATCAAACATACTAGAAGATGATGCGGAGGACATAGTACGTATGTATTAAAATTTTGTTTTATTAAAGTTACCGTGAAGGATCTAAGAGGCGCTGCACTTTGATCTGGACGAACCAGGGCTGCTGATGATAAAAGAGATAAAAGATTGATAACGAAAGCCATCATCATTCCTGTTGACATTTGTTTTTTTTTTTTTGTGAGTGTCTTTAATACTGAAAATAATCTGTTATTTATACACATATTACGATGGAAAAAAAGAAAAATTAGTCAAGGGAAGAATGGTAATGAATCAATGAACATAAAAGTTTGACTGAATTTATGAGGATATAGGATTATAATGGAAATATCATAAAAGAGAATTGGATTAGCATTAATTCAACTAAATATTACTAATGCTAATCCAATTCTCTTTTATGGTATTTCCATTATAATCCTATATGGTCATAAATTCAGTCAAACGTTCATAATGGGGGATATGTGGGAAAAGCCTTTGCAATGGGAATCTCTTTGTTCTTGATATTATGAATGGGAGCTAAACATGCTAAAATGCCATTTTTTCTTATCCTGTGAGATGTTTATGCAGTATGGGTAGTGCTTTAATGTCTGGTTCGAATTTACTTCTTTCAAGTTCCTTTTACTTATTAGCTCTGAGGTTTTGTCGAAAATTCCTGATTCGTGTATTGTTATTTGTTGCTCTTCAGTATGATCTAATTGGAACCATTTTTGAACTTCGAATTCTTCATTGTGTAGTAAGATCTGACAGTCAATAGTTGATTCGTTTTAGCTTGGTCAGCTGAGTTTTATTTAAGTCATTGTTTAAAATGACAAGACTTAAGCATTACCCTCAAAGTACTCTGTTTCTTAAGTCATGTGCTTCTAGAGTGAAGCTTAACTAAGTTCTAGCTTAACAGAACTAGCAAGAGAGCTATGAAGTGATTACTCAAACCACATGAAAGCTTGAGAGAGTATTTTGTTAGAGTAAGAATCTCTGCTCTATCTTGGCCCTGTGAGTTTACCACATCATCTGGTAGCCAAAACTCTATAAATCTAGAATCATAGTATCAGAAAAGATAGCAATCACAGATTCTGGACATTAATTTTTTACTGAATCTTGAAATGGCTTGTATTACTTGCTTTGTATTACTGGGAGCACAAAATTCTAGAACATTGCATTTAAGGGAAGGTACTATCTCAATGTGTCAAAATTATGTTTTTTTTAATACAATTATTCATGAGATGGAACTAACAACAGTTACATGAAAAATAAACAGACAACTTACATAAACCTATTCGATAACTAAAGAGATCAAAATTGATGTCTGAAACTAGCATTTGGTCACCTGATGCAATTCCTGAAGCCAGAGAGATTTGCTGCCTTGGTTGGTGTATGTGTTCACATCAGGTGAATCCAATGCACAGTTTCATCTTGAGAAGAGTGTTGTGACACTTTTAAGAGATATTAGTGTTGCCACTTTTTTAAACTGTCAACAAAATTCAATGTCAAATTTGCACACTCCTTTAAACGTTCAGGAGCTATTTTAGCAAACAGTGTATGTATACCTTTTGTTGGCTGTATTTATTCCTTATAGCAACGAGAGTGCTTCCACTGGTGTTGAGCTGCAAATCCTCCATTGCAAGCACTGTGTGTTTTAGAGCGGCCGTCTCATATCTAGTATAGTGCTCTAGAGTTGGGTTCTGTACATTCATAAGCAAAATTTATCTTCATTATGAAGAATAAAGTAAAAAATGACATTCACAAACAAGGAATGTGAGCTCACCCAAGGATGATTAGATTGGTGTAACGTCCATCTTGCTAAGAAAACAGCTGAAGCGGCTATTAGAGAAGGCATGAACCTTAGGAAAGTATATTCCACGAGAGTTAGTTCTGCAAGATAGTTTGCTAAGAACTCCATCTCCATGTGAGGAACCTGTGTACGTACCAACAAAATCAGTTTTCAGATGTTAAGGATTTGTAACTTTATAACAAAATACTAGTGAATATATCAATGTGAAAGTAAAACCACCTTGTCAGACGCCTGAGCTGCTCGGATAAACCGCCTGAAACCGCAGAAGAAGAAAATGATTTTAGTACGTTTTTGAAAATGTTAGAGAGAAAATGTAGGAGTGAAGTTATGCATTGCCATGCCTTGAGTGTTTACCTGAGAAAGGTTTTGGTGGTGGGAACTGATAACCGGAAATTCAGAAAGTTTACAACTTGAATCTCCATGCTCAGTACCTATCACAAGATTCTTTGTTATTCCTTTTCTTTTACCAAGAATCAACCACTCTCTATATATAGTTTGTATGCTAATTACTTCTAGTCTTGTGTAAGTATTGTCTGTAATGAAGCAAAACTCCTCCAACCGCGGTGCACAAATCTCTTCGTATTTTCTTCAATGGCTCAACAAGAACAAAGAAAAAATACTTTAGTTAATTTATACTACATTGCAATGTGAAAGCTAACTCAACAGAATTGGGAACTCACGAGGCTACAAGCAGGCAGGTGATACCAAGAAGCTGAAGCCTCTGCTTTTCAATGTAATTATGAGACAGGAACCGATCAATTAGATTCACTGTAAGGTAAAGTGTATCTGAAGCCAGCTTGTACTCGTCAGAAACCTGGAACACATAGCATTTCAAATACACTTTCAAGCTCTCATTTGGTCCAAAAATTTCAACTAGAGCTATGCATATGAAACTTGTATATAAGATATTGTTTTTAATACCTCGACAAGCCAATCAATAAGAATCCCACGCATGTTGGGATCGATATCTCGCTGCACTTGCACCATATAGCTACTTGAAGGTCTTTGTTCAAGCTGTGCAAAAACAAAAAACAAAAAGTGTTAATAACTCAGAATCTTGGAAAGATCAAATAAGACCAAATATTTGGATCATGTTAATCCAAACCTCTGCAACATAGTTCCTGTCATATATACTTGCAGCATATAAGCTACAAAACTGAGGATCTTGCACATTGGAATCAATATCTACAACCTGAAGACAACCATCAGATCCTTCTTCTTCTGCACAATCCAGTGAACCTTGAGTAAATCTTGAGAAACATAAACTATAATATATGCTTCATTTAACAAGATTGTTTCTTACTTTGCTCAGTAGTAACTTCTCTATCTTTACAGTTTAGAGCAGATGCATCTAAGGATTCAACCATCATTATCTTTGACAAATCTTCAGCTAGTTTTGATTTTTCAGCATCCACATCTACCAAAACTTCCATGGCTCTTTGCTTAGTCTCTTTTCGGCCTCGCTTGCTAGCCTGTCACGTTATATATCAGTAACTAAGAAGGAGTTCTAAAAAGGAAAAACACAAATCAAGAAACCGCTACCTTAACATTGCATCCACCCAAAGAGTCTGTACAAACACTTTGAAACAAAATGTTTGTCACATCCTTGAGAACCGCTCGTCTCTTCGGCTTGTTATTGGCAGCAACATCTGATGCCATTCGTTTATTACTCGCTCTAGGAACACGCTTTGGTTCATGTTTGAAAACGGGTTTCGATGGAGATGTTGACACTCCTAAGGCCTTAGCTCGTGATCTCGTGACTCTCACATTGTTATTGTTTGGAAAGACTGTTTCTTTGTTTGCTTTAGCATAATACCTTGAAGAAGGTCTCTGCATGATTTTAAAAATTGGAGAATGCCACTAGCCTGCAGACCAAAACAGAGTAAAGTCTCTTAATTTATTATACAAGGGGACCAATTACTGTTCAAACAAAATGGCATAATTTCGAATAAAGATCACAATTCAAGTTGCAATTTCACGGAAAAAATAATAATCTCATATTCAATTTATGTGATTAGATCTCTCAATTTCGTAAATTTCTCGAAAATTGAGTGAAATAAGCTTGAAACAAGCAAAAATCTAGGTAGAAAAGTCTCCAAACAGATCTACAAACCGAAATCATCAAAATTATGAAGAGAGAAAAAACATGGATCCAAAAATGAAGAACATGCGAGAGGCGTGAAGGCGTATGATGATGATAATTGATACCTTAGATCAGGAAATCGAATCGGGGAGCTTGAGATGACCTCAAATGGCGAAGAGAGAGTGTGAAGTTGAAATAGGAGGAGCGTGTTGGAGAGTGAGCGGGATTTTTGTTGCCTCGTTCGAAAACAAAATTTGTTTTAAGGTCAAAAGGAAAGAAACTTCGGATTTGGACTAATGCGATTTTTTAATTTTTGATTTTTTTTGGGATTATTTGAGAGTGACAGGGTGCGTTCTGACACTTTGACGTCCGGTCCCGTATTGGTAAAAGAATTTAAATTCGAATAAATAATCAGCCGTTACGCGCCTATTCTATCGCATATGTCCCTTACTCTCTCACTATACCGTTCGAAAACCTAATAAAAAGCCCAATACTCTAACAAAGCCCAACCACGTTTTGTTTCTCTTTTCTTTTCCCACATTAAAATCAAAGGGAAATCAAACAAATTAACACAATCATCAAGTGAAGTAAACGATCAAACGAAAAAGAGAATCATAAAATCAGAAAAAAAAAAAAGAGATTTTTTCAAGATTGTGTACGAAAAAAGAGAATCATAGAATCACTGAGATCGCAGCAGCAAGTAATTGAATCTCATGTAATCCCACATGAATTTGATCTAGGGAACTTCTGTTCCACCAAATAGCAAGTAATGCCCGTCCCAAATAGCAGTAACGCAGCAAGCTTTAGGTTTTGTGCCGACTTTTCGAACTTCATCGGAAAGACAGAGAACAATCATCGTTAGATTTGAACGGACAAAAACAAAAAATTGCTACACTAAGCTTGTGTCGTTTTCTGGTAACCAATAATGCTTTCTCTATCGATGAGGAGTCGCTGGTTGCTGCTGCCGCTGAGTCTCTGGAGCTTCTGTCTTAGATCAAAGACTTGGTCTGTCTCTGACGATAAATATTTCGTAATCCCTTCGCTGGCGGGTTGGATCGAGAGCGAGAAGCCTCGTCGGGAAATGTCGGGAAGAAATTGGTGGACGATGAAGAAAAAAATAGCTGACCTGGTCAATAAATTCCAAAAATAAGCCGATGTGTATTATTAATTAATGAATGTTTATTTGGAATAAGGACAACAAATGGTCCATTTCATGGTGTTGAATCTGGGTTTAACGTATATAATATAAACGTTGGAAGACTCGGAAAAGATCAAGCCTCATTCCAAAAATAAGCCGATGTGTATTATTAATTAATGAATGTTTATTTGGAATAAGGACAACAAATGGTCCATTTCATGGTGTTGAATCTGGGTTTAACGTATATAATATAAACGTTGGAAGACTCGGAAAAGATCAAGCCTCATACAGTCATTTATATATAGGCACTGGATTGAATAACCAAGTTAATATTATATCATCGGGTTGGATGGTATGTTTTACATTTTATCAATTTTTCTTTCTCGTATGTTAATTTATTTAATCCTTTATGAATAATTTTAAAATATTGCAAATTATTTGGATAGGTAAATCCAGGCGTGTTTGGCGACGGAAGTGTTTGGTCATATGGTTTCTGGAAGGTGTGGATGCACACAAATAATTGTTTTTTTTTTAAAACTTAAATCATGTATAATATTAAATTTGGTTTAACAGGGTAAAGATGGAAGAGGGTGGTAAAGATGGAAGAGGGTGTTATAATACGGTATGTTCAGGGTTTATTCAAGTATCGAAAAATGTCCCAATTGGCGAATCAGGAGACATTAAGCCAGGGTCTGATTGGTTACATTTCTCCATCCATCAGGTATTTTCCTAATTTTGTATATTTACTTCTTATATATCGATGGAAAATATGTTACGGGTTGAACTCCATATATTTCCATTTATGAATCTTCAAGAATCAAATTAGTGATCTTAACAATTGTTTTCTTTTGTTTTTTTTTTAAATAAACAAAAAGGATAAGATAACAAGGAATTGGTGGATTACAAATATGCCGCCACATAGACCTAGTGAAGATATCGGCTATTGGCCAAAAGAGTTATTTAACCTTTTAGATAATGGTGCAAATATTATTAGAGTTGCAAGTATGGTTAAAGGTCCACATTCTACTTTAAGCCCTATGATGGGTAATGGTAACTTTCCAACTAAAGACCCCAGTAAATCAGCCATTTTTACAAATATTAAAGTATTGGATTCTAAGTATCAAGAGCGTAAAATTGACTCTTTTCCAATAGAGGAGTTGGTAGATAGTACCTAAATATTATGGTTTAAAAATTGGTCGTAGTCAACTTGGTTACTTTTTTAATTATGGTGGTCCAGGAGGAAACTCTTGTGGAATTTGACATCTCATTAATTTATTATAAATAAATAAATATATATATATATATATATAAGCTGTTACTTTTTTTTTTCTCAAGTTTAATGTCTTTTGAACATGTAAACTGTTAATGTGCTATTTAACTGCTACCAACTTAATAAAAATAATAGAGAAAAGATTGTAGAATTATCCAAGAGAAAATGAAAGTAATGAATAGATTGTACCCAATATCATTTTAGAATATAGTGAGAATTTTTCATAACAAATATCATGTCTACAATTCATATTGAAAAATGTTTAGTATTGTACGAACTAAACTGCATTTACCATTTAGCTCTCGATTTTGGAAAAAAATTAGTCTCTAAAAAAAGTTAAAACATGTTTATCCTTTGGCCATTAACAGATTTAATGTAAAAACTCATTAAAATCTAAAAACTAAAAACCAAAACCACTCAAACATATGATAAACTCTCTAACAATGGACTTTTTTTTTCTTAATCAAAGAGTGATTTAGTTACGGTTATTTACTATTTCCAGTGATTTAGTTACGAAATTTACTATATCTACGTAGCCATAAAATAAACGTTATTCATACATTACAGCAATATATTTCACACTTGATAAAATTTAATTAGTTTTAATTCGGAAATGCGTACTGCCTACACCACTAGTTTTGTATGACTTTCTCTGAAAGATATATGATATTGTAACTAAATTAGCCTGTATATAGGATAAACTAGGCGGTGGAAGTAAGCCAAGTAGTGTGCTACGAATTAAGGTTCTGTTAGGTACTGTCATTTTCACGAAAGGCGTCATTTCTTACATACTTGGTTACACTTTTAACTTACGTGTTATTAATTGTAATGGTCCAAAAGTTTAACTTATACAGTACAAAGTGTCAGGTAGCTGCAGTAATAGCTTAGTTGAACTAAACAACTAAAACAATGATTGATTACTAGTTCATTTTTTTTTTTTTGTAGGAGTAGGCCAAAAATATTCTATTTCTCTCTCTCTCAAAAAGAATCCAACTCGCGCGCGAGGTGAGTTCTTTTGTTCGAGACAGTTTTTTACAATATTTATTTCCTCCAATTTTGTAATTGGCTCAGATTTTTTACTAAATTGTATTATTTTTATTATAATGTTGTTTGCAGATAACATTTTGGGATGAAGAAGCTATTAGAATATGGAATGCATATATTCTCCAAATGTAAATTAGGCATCTAAGTTAATAGCCTATAACGGTAATATTGTATAGTATCCTATATATACTTGTATGAATGGAATGACACAGATCATCGATTGAATAATACCTAATCTAATAGAAGCTAAGCGTATACGGACCCAATCCATCCTAGATATTTTTATCTAGGACTGTTGGCATTGGTGATACTTTTTCTCGCTGCAGTTTGGCTTTGCTGTTGGTGCATTGCGAGGCGCCACGAAAAGAAAAACTCAGCCAAAGTGTCAGCCGTTGAAGAATTATAATGTTTTTGCTCGTTTGTGTCTCTTTGTTATTCCCATGATCGTCTTAAAGTTAACCAGATTGTTACAAATGCATGATTTCATATCAATCTAGAGATGTTAACTTTCCAAGCACTATATTTCCATGCCTTTCAAGAAAAACTTCACTATAAGAGCCAATCATTACATGATAAACAACCAGATTATTAATTAACATTTATCCATGGCTCTACTTCTATCAAGAACAAAGGACCCGTACGTTCGTTCGTTACAAGATTACTGACACCATATGTACATACTATATATGCAAAAACATAGGCTTTCAAAATCTATCGTTTCCAAATCAAACATGCAAAAACAACAATTATTGATAATTTTCTACCAAATCTATGTTAACAACTTTTATGTGGGATGTTCATTTTTTTTTTTTGTTGTTGTCAACAGCCTAGGTTTCTAGATCGGTTTGGGGAGCGAGACCGTTGGGATGTTAATTTTTTCTTCCTCTATTAATAGAACCTTTTATATGGTTCAAAAAGAAAAGGTAATATTTCCAATATTTTCCGATTCAAAATGTGCAAGAAGCAGAGTGTAACAAGTTTATTTACCTCGTAGAAGAATGCAACGCAAACAATGTATATTGTATAGAGGAGAGTTATTTGTTCATCAGATATTCAGCTTTAACATCAATCCCATTCAAATTTGCACTAGTTGTCTTGGTCATCTTAAAGCTGTGGGGCCAAATCTCTTACAACAACGGGGTCCACGTATTCACTTTAGCAGATCCACGGTTGATCTGTCTCCACGTTCCAGTCCCATGTGCCATTGATCATCATATTTCCTTCATGGCTCGTGTTCCTCCACGTTTCATCTCTTTCCTTAGCAAGTCTCTCCCCAAGTCCCCGCTTTTTTTTTCTCTTCCCTTTCTTCGAAGTTAGAATCTTTACGAGAGTAAGCAAAATGCAGGAACAAGCAACTAGTTCTTTAGCTGCGAGCTCTCTTCCATCAAGCAGTGAGAGATCATCAAGCTCTGCTCCGCCTTTGGAGATCAAAGAAGGTCTCTTTTTTTCTCTCAAATTTTCCATCTTTAATTTCGAATTTAAAAAATCGAGAAGATCAATCTCTTTGCGAATACGTCTTTGACAGTTTCACTTTTGCGGCAGGAATGGAAAGCGACGAGGAAATACGAAGAGTGCCGGAATTCGGAGGAGAGATCACCGGAGCAGAAAACTCCGGCCGAAATTCTGCATCGGCGGCTGGTCAGGAGCAGATTCAGGCAACCGGAGGAGAAAAACAGAGGAAACGAGGAAGGAGCTCAGCTGATAAAGAGAACAAAAGGCTAAAGAGGTTGTGTAACTTATGACTGATTTACCCTTCCGAGTTTCGCAGTAGATTTGGTGGTGACAGGGCTTGTTTGGTCCTTTTGTTTTAGGTTGTTGAGGAACAGAGTTTCTGCTCAGCAAGCAAGAGAGAGGAAAAAGGCTTACTTGAGTGATTTGGAGATGAAAGTGAAAGACTTGGAGAACAAAAACTCTGAACTTGAAGAAAGACTTTCAACGTTGCAGAACGAAAACCAAATGCTTAGACATGTATGTCTGTTTCTCTCACAGTTCTCTGTTTCTCTCTTTAGGTTCACTCATCAATGGTTGTTACTTCACTAATCTACTCAAGTTTAAGATTTAGATCCTTGTGTTTTAATTGACTATATCTCAATGCTTTTTTTCAAATGGTTTCGGATTTGATGATTTCTACAGATTCTTAAGAACACAACAGCTAACAAGAGGGGAGGCAATGGTGGTGGTTCTAATAATCCTGAGTCTTGACGAAAGTGTTTGACCTTGGTCTTATTTTTTTTCTGTTGTTGTGGATTATATTTACAGATCAAATGTGTTTTTAGATATATAACCAAACTCTTGTTTAGTAATAAAAAAAGAAGAGATAATATGTGGTTTATCACCTAACTAGATATTTAAAAAAAAACCTCAAAATCTCTAGCTAGTTCTTGGTTTCTTGTCAAGTAATTAAACAAAAAAAAACCAAAACCTAGCTAGTTCTTGATTTCTTGTCAAGTAATTTACAGTTGAAATCCAATGTTAGTTACTTAGATTACGTTAAGCAATGCTATCTACTTATTCGCAATGCATGTATAACTGACTAATTAATTGCATTACGTACCCAATTGAAGAAATTTTGCCTCCATGGCCGGACAAATAAACCCCGAGGAAGTTTCTTTGGAACTTAAACCATGTCAATTTGCCGTATTCTACCACTTTCTATTTTTATTTTATTTTTTGCTAATACATTTCTTTTGCTCCCTAGAAACGAAAGCTATATAAAGAGAGACGTCGTCAAAAGTAAAAACAAAATGAAGAGGTTGAGGAAGCACAGAAAATAAAAATGAGTTTGAGAAAAACATCTCTGCTTTTTTATTTTCTCTTCTTCTTTCATTTTCAACACAACCTTCTCTCCGTAGATTCACGATCCTTACGTCAAGCCTCCGTTGACACGAGCCACGTTACCTCCATACCAAAATTAGCAGTCTTTATCAGGAAAGGCGGTGGCGGTAGGGGAGGAGGCGGACGCGGTGGCGGTGGCGTTGCAGGCAAGGCAGTTGGGCACGGTGGTCTTAAGCAAGCTCGCAGCGGGCTAGGTGGTTATCCGTTTTTCGTGGTTGCGTCACACCAGAGCGCTAATCCTTCAAGCGGTAGCCGGAATCTTGGATGGACAGGGCGTGGTTTCGGTTGGTTGACTTTATCGGTCTTCACCGGAATAGTTTTGGTTTCATAGGGTTAGGTAAATTGTTAGAACTTAGATGTCGTCTAATCCTATTTACAATTCAAATAGTCTTGTGGTACAAATTTAATCGTCGATTTAATTTTTTCTTACAAACAATGGATTGTTCCGTTGCTTGATTATGAAGTCACAAGCACACGACATTTTCGAAATATGTTTTTGATCAACACGTGATGCGTGAAGACATTTGTCTTAAATTAATTATGCATACGAGAATAACATTATCGAACTAATTTGACTCTCGATATATAGTTTTTGTTTACGTTTGAAACGCAAGACATTATTGATTACTACTACATTCGTTACGTTATTAATATGTTTTTTTTTTTTCACTTTTACCAAAAAAAAAAAAAAAAAAGTTTTTTTTCACACGTGAAAAACAAAAACTTTGAAATTCTGTTATATACCCTAAGTTATACACTTTTATAATTGTCAATGTTTCTCTCTATATGACTATATGTAATGTTATACTATGGTCAAGACTCAAAATTGATTTATCGAAAAAAAAAAAAAATTGATTTATCGCGCGTGTTACAAAAAACGTTTTCAAAGTTTCATTTTACAGCAATGAACGATTAAATTTTCACAAAGTTATGAAGATCCTACACCAAATATAATGGCTAAATCTAAGCTAAGTTTAAGACTAAATTGGTAGGATCTTGTTCCATGCAAGAAATACAACTTAGCCTTTATAATTGGTAGTATGTTGTTGTTATAACGTTAAGTCTTTAACACTATCCTTGACTCCTAGTCCTAGATATGCATATGAATATCGAGTGTATAATTGAATATATCAAACATGATGTACAGTTCGTACCATTGTAACGTACATAAATCACTTTATTTTGGTTGTAATTTTTATGCTATTATGGAAATGGAACATAAATTAACTACTACACTTATATGATTGTATAATCGATTCTGTACAGTTTTCTACAGTTGTATAAGGAGGAGTCAAGTGACCCATAAATAAAGCAAACGGAAAAATGCTATATATCGCCAAATTCGTTGGACACTTGTGACTCGAAATTATTGACTAATATTTGGTGAACATGCTGACAAAGAACGCTAAATTAGAAAATACAAATACGTATTATTTGTAATGTTTACCTCTTCAATCGATTTTAGCAACAAATTTTAATCATGGAGTTATAATTAGGTGTCATAACTGGATTAACAGTGCGGAATTACGCGGTTTACTATTAGTCATGTCTAAAACCTGTATACATACCACACCGTTGCTTTCTAATTTCCTCCCCTTCGTAGACGGTCTCAACCAATTAGATTCTGCCACCTCAGCAATTCAAGTCCTTCCTCTTTCTTTTTTCTTCCAAACGATTCACTGTCTTGTTTTCTTTTGAATTTCTTCCGATTTCTTCCCTCTCTCTCTCTAGAATTTCCTCAGTTTTATAGAGACGGAGAGGGAGAGAAGGTGTCATCGCGGAAATCTTGAGCTCTCCAGGTATTTCGAATTCGATTCTATGCATGTCTATTTTGTTTTCAGTATTGCGCGAAACCCTAGAAGCGGTTTAATGCTATATTGGCAATCTTACTCTGCATGTGTTTCTGGAAACAAAAAAAACGATTGTAACTGCTAATGTGTGTGTTATATATAACACGCTTCAATATCTCTGGATTGCTGCAGAAATGGAGAGTGAAGGAGGAGGTCCATTTCAGGGAATACTCCGAGATATCCAAGGTAGACGCAAATGCTACAAACAAGATTGGATTCGTGGCATCAAAAACGGTATCAGGTAAGAGTTAAAAACTGATGCATATTTGATGCTAAAGATTGAATCAAACTAACTTTTTTCTTCTTCTTCTTGATTTCAATGTCTTACTAGAATTTTGGCTCCGACTTGCTATATTTTCTTTGCCTCATCTCTCCCTGTAGTTGCCTTTGGTGAGCAATTGAGTAAACATACAGGTATTTTAAATATATATATATATATATATATATATATATATATATATATATTTCTTCCGATGTTGCTACTGACGAACATATCTTAAGAATCTACCTCTGATGGTTTCTATTTCAACTCTTGGTTATAAGGCGGAGCTCTGACTGCAGTGGAAACATTAGCTTCTACTTCCATCTGCGGAATCATCCACTCGATTCTTGGTGGACAGCCATTGTTGATACTCGGAGTTGCAGAGCCAACCATCATAATGTATACTTATCTTTACAGTTTCTGCATTAGTAGACCTGATCTTGGTCGAGAGCTTTACCTTGCTTGGGTCGCATGGTAATTATCAACAACAAATAAATAATCAATCTCCTTAATTAATTAGAAACTGTTTTCTGAGAGTTTTTATTAATTCTTGCAGGGTTTGTGTATGGACTTCAGTTTTGCTAATCCTTCTTTCGATATTCAACGCGTGCACAATCATCAAAAAGTTTACTAGAATCGCTGGGGAGCTCTTTGGCATGTTGATTGCTGTTCTCTTTTTACAAGAAGCTATCAGGGTAAAAATGCCAATTCATTGTCTAGGTTAAGCCCCCATATACGTTACCATTACCTAACATGCTTAGTGATGTATATATGTGCAGGGATTGATTAGTGAGTTTCACGCAACCGAGAGAGAAACTCATGACTTAGGGGAGTCTAGTTTCCTCTGGCTGTATGCAAATGGTTTGCTTGCGGTGATTTTCTCTCTAGGCCTTGTAATCACTGCGTTGAAGAGCAGGAGAGCTAAATCTTGGAAATATGGGTTTGGTATGTCATTTTTTACTATATATCATTAGTTCCTTCCTTAAGGTGTGTACATAAATGGAAGACTCATACCACTAAAAAACCAACAGGTTGGCTTCGGAGTTTCATTGGAGATTACGGTGTTCCCTTAATGGTCTTGTTCTGGACTGCCTTGTCTTACACGATTCCTAGCAAAGTCCCTCCAAGTGTCCCTAGAAGACTCTTCTGTCCTCTTCCATGGGAGTCAGCTTCATTGTACCATTGGACTGTAATCAAGGTAAGATCTATGATGCTAATATGATCCATCACATTGTTAAACTAAATTATGTACTTATAAAACTTATTATATATACAGGACATGGGGAAGGTACCATTAATGTATATCTCCTAGAAGACTCTTCTGTCCTCTTCCATGGGAGTCAGCTTCATTGTACCATTGGACTGTAATCAAGGTAAGATCTATGATGCTAATATGATCCATCACATTGTTAAACTAAATTATGTACTTATAAAACTTATTATATATACAGGACATGGGGAAGGTACCATTAATGTATATCTTTGGAGCAATTATACCAGCTGTGATGATAGCAGGACTCTACTTCTTCGACCATAGTGTAGCTTCACAAATGGCACAACAGAAAGAGTTTAATCTTAAGAACCCTTCTGCTTACCACTACGACATCTTCTTGCTGGGAATTATGGTGCGTTTTTTGACATTTCTTTAAACTGGATTTTCGAAAGATGCTTTTTCATGTCATAGTGAAAAGTTTGAGAAATCTTGTTGTTATGTAGACTTTGATATGTGGACTACTTGGGCTTCCTCCATCAAATGGTGTTCTTCCTCAGGCTCCAATGCACACAAAGAGTCTTGCGGTTCTCAGTCGTCAGGTAAGATCATAAACATATGTCAAAGAAAAGTTGATAGAGATGATATGTTCTTATAACTTCAAAGCCTGGATTTCTTTGCAGCTGACACGCAAGAAGATGGTGAAGAGTGCGAAAGAGTGTATGAAGATGAAAGCCAGCAAATCAGAAATGTATGGGAGAATGCAATCAGTGTTCATCAAGATGGAGGAATGTTCAGGTGAGGTTTGTACAGTACCCACGGATTTGAAAGACTTGAAAGCAGTTGTGATAAGACCAGAGGAAGGAGAGGATACGAAAGTAAAATTCGATCCCGATGTGCATATTGAGGCTAACTTGCCTGTTAGAGTAAACGAGCAAAGAGTGAGCAACCTGTTGCAATCAATCCTAGTTGGTCTAACACTTCTTGCAGTGCCAGTCATCAAAATGATCCCAAGTTCCATTCTTTGGGGTTACTTTGCTTATATGGCAATAGACAGTCTTCCCGGAAACCAGTTCTTTGAAAGATTGTTGCTTCTCTTCATTCCTCCTAGCCGGCTTTTCAAGTAAGTTCAAAGCTTTTTTTGTTTTCTTTAGTTTATTATTCAGAGAGAGCTTTCTCAATCAGTAGTTTTCATCTTAATGCAGAGTCTTGGAAGGAGTACATGCTTCGTTTGTGGAGTTGGTACCATACAAAGTGATTGTGGCATTCACACTTTTCCAGTTTGTATACTTTCTATTGTGTTATGGCATGACATGGATTCCAATGGCCGGGATATTTTTCCCGGTGCTCTTCTTTCTACTCATAAGTATAAGAGAACACTTGCTCCCCAAGTTCTTCGATCTCGAACACCTTCATGTGTTAGATGCTTCAGACTATGAAGAAATAGTAGCAGCACCTCTACAACACCACCCAAGTTTTGCATATAGGGTAAACCTCTCTCTCTCTCTCTCATTTTTTTGTATTTTGGTGTCTTAATGAGTCTCAACAAGTCTGTGACACTTTTTAAACATTTTGGTGAGCAGAAACTGGGATCTTCTCGTCATTTATCAGAAGGAGATGATGAAGATGAATTCTACGACGCAGAAATATTGGAAGAGATGACGACTAGTAGAGGCGAGATCAGGATCCGAACCATAAGTTTCAAAGAGGTAAATCAAAAGCTTTCATATCTATTCCTCACATCTTTTCCAGTTTTGGTTGAATATTCAAAGGAAAATATTTCTTGTTTTCAGGTGCACCCGGAGCCTGAAGAGAGGCGTGTAAAATTTGAACCACACTAAAAATAAAACACACAATCGTTTGCAGTTATTTTTGTATACAAATTTGTAACTGTGCATATATATAAATACATCAGACTATGTTATAAATTACTTTTTTAATAGTAGAGATATGTTTTCAGCATTTATAACTTGTTCTTCAAATCTGTTAGCACTTGTTTCATTGATGGTCGTTTCTTTGAGTCTTGCTCAAGGCATTGTTCTATAATCTCGCACATACGTCTTCCCGCTTCCAGAGAAAGCTATTCTCTAAATCAGGACCGATAATCTCTGGAATTTTTTCCTTGTCATTTCTTATTGCTTGCTTTGCTACGACTAGCTGATGATTCTCAAGACCAGTAAAGGTCTCAAGTAGTATAACACCGAAGCTGTACAAATCCCTCGCCATGTCCAACTTCCCTGCATATGGTTCATCTTCATACGAGGAGACGTATGATCGGCTAGTGAGATCAGGTAGCATCTCGAGTCCAAAATAGGAAACTCTTGCGTTGAAACCCTACATATCCCATACATGCCATTAGTAAGCTTAAGAAGCAAGAAACTATTCAAGAAGCTGGATCCATACCGAATCGAGAAGGATTTTAGAAGCCGTGAGATTTCCTTTGTAGAGTCTGCTGATCTTCAAAGAGTGCAACAAGGCAAGACACTGAGCCGCTCCTATGGATATCTTAAGCCTTGTCTCCCACGGCAAAGACTTTGGATGACTCTGTGATATACATTCAAATTATAAAGGCCAAAAGGAGATGAATAAATGAAGATTAGTATTATAATTTATAACTTTCTTGATTACCTCTGTAGATGAGATGATCTAAGCTTCCATTTGGAAACTATTTACAAACGATGAACAACATAGTACGCTCCAAACCGTAGCCAATGAGCTTCACCAAGCTTGGATGAGAGTTGAGTTGTAGAAGCTCAAGATCAACCTAGGTACACAAGTCTCGGCTCAATGTTAAGCACACAACATATAGATGATATGGTGTTGTAAATCATAATGACTTACAAGCCATTTTGGTAAATCTTGGACATTGAACAAGTAAACTCTCTTGACAGCGACGGCAACGTGGGTAACGAACGACTTTTTACCATTTTCTTTAGATCAATTTGAATCTTTATCCCTCAGGCTTGAAGAGTTCAGAATTGACTTTGCCAAAGTCAACAAATATATGGTGAGCAATACGACAACGTTTTTGTCAGATGGTAAGGCTATTTTTATTAATCTTTAGGCTTCAATCTGCCACACAATTTGCTTTATGTATGGTTTATGAAAACGTTGTATTTGTGTATAAGATTGTATGATATTGATGTGTAATGTAGGCTTGATTAAGCCATGAGGGTGAGAGTCTTGGTACAACCAAAACGGAGGTTAAGTGTTTAATGTTTAGAAAGTTCCTCAAAGATACCACTTTTATCAACATTTTTTACATGGATCATATACAGCGATGCTTTGCACGGGTTCTGGTGAATAAAGTGACAAGTCTGAGGTAGATAAGAAGAATAAGATAAGGTATTACATTTAATAGAGTTGTCAGTTGAAAACGATATGGATTATGATTTGGAAGACATTTCCATGTGAGTCACATTAGCAGGGGAGGGGCCTAAATCATTAATGAATTACTTAACGAAAAAGACAATGTTGAATCGTGAATTAAATGTAAGTAACTTCCTCTTTGTCTTTTTTTTTTCTCTCACTTTGCCAACTATTGTTGTTGATTGTTTCTTTTTGTTGTTTTGTTGAGAGTCTTGAGACTGAAGAAGCTTTTGAAAAATAAAACTTTTTTTATTTGCGTTCTGCGTCACTTGATTATGAATCATATCATTGTTGATATAGTTGCAGTCAAAAGTCCAAAAACACGTACGAGAACTTTTGCCAAAAATACTAAACCAAACCAAATCCAAAACAGCTAAACCAATATTGATTTATACCCTGTTTATGGTGCTTCCAAGTTCTAATTTAGAGAGGCCAGCTAAGATTAGGCATGATTCAAAACACGTAACTCAAATTTACGACATATTTGGTATGTTCAGTAAATGAAAAACGGTTTCTACTAATTAACTCAAATTTATTTGGCTTTGAATTACGTAACTTTTAAATTCATTTACCTAATGCAGTAATACTAGAGAAATTCGATGAACGTAACAGACCTTAAATATTTTTGTCTTTACCATATCATTTTTACCTAATAATATTCATCACTCCATTGAATGTTTTTGTGTATTATTATTATATTAGGAATCAATGGAGTGATGAAGGCTCATGGGTCCGTAAGAGAGTAAAAGAAGTGTACAAGGAAGAGGAGACAAAGGCATGATCCTCCCTTTCTCGCCCTCTTCTTTTTCTATTTGGGTCCCATTCGTTCGTTACCCACGTTCCCGACGGGTTCTCGTCTTCTTCTTTGTTTATTTGCTCTTCTCTCCATCGTCCTATTATTATTATTCTTCAGATTCAAATTCCCCAAATGGTTACAATCTAGTTTTAGCACAAGGAATGCATCAAAGTTCCAATCAGAAAAAAAAATGATTCATGTAAGTTATATAGCTACCAAAAAAAGGCCAAACGTTCATATGGTTGGAGTCAGTTGAATCTAACATGTGTAGTTATAGACCGTTATATCTCTATATAAGATTAGAGAAAGATGCAACATAATTAGTTAGTATGGTGTTATTAATGTTAGAAACATTTTTGGATAATTTAGAGAAAGATGAGATAGTTGCTCTTTCTTGGGGTGATAAAGATGAGAAGAAGACACAATTCTGAATTTCTGGCCGACTTTGGAAACCGCATTCTTAGCCACTGAACGGCGTCCTTCCATAGCTTACACATTCCTCATTTCTATTATTAAAAACGCAGCCAGGAAACAAAACTGAAAAACGCACGAAGAGACAAATCAAAGAAGACAAAAGACTTCAAAAAAGAAATTGTTTTTTTAGAAAAAGGTTAGAGACTCTGAAATCTTTTTTTCTTTTGGGTGTAACACATGCCACGCCACGCTAAACGATTCTCCTCGTAGTATGTCCACCGATATTATTTGAAAACGACAAAATTTGGCTTCCACAGTTAGTTTCATAATTAGTCACGAGGTCTCTAATTATTTTCACAATCTAAGGCTTGAAGAGTTTACATGTGTTACTGCTAATGGCATGTGGATAAAGAGATCATCGTTGTATAATCACGTTTAGTGTTCTTTATTTTTTGTCGTGGTCCTCGGTCTTCCTCAGTCACCGCCTCACAGAGATGTGACTATATATTATAAACAGTACTAAAATATTAGCATTTTAAAGATTAGACTTATTTATTTTGATTAGTTTTAAATAATTCCGGAAGTACCCCCAAATATGTCAATAAGGTTCCAAATCTCTGGAAAGGAGTGAGGTCACGACCCCACGTGGGATAACCGAACTACATCAGTGGCATACCCTCGTAATATATAGCAACCTCCAATGGCACTTTAGTAGCTCCAGCTCCTTATAAGCAATTGCCTCGACTCTCTCTGATAATTACAATAAACCAATCCTCTCTTTTCTCTCTTTGGCTTCCTTCAGAATGGGAGGTGTCACCGTCATGTCTCTCTTCCTTCTCCTCATCGCCACCGCCAATGCCGCCGTCGTCTCATTCCGTGACGGTAAGCTTTATTTACAGTTTTACACCATACATACACAATTACACCATGTAAAATCCATTTCGTAATTGTATTTTTTCTTTCATCAAAATTCCAATTTAGTACTATTATACGAAAGATAATAATGTATATTTGAAAAATAAAACTTGAAGCCTTGCTACTTTTACAGTTTTACTCCACTACAATTACTGTTTATCTTCTGAACCTTTTGTTACAGTAGATTATGGCCATCTCCTTAGTTAGGATCGTTAAGTACTTTTAACAATTTTTATGAAAAGTAAATGGGAAAATATCCATTTCATAATTTCATTTATATTAATTCTTAAAAGAAGCAATGAGAAAGGTAAAACAATAAGGCTGGTAACTATAAATTTGTCCGAATATGTGTCTGAATGGTTATAATCGTATTAGTACTTACCTCTGTCAGAAACATAATTACAGTTTTATATTTTTCTCATAACTCGATCTTAAAATTACAATTTTAACCCCGTTTCTGACAACTAATAAACACACCGCAACAATGTTTTTGGACATTTCCAATCAATAAAGTAGAGTGTGGGTCCATGACAAAAGCTAATTCAGGCCCAGTTAGGCTGTCTCTCGGACACACCTCACGTGCCTACCATTTTCCCTCTTTTTCGATTCCTAGTTTTCTAAAGGTTAATTTGGTAATTTCAAACAGGTATGTTACCGAACGGCGATTTCGAGCTAGGACCAAAGGCATCGGACATGAAAGGAACAGAGGTCGTAAACAAAATGGCAATCCCGAACTGGGAAGTCACGGGCTTCGTCGAGTACATAAGCTCAGGACACAAACAAGGAGACATGCTTCTCGTCGTCCCCGCCGGAAAATTCGCCGTCAGGCTCGGAAACGAAGCATCGATCAAGCAGAGACTTAAAGTGGTGAAAGGAATGTATTACTCGCTGACATTCAGCGCCGCGAGGACTTGCGCTCAGGACGAGCGTCTCAACATCTCCGTCGCACCTGACTCCGGCGTGATTCCGGTGCAGACGGTGTACAGTAGCAGTGGTTGGGATCTATACGCGTGGGCGTTTCAGGCGGAGAGTGAGGTCGCTGATATAGTGATTCATAATCCAGGCGAGGAAGAAGATCCAGCTTGTGGACCACTCATTGATGGTATTGCCATGAGATCTCTTTACCCTCCCCGACCAACCAACAGTAAGTGTTAATTCCACTTTATACTCTTGTCTTAATAAATTCTTAAAACATGTCATGTTATGGATATTGACATTATTTATGTTTTAATAATTTTGAAAGAGAACATTTTGAAAAACGGAGGATTTGAAGAAGGTCCACTAGTACTCCCCGGAGCGACCACCGGAGTTTTGATCCCGCCGTTCATAGAAGACGACCACTCTCCATTACCAGGTTGGATGGTGGAGTCTCTCAAAGCCGTCAAATACGTAGACACCGAACACTTCTCAGTCCCACAGGGTCGTCGAGCGATTGAGCTAGTGGCGGGGAAAGAGAGCGCCATCGCTCAAGTGGCTCGGACAGTTATTGGGAAGACTTACGTTCTGTCTTTTGCGGTTGGAGACGCAAACAACGCTTGCAAAGGATCAATGGTGGTCGAGGCCTTTGCAGGGAAAGATACGCTCAAGGTACCTTACGAGTCTCGTGGCACGGGAGGGTTTAAACGGGCTTCGATCCGGTTTGTGGCGGTTTCGACAAGAACTAGAGTTATGTTTTACAGCACTTTCTATGCCATGAGAAGTGATGATTTCTCGTCTTTGTGTGGACCTGTGATCGACGACGTCAAGCTTATTAGCGTTCGTAAGCGGTAGAAGAAATGAAATCGTATTTACAAGATATCAAAAGTGTGAGGCTCTGTCTTTATAATTTGTCTTTGGTGTGTTTTGATTTTTCTTCAAAAAGAGATGCAGTGAAATTAAAAAACAGAGGTTTGTTTACGAGGTAGGGTTTTTTATATAATGCAAATGAGCCTTGCTGATATGTTCTATTTTCTTGTATGAGAAGGCAAAAGAAACGTTGCCGTTTCCTTATGTATCTAGAGGCCTTTTACATTTTTATTATCTTTACAAACTTCAAGAATCAAAGTGCTAACAAAATCACCAATCTTTGTCCACCTTAAGCTAAATGACCGCAACTATTAGTAAAAAGATGCAATTCAAGTCTTTGTTCTCCAAACACAACAATATGCTAATGGATTAACTTTTGGAGATCAAATTTCACCAAACCGGAAGAAGAAGATACTCAAATTTAGCATGAAAGTTGGTTAAAACTCAACTTGGTAATAACAAGGGTCACCTTAGGATTACAAAAAGCAAGTTGGTCAAACTCAGTCATCAACAACATTCTCTACAAACAACATTTTTGGAGACTTAGAAGTATGCGGTATAAGCTCGAGAATCTTGAGAAACGAAGATGCTCGAGCATCACCAGAGTGTTTCTCAAGGCCTAACCAAAAACTTTTAGTATTCAAATTCACATCTATCTAAAATAGCAGAGCTTCATAACGTGTGTTGGTTCGAGATACGTGGCAAGATAAGTAGCAAAATGCTGTCAAAAGGAACGCATCACTCGGTGTACGCAGTGTTCAAGAGAGCAAGCCATAGATCACACGGGTTTGATCACACACCTGTGGAGGCCGGGTTTGTAGGGAAAGAAGCTACGAAGACGTTTGTGTTTCTAGAAGACGGGGGTTGTGGTGATGGGGGTTGTGATGATGGTGATGAGATAAGATAACCAAGACAACTTTACAAATTTGAATGGAATTGATTGAATTTCGGGTTTGGGTTTGGGTCGACAAATATAAGAGGCATGATTAGCATCAACATTATTATCTCCTACTATAAATATAACAGTTTCTTTCTAATGAATAAAACAATCTATTTCTGATGAATAAAACACCAAAACTTGAAATTTAAAAAAAAAAAAAAACAATATTATATATTATAAATTCAGAAACCCAACATTTAAGTTAAAAAAGGTAGTAAATTAAAACACCCTAAATAAATAGTAGAAAAGCTCTTTGATATTTGAGAAGATGACTAATATTGGACTATCTTGTGGAGCAAGAATCTTTCATAGCTTTGATCCCACATGAGTCCAATTACATCGCCTGTTTGGTAGGCCTTGTCTTTAGCAAAAACGCCCCATCCTCCCTTGAGATAGTATACGCCATCATTGGATTTAACTAATCTCCATGTGTAGTCATCAGCTTCATTACCTTCCTCTATAACGTGGACCTTCACTTCAACACCATTTGCCATTCCCATCTGCAAGACCATAGGCTGCCTCATCAGTGGAATTATAGAACCTTCTAATCCTTGTCGCGGCAGATAAAGTTTAGCATTAACTGAAGTATCAGAATCAGTTAACTTCTTTTTTATAACCCATGGATCATATTGAGATAAACTCAATTTTGTCTCCTCTCTTTGATCCATATCCTCTCCTTGATCCATATTCTCAGCTAATATAAATATTTTTAAACTGTGAAAGATGATGATAGCTGATATGAATATTTTGATTGAGAAATTAAACTCATCCCCTTATGTTTATATAGCTTTCGGTCAAATAAAATTTCCCTTTTTTTTTATTGCTAGGATGTAGTATTTTTCCTTTAAAGGAGATTTTTTTTGTCATCTTACTACAAATATTTTCAACATTTTTGTCAAATAAACAATTCTTTTTTTGTTTTAATAAGAAAATTTACATCTCTATATAGGAAAACTGTAATTCATTAAGAATAGTAAACTTTGCATTTTACTTATTGTGATCATCGATTTTTTAATTTTTATTTTTATTTAAAACTTCTAGCCTATTCCTTTTACGAAAGTTTACAATTTATTCAAAAAATTTCTTGTCAAAAAAAAAAGGTACATTCCCAGTTTGTGTGCGAGTGTTGAAGAAAACAATTTGTCAAAACCAAATGCATGCATATACAAAACTAATTTAAACACAAACCTATGATGACTATCAAATCTTGATTCATTCGATATTACTCCTTGCGAACAATTGTCAAAATGCACATATATGAATCAAAAATCGCATTTGTTCTTTCCTTTTGACTTGAAACAAATTTTGTTTTCTAATATCAGAAATTCGAACGAGGCAACAAAAATCCCGCTCTCTCTCTTTCGCCATTTGAGAGGTCATCTAAGCTTCCCAATTCGATTTTCTGAGCTAAGGTATCATCACCACTCCTTCACGCATCTCGCATGTTCTTCAAGTGCAGCGAGATATCTCGATCCCAACATGCGAGGGATTCTGATTGATTGGCTTGTAGAGGTATTAAAAACAAGTTGCTTCCTCATGTTTCATATGCATAGCTTTACTTCAAAAACAAGTTGCTTCCTCATGACTCATGAGTATTTGTTAGAGTAAGAATCTCTGTTTTTATGCTTTTTTATTTCCTCCAGGTTTCTCAAGAGTACAAGCTGCCTTGAGATACACTCTACCTTACAGTGAATCTAATTGATCGGTTCCTGTCCCATAGTTACATTGAGAAGCAGAGGCTTCAGCTTCTTGGTATCACCTGCCTCGTGAGTTCCCAATTCTTTTGAGTTAGCATTCACATTGCAATGTAGAAAACTAACTAATGCATTCTTCTTTGTATATTCTTGTTGAGCCACTGAAGCAAATACCAATGTAGTAAAATCACCAATCTTTGTCACCTTAAACTAAATGACCGAAACTATTTGTAAAAAGATGCAATTCGACTCTTTGTTCTCTAAACACAACAAAATGCTAATGGATTAACTTTCCAAAATGATAAATCCAATTGGAGATCAAATTTCACCAAACCGAAAGAAGAAGACACTAAAATTTAGCATGAAAGTTGGTAATAGCAAGGGGACACATTAGGATTACAATTGTAAGTTGGTGAAACTCAAATCATTAACTTAACCTCAAACTCCTACAGGAACGAGACTACTAGAGAGAACTCATCATGATCACATCATTTATCGACGAAATGCAGCCGAACAGCAGTAACCACATCACCTGAGCGTTCAAGCTCACACACAACAGTGTCTCCTTGTTGCAGCTTGTGCGCTCGACAAATCGCACCCCAGCCAGTGAAACAAGGGTAACCGGTATAGACCTTATTCACGGCGGCCTCCTCTGTTCCGTTGGGAAGATAGTAGTTTATGGCGGAATCAACGGGGCCAAACTTCAAGCCATACTTCTTAATAACCGGTTGCCTCACATACTACATTGGAAAACAGAGAAGAAGATAAAGTCTTTAACTTTAAAGGCAACAGACCAAAACTCAAAACTTCATAAGTAGAATCAGTAACTGATGTTATTTACCAGAACGTCATTCTTTTTCCCCACCGTTTTCACAAAGTAAGCACTTTTGGGATTAAGGAGATATTGCTCAGGGCTTTTGTCATTACCACAACCCTGGCTCACTCTGCTATTTGTTCCTCCGTTTGCTGAAATTTCCACAAAACAAGAACAACAAGATGAATCAAAACTTTGGCGTAGTACTGAGTCATCAGACTCATAAAGATGGTTTCTTTAGATCAGAATTGCCTTACCAGAGGCAGATGCAGAGGTAGAAGCAGTGGCAGTGTTTGTTTCCTGTGGCTTAGGATTAAGCGGTTTAGTTTCTGGCTCAGCTTCAGGTGGAGCCGACATGAGCTCTTTCTCACCATTCTTAAAGATCTGGACTTCAAAGCGCATTGTGTCTTCGTGTGTGAAGACCAATATATCGTTTGGAGCTAAACGGTTGTCATCCACAAACTCATCCCAATCTTCTTCATCAATAAACAGATCTTTCTTCTCTCGCTGGACCCAAAGTAGCCACGAGTTCTCCCAACGAACTTTAAACACCACTTTGTGCTCTAAAGCCCCTGGCATGCTTCTCTCTAACTCTTCCGGAATAATCCTCTTCATAAACACGAGAAAGCAGAACATTTAAGAAGAAAGAAGAAATGGTGTGAAAGGACTAAAACCAAAACTAGCAGAAAGCATGAGAGCTAAAAGCGAATTCGACAGAGGACATGTTTAAGGTAAATTCTTGTAATTACAATGCAAATCAATGGAAAGAGTTTCAAGAACAGAGAGTAGAAAATAAGAGCAGATCTATTTCCAAGGAAAAGGAGAAAAGAAAGAGTTTTACCATGGATTTAGAATTCCAGCTTCCTCCGAGAGGCACAGACTTGCAGAAGCTAGGCTTGCTCACATTTTGCTCAATAACACTCATAGCCGACATTTCCTCTGTTTTCCCTTCCAACTCTAAAACGGGATCGCTTGCTTCTGAATTTAGGGTTTGTAAATTGTAAGCAAAACAATGTGTACGGACCAAATGCGAAAAAATTTCCAGGTTGTTTCACACTTAATTTGTTTCAGAAACCAAGAAAACAAAGAAATGCATAAAAAATCAAGAAAATGCTTAAACGTAACGTCGCAGAATACCTCAAAATTTGTATCGCCGGAACGTGAAACTGTACGCACCGTCGTCTCAGTAGAAGAAACTTCCCTTCGCTGCGTCTGCTCTTCTCTCTAAACTCCTCTCGAAACTCTATCTGCTTTAAGGAGAATGAGAGATAGACAGATATACAGAAATGGCAAAGTGCCAAATTGTACTCTGTCACTTTGACTCGTTACGGTACAAGTTGGTCAAACATTATCATTCGGCCCAAGGCCCATTAAAAACTGACCCTCATGGGCCTTAGAAAACTCGAATTTGGATTTATGGGACTCATTAAATTCAGTGTATTTTCATCAGATGAACAAATTAGCAACAAACCATAACAAAAATAAGAAATTTAGCATGCAAGATCGTCAAGACTTAAAACAAACACAAGAGTCGCACATTACAATTAAGTTAGGATTACAATAATAGGTTTTTTCAGAAACTCAAATGTCTAAATGTAACTACATATACTACAGAAGACGACTCATCTCATATTCTCATCATTTCTTGACCAAATGGACTCTAAGAGCCGTCACGATTCCTCCTGAGCGCTCAAACTCACAGACAACACTGTCTCCAGCTTTCAGCTTTAGCCTTCGACAAACAGCAGACCAGCCATTGAAACAATAGTTGTTACGGCTATATATCTTAAAGAAGGCATCTTGTTTTCCGTCGGGAAGAATGTAAGTGATGGCGGAATGAACAGGACCAAACTTCAAGTCATACTTCTGAATCAATTCTTGGCTGAAATACTAGTTTCACATATATGGGAAGAAGAGAAAAAGAAAAAAGAAAAATGCTTAAGAGGCAAGAGACGTAGTACAATACAGCTTGAAATTTATATGACTTAAGAATGCTATTCTTACCAGGACGTCGTTCCTGTTTGCCAGCGTTCTCACCAAGTAAGGGCTTTGAGGATTCAGGAGGTATTGCTCAGGGTTTTTGACATTATCACGATTCTGTTTGGATCCGCTCTTTTTCCCGCCATTTGCTGAAAATTTCCACCAAAAACAGAACGAAAAAGAATCAAACTTTGGTGTAGAAAGAAAACAATTGTATTCAGTTTGAAGGAGCATCAAAGATGGTTTCTTTAGATCTGAAATAGCCTTACCAGAGGTGGAGCCAGTTGCAGTTGTTGTCTCCTGGTGAGGCTTAGGATGAAGCGGTTCAGATTTGGGTTTAACTTCAACTGGAGCCGGTTCGGTCTCGGGTTTAACTTCAAGTGGAGCCGTCATGAGCTCTTTCTCACCATTCTTGAAGATTTGGACTTCAAAGCACATTGTGTCGTCGTGTGTGAAGACCAATACATCTTTCGGAGCTAAACAGTTGTCATCCACAAACTCATTCCAGTCTTCTTCATCAATAAACAGATCTTTCTTCTCTCGCTGGACCCAAAGTAGCCACGAGTTTTCCCAACGAACCTTAAACACAACTTTGTGCTCTAAAGCCCCTGGCATGCTTCCCTCTAACTCTTCCGGAATAATCCTCTTCATAAAAACCAAGAAAGCAGAACAATTTCATTAGAAGACGAAACACAGAGTCATAGACTAAAAGCTATCACTTTCCAAAGGAGAACCAACAGAAGCAAAACGCAGAGCTTAAAAGGTATGAAAAGGACCAAGACCAAAATTAGCAGAAACATGAGCTAAAAACAATATGAAAATGTAGACATGACCAGAAGCAGGAGGTATTGACCGCATTGTGCTCTTATCTATCTTATTGTTCTAACAACATCATTAAAAGCAAAGAGAAGAAGCAATTCGACACAGGACATGTTTAAGCTATATATTACAAGGGAGAGAGAGACGAAGAACAGTAAGTAAAAAATCAGAGCAGCTCGAGTTTAGTTTGGAGGAAAAAGAGATTAGAAAGAGTTTACCATGGATTTTGATTTCCAATTTTCTCCCAAAGACACAGACTTGCAGAAGCTGGGCTTGCTAATAGCTGTTTGGAGATTATCGATGAAATTTCTAGGCAACATGTTCTCCACTCTTCCTTAATTCCTTAAGCTTCAACGAGGTTTCGTTTCTGAAAATCAGAGCTTTGTAAGTGAAGACGAATATGCCTTGCATGTGATACTAAATATCAGAGACACAGTCTGAATTGAGAAACAGTAAGTGGACGATTGTGTCTTTCGATGGCTAAACCCTAAGTTTTCAAAAGCAGAGACGCGAAAACGCAATTTGTACGGTCACGTAGAAATTTCTCAGGTTGAAATTGGGGTTTTACACTCTTTTATATTCAGATAAAAACAAATAAATGCGTAAATAAAATGCAAGTAATCGCGTTAAAGCAACGTCGCCGAAGACCTAAGTTGAGTCGCCGGAGCGTGAAATTACGTACCGTCACAGTAGAAGAAGCTTCCTCTCGCTTCGGCTGCTCTTCTCTGTGAGTGAAGGAGAGAGCGAGTGTAACCAGGCTAGTAAAATGCCAATTGTTTTATTGTAATTTACTTTTTTACTCGCACAGCATTTTTACTCTGCCCGACAAAGGCCCATTTAAAAACTGGCCCATAATATCGTAGGCATTCTGTAGTGAAAATTAAGAAAGCGCACACAAAAGTGATCAGCAAAACTTAGCTCATTGGTCTCAACCTTTACAAGAGGACACCTAGGTAACAATCGATTCAGCAAACAAATAAATTATACAAATTGTCGTAAATGTTACATAACAGGGGGAAAACGCCCAAAAAATTCCTCAACCTTTTCAATTAAAACGTTTTATTCCTAAACTGTCAATTGCACGATTAATTCCTCAACATAATAACAGTTATTGGGAAAATACCCAAAAAAATCCTCAAAATTTTTCAATTAGAACATTTTATTCTTGAACTGTCGATTGCACGATTAATTCCTCGACATAGTGACAATTGTCTGAAATTAGGTTTTTCACCTAATTTCACTTTAACGACGATTAGACGAGAAACGAGTCCGTTAGCTTATATGTTCGCCGGAGCTTATATGTTTTTCATTGGCGTTGTCACTTCTTTCTAACACCACAAACGCTAGATTAAAAACAGTTAGCAGAGTTGATTTCCAAAAATTGAGACACCAAAAGCATGAAGAACCTGAACCGATTTACTTGCCAAGAAATAGATCGAGTCTCCTCTACGAATTTGAAATCTGTAAGTCATTCTTTCTTCTTGTCATGAATTTGTGATTTCTGACTTCAGATACGCTAAATCTCATGAAATTTGCAGAATCTCGCTGAAATTAGCTTTAGTTTGTGGACAATCGTTTTAGGGTTTTTAAATTTGGGATTTTGTGTCGGAAAATATAATCTCGACGTCTAAGAGGTTTTGAGCTAAGAGACTTGTTTTCCGTCTAATCGTCGTTAAAGCCAAATCAAGTGAAACCTAGATTCAGACAATTGTTACTATGTTGAGGAATTAATCGTGCAATTGACAGTTCAGGAATTAAACGTTCTAATTGAAAAAGTTGAGGAATTTTTTAGGCGTTTTCCCACACAACAGGTGCATGGTTAGGCAATTCCACGTAGCAAAAACCGGACCATAAGTAGAGTCTTGTTGAGGAGAATAACTGGTTGGGGGCAAAACCTGGACCACACCATAGAATTGGTCGCGCCACTTGTTGCTTCCTATCATGGAGTCAAGACGGAGAAGAATCGAATAGATACCGAAGCAGAGGAGCCACAACTGCTACACTTAAACTGTTCCCAAGCATTGCGTATCTGCACAAACAGTGACTTCATGAGTTTTAGTCAACTTGTCCTGGCTATATATAGATGGTACCGTTTTCTGTATGAAACAGCGTACCTCTGTCGAAGGCTTATCTGCTTGGGGAACTCAAAATCTTCAGGGAAGGAGTGAAAGTTAGCTACCTGATCAAATAGAAACCAAACATCATCAGCTGATCCCTGAGGCATTTGTAGTAAAAATAAAGGACTGTGCTTGACCTCTCTTGGGGTGAAGTATCTAAGCCGTTGCTCCTTCAAACAAGTTTCCTTCCCTTTGATTTTTGGCTGCGTGATCACATATTCAGAATAATCATTTTCTCTGCTATTGCAAACAGAGGAACATAATATTGTTGTATACTCACTCTATGGAAGAACATTACCTGGACAGTTGCTAAGAGGGAACCAGTGCCCTTGACGTATCGATAATAACTCTTTGTGAAACAACAGCATCTCTTTGAATCAGGGTAAACAATATCTACGAACAGCTCAGGAAATTATAAACAGATGGATGATAGATTTCCCATAAATGGTATATTTGAGAAAGAAAGAAGAGGAAAATCATAAAAGGATACCCATTGCGTTTCCCCATCTCTCTATCAAACTTGACGGTACTAGATATTGATGTGCAGAGTCTGGGACAGAATCGTCTTCTTGTCCAGAACAATCTTTGGACCCATTCTCAGAGTCATCTACTTGTGCTATTGACTCGAGAAACTTCTCTACTGGTTTGCAAAACTGAACTAAGTAATCCAATCCCTCTTCTCCTTGACATTTTCCAAACTCCATCTGATCATCATCACGCCCATATAACGGGCCTGGAGACCAGAGTAGCTTGTTATTATTGCGTTGGGACTGAAATGACAGCGGCTTTCTTTTGGCCTACAAAGTAACCAGATACATCAAATGAAAGTGCACGGTACAGGAGAAAGTACACACAGCTGAATGACCAAAGCATATACTTGACACAGTCTCGGAGTACTAAAAACACAGTTTCAAGTATATAATATAACAACTACTATCATACAGTAGATAGAGGCATACCAAACAAAGAAACAGAAAGATGCATTACATAATCACAAGGTAAAGAGAAAGTACCAGACAAAAATAACGTGGTCTTGAATACGGCACACCAAACTGCAACGGGCTCAAGATAAATTCTTGCGTGACATAATCTGATTTTGTCAATGTATCAATCATCTCCGCATGGGTATCCGAAGTCTGCACCAACAAAAAGCCACCGATATGTTACAAAAATATCGAGAATTCAAAGAAGATGATCGAGAACAAGCTCATTATAACTCTAGCTGGGGAAGCAGAGACAAACACATACCTCAAAACCAACAACATTCTCTACAAACAACATTTGTGGAGGCTTAGAAGTATGCGGTATAAGCTCGAGAATCTTGAGAAACGAAGATGCTCGAGCATCACCAGAGTGTTTCTGAAGGCCTAACCAAGAAAACTGTTAGTATTCAGATGCAACACATCTATCTACAGAAATAGCGAGTCAAGTAAAAAGATGAATTACCTTGTCGAGTATAAGGTTGACAAGGAGGAGAAAGAAGCCAAGCATCTGCACTATACCTATCTAGCTCAGCAGCAGTGAGGCTCTGAATATTTCCCTATGAAACAAACAGAACACAAAAAAAAAATGAAATCGAACTGAAGGATCATACTTGAAAATGTATAAGAGAAACACATTGGACCGATTTCAATCAACAAACAGCTAATTCTGAATATTCCCCTATGAACGAAATCGAATTGAAGGATCATACTTGAAAATGTATAAGAGAAATATGATTTAACGATTGCAATCAACAAACAGCTAATTCGGAAAACTAGCATTGAGCAACCAAAACATAGAACAAAATGAAAAAACCCCAATTTCACAATTTCAGAGTTGAATTGCATAGAGTTTCTCTTAGTTCTTCTAAAATGAGATTGAAATTAACAGAAACCTGATGGGGACGATGTCCGAAATTATGCTGATAAACATCATTGGCAACGTCATTGATCTCAAACGCTTCTACTACTTCTGCGACGACGCCGGACGCCATTAAAGAGTATCTCTAAAAGCAAACGAACGAAGAAAAACACAGGAATTAGGGTTTTAGGAAGAGAGCAGAGTACACCAAAAAAAAGGGGAGAAAGATAAAGTTCGGGGTGATTGAGAGTGCTACCATTCCACCGATTCCACTGTAGAATTCGAGAACTCGCCATGGCTTCTCATCGGTTCTGAGCAAGCCTTCCGCCATGGATTGTTGCTTTCGGAGCTGTGATTTTTTGTTTCTCTCGACGCAAAACATCCTTTGATTTATTGTTCGGTTCAGTAGTAGAACCGTACCACCAATTCCCGGTTTACTAATGAAACCATGGGTTTCCGTTTTTCATTATCAAACACACACAATTAAGTGGTTCAAAAGCGTAAATAGAAGGAGTTAACAATTTTGAAACCAAAAAAAAATTGTTCTTTCTGCTTAAACTAAACAATTACAGTACGTCTAAACTGTAAAACAAAAAAAAGTATAAATTTCAGCGATATATAACGAATTAATGTAGCCATAATTCAAGGTTAGCACATTATCAAGTTGTTTACGGAGAACATCGAACTAGACCTAATCAGGAGTTCAGGACCTAGCTAGATTGAAACCGTTCAAATCCATGCTTGCGGCACTTGACATAATAAAAATTGTTTATACCGATTATTTTACAAAAAATCTCACTTAGTTCATTTTATCAATGGTCGATCGATGTGTCGCAACTGGCATAATGTTTGTTGGCCTAAAACATACGTTATTGTCTATGATTTGGTTTCTTGGCATACGTTTAGTTCTACTAATTATCCTTGCGATTGATGATATTGACGACACTCATAGATAACTGTAGCATTCCATGTAAAATACGTGGGATAATATAGACAAAACTTTGGAGATGAGGAGATAATTACTGAAACTGATGCATGGAAGCATTCCCCAATGAGAATCGAATAGATTCTCTCTTTTCTTTTGTGTTCGTCAGTCTTTTCTTTACCATTCCCCGAGACAATATGGTGGGTTTACTAATTATTATGATTCTTATATGTTCTCCATCTCATTTCTCCTTTTTTTTTCTTCTTTCTATATATTAGACCACCCACTGTTTTTCTACAAGTTCGAGTTAGCTTTTATGGCGACTTATGGATAATGGCATTAGCCTCGAATACAATTGTACAAATAATTATGTGTGCCTTTATTCCACGTTACTAAATACTTTAAAATCACTATACAAAAAACTTGTTTGGGGTGAATCAATTATAATTTATAGGAAATCATATATATACTAGAGTTAAGATAAGTAACTTCATGACTTTAAATTGGTACTGAAGTGATGAGAAAAGAAAAGAAAGAAGGAACTGCGATGTCAAAGTGTCACGTATAGACCAAAACTTCAGCAAAAAAATTCAGGTTTTTCTAATATCCACAATTACTTATAATTTTATAATATTTTTGAAAATTTTATATCAAAAGGTTATTAATCATTCGTGGCTTCCACATATATCTTGCTGTGTTTTTTTTTTGTCCTATTATCTTATAGGTGACTCTACTTTAGAGAGACATATTTCCTTTTTAATAACAAGATACTTTTCTATGTGTTTCGAAGGATATCCATCGATGGAGAAATTTTAAATTTATCATACAGAGGGACAGGGGAAAAGGTGAAATGACCGTAAATAAAGCGATAGCAGTGTATCATACACGAAAATGTATAATTTGTAAAATGGTAGTAAAGTAAATAATAGTTTTTTTTTTGTTTTTAAAAAAATGTTTACGATATTGTGTTTTAGTAAAAAAAAAATCAAAATGAGACAAATATGGTCAAAATTCGAACCTCGAAGACTATTCCTTAATTCCCATTCAATGATAACTTTTTTTTTCTTTTTTTCTTGGGTTTAGTTTGAGAATCACGAACAAGTTCTGATGGTTAGACACAAAACTTTGATACTATATATAATGGAAGAATTCATTAAAAATTCAAAAGACTAACTAAAGATGAGAGTTTTTTCTTTACTGTTTAATATCCGCGGTTAAGGGAACCGATACGTTCCTTGAAATTGTTGCCATGCAACTTTTGCTTTAGCAGTCTCAGATTTTTTCTTCTTGCTGCATCCTTTTTACTCCTGACACGCACACCACGTACCATCAACGGCTATGTGGTTATGGATATAAATGGGTAAATCTAACTTTAGTTTAAGTGGTCGAATTTTAAGAAGAATTGGCTGAGAACACATTATTAATTTTACAAAGTTAATTTACTGAATATGTAAATTTACTGGGGAAAAAAAACAGGAGGTTCAAAATAAAACGTGGTCGCAAGATTGTGCAGTGAATTCTCAATAAACCATAGTCGAGAGTACTCCCAATTATTGGAACTATATGTTCTCATTCATCTACTCTAATCTCTATTTCTAGTTTCTATTTTGAATCGAGATAAACTCGCTTATTCTCAAATTTCTTTGATTTGATTGTGTGCTTGATTTGTATGTTTTTTGAAAAATAACCCTTAGTCTTTAGTAAAATATATAGTTCTCATTGGATAAGGGACTAGTTTTTATTTATTTAAATTACTTCCCTCCACAGACGCAATTTTGGTGATTATTGATTCTCATCTTCAATATGTATTAGCTTTTGTGAAGCAGACGCACAAGGAAAACGGCTGATATTGGAAGCTTTAACCTTGTTGTTTTCTTTCCTTTGTTTAACCTAGTGGGTCTAAAAATGAGAGATAAATTTAAAGTCCTCGATATATATAGATAATTTTGTTTCTTTTAGGAAAAACATAAATGCGTTAAAGCTGAACTAAATAAGAAAGTGAAAATCAAATGAAAACCCTAATTTCACTTCAAAAAATGTTCCCGGTTTGTTAGAGGAAGGGCCTTTTGCTTTGCCGATATATTATATAAATGGGGAGACTCCAACGTCATGCACATTCACTTGCTCTAACACCAAAACCTCATATCTTCTATATTTACTCACTTCTACTCTCCTCAATCCTTTCCAATTAACATCCGGCCCCAGGTAATAAAAAAAAAAAAAAATACTATCGGTTATATTTGTGTTTGTGTGTGTGTGTGTGTGTTTGTATGCCTCTAATTTTGTGAAATTATATTTTTATCTATAGAAGATGAATAGGCCTGGAGATTGGAACTGCCGGTCGTGTAGCCACCTCAACTTCCAGAGGAGGGATTCGTGCCAACGCTGCGGAGAGCCCAGACTCGGCGTCATTACCGACTTAGTCACCGGATTTGCTGGCCGTCCACTCAGCAGCTCCTTTGGTTTCAACACAGGGCCTGACGTGCGACCCGGTGATTGGTACTGCAGCCTTGGGAATTGCGGGACACACAATTTCGCCAGTAGGTCTAGCTGTTTCAAGTGCGGTGCAGCGAAAGATGAGTCTTTGCGTTCGGCTGCCACTGGGTTTATAGACATGAGTGATGGTCCCAGACGTGGCCTTTTTGGTTTTGGTAGCAGCAGTGGTGGTGGTGGCGGCGGCGGCACCGGTCGTTCTTCTTGGAAATCTGGAGATTGGATTTGCTCAAGGTACTTTTTGTTTGTTTCATGTGCATGGTTGATGGTTCATGAATGTACATAGGCTTCTTCATAACGTAATATATATAACTCATGCATGCGGGCTTACGTAAACTAAAACTTGTTGGTGTTTATATATCTATTATATAGGCCAGGCTGCAATGAACATAACTTTGCAAGCAGGTCAGAGTGTTTCAGGTGCAACGCCCCGAAGGACCATGCCACCATTCCACCTTACTAGTCCTAACTTTCTTCATCATCATCTTCAAGTAATTTTTCTTTTTTTTTTTGTTAACTCTTCCCAAGTTTATTGCATTGTATTTCTAAAATTTTAGGCACAAGTATGTGTTCAGAATCTTCAGATTATACGAGTTGTGAACATTTACAATTTCATTATTTCCTCAAAGTTTATATACTAGCTAGCAGTGTGATATATATAGTTTAGCCATGTTCGGTCCAGAGCTTCGAGATAAAAAAAACTTTTGACCTCGGATATATTTGGTCAAAATTTGCGGAACCTTTTTTACATTTATTTCATTTACAGGGGCATTCAGAAACTGAGACCTCATGATTGGAACTTTATTTTAACATATCCTTTGATTTTATTTTTCTTTGAATTCAGGAAGCATTACAAGACAGATAACTACTGGAGAACCAAAGCAAGACGCCGATCGACCCTTTATGTCTTGATTTTTATTTTTATTTTCCCTTTGATTTGACTCTTTCACGTCTCGTTGGACCTTTGTCTGGTTATGTTAGAATGTAAGCAAATAGAAAATTTTCTGAAGCGCTTTGTTCTGATATCGATCGGTCTCCTAGCTACAATGTACGTTTGGTTGATTTAATCTATGTTTATTTTTGATAAATGTGCTACCTTCTTATTCCGCAATCACGATTCTCTTCTGAGTTTGAAGCACTTGTTTATTGTACGAGATGCTAAGATTTGCAGTTTCTGTAGTAGCAACTAGCAAATCTAACTTTGGATGCAGATGTTAATTTTTTATCACATAAATTTTAAGTAGGAATGGAGTTTTGCGTTAAACATTTCTGTTTGTTAGTTCAAATACGTTTAACCATACAAAAACCCTACTAAGTGTTTGACATGGATAGATGCATGCATGGACCACAGCAAAACCTTTTGTTCAATCCAATGCCTCGAAAAAGTGGTGAATAATTATGAAATTCAAAATTTCAAAGGGGGATAAGGATTTAGCATCTATAATGGTTATGCATTCTGAAGTTATGATATGGCTTGAGGATGCTGAGTTACACCACGAATTGAAATCGAAAAGAAAACTATCTGTTTTCCCTTCTTTAAGAAAATAAGAATAGTTATCAGAGAAAACACTATAGCTAAATATGTCTTTTTAAATTTCATAATTATTTCGTTTGAAAAAGGTTAAGTTTTCTAGCGGTCAAAAACAAAAACAAAAAGGTTAAGTTTCCTAATTGAAGTTTTTATGTTTTCCTTACCATGAATTTTGGTCTTATGTTCAGATGCTCGCGTAACAATATTTTGCAACTGATTAGTGATTACCAACTTTAAATGGGTGCTTCGATGCATATTAGGAATAAATATTCTGGTATAATATTTTTCAAAAATTCAAAATACAAACGCTTATATGGACAGCCGACAAACTAACAAATGTTAGGCACAAAATTAAGCAAGGCTTCATTAACTAAATGACTTAATTATTCTATTTAATCCGTCCGATCTGCTTGTGTTATGTATCGTTCGTTCTACATTATTCTATTATCACCAATTGGATATTGCATAACTATCGTTCAATCTTAAGGTAGTACGTACGTGTCTACACACGTTGCATTTCATATTGCATAGGATTCCTCTCATTCATTGACCTCGTGGAGGTGTACTTAAGATTATCATCAACGGGTCAAAAAAGAAGACAACAACCCGTCTTTAATGTCTGCTACTATAATCCATTGCTTGGCTTTTATTTTTCCTTTAAAGGGTTGCACTAATTGGCTTTTACTAAAGAATCTTTGTTTTTCCCCCACTTTTAAGTTAATTCATCATTTTATTCTTCTTTGGTTTTAGTGAAGTGAAAGTACGTCTTAGGTATTATCAATTTATCATGCATCATGATTCATTGTGAACGTCTTCCAACTTTGAATTCCAAAACCATCAATTAGATTCGATTGATGAGTAGTGTTTATCACATGCATTGTATTAGTGTCATGCATTGATATTTGAACCCCTTGCTTTGCAATAACATTTTCAAAAGATAGGTACGACCAAGTTTAGAGTGATAGAACATGAGTGTAAATTGTAGACAGAGAAAAGCAACAATTAGTTTGATCCGTTTTGGATATCAAGTATTGCATATATAATATGACGTTAGAAACTATTTTATTGTAACTACCATAGTCATGTTTACAATTACTAAAGATCTCTAAGAAATCATAATATTACATTACAATTTACTGTCAAACGAACTAGCTAAGTCACTGCTTAAGCGTTGGCAACATATTAGGGGAATAAATATGTATAATAAGCTCTGAAAGACTTAGTGTTTCTTTTAATAATCATATGAGAGAGACATGTCGATGACCAATCTAAGTAAAGTGCACACTCACTTTGTTAAACAAAAAAAAATCCATACTGTTAAAGTCAATTTCTAAAACAAAAGCAATAGCAAAAAAAAAACCTTTTTATCCATTTCAAAAACACCCTTACAAAACAATAAAAAAATTCGTAAATTTTGAGAAAATTGCAGTAACTTTTTAAAAAGTTTTTAAAATTTCTCTTTAACCCACATAAAAGGGCAAGCATGTTCATCTTTCTAAGCCCTTTTGTTCATAGCCCTTCTTTCTTTTGTTTTTTCGCACCCTTTCATAACCCTCCTTTTAATTTCTATCTTTATGCAAAGCGCGCAATTGACATGGATGGAGCATGTATATTGTCAATAATTATGTTGATGACTCATTTTTCTTTAGAGGGTATAGTAGAGTACTCTGAAAAACTGAAGCATACGCACGAGTTAATTAGCAGCAACATAAGATCTGAATTACTTACCGGAGCTCAAACTTCATATTTACTTTTTCCGTAAGAGGATCTAAGCGTTATCAAATAGTGTACTGAAATGCAAAATCTACCATGTAAAAGTGGCTCTCCCATCTTTGATGTGCTTCTTAGGCGTCAGGGGTTCAGTATCCATCTCCTAAATGTGATATGACACAGAAAAAAGGTTATGTTTTTGATTAGATAAGAAACTGAAATTGCTAATGTAATTAAGAACGTTATGACACAAGCACATGTAACGAAAATTAGAAGAAAGTTACACCATCCGTATGAGTTTCTATATGGACTACCAAAATAACTAAACAGAGACATGAAGAACTATGTTTTATAACAATTTGTAATAAGTACCGTTTTTAGCGATACTTATATGTTTGCAACTTTGTGAGTTTAGTGATCGCATGAATGATGTGAAATCTGAATGGTTCACTAAATGTTCAACACTTGTATGTTTTTTAGCTTAACCTCTCATAGTTGATGAAATTATCTGATTTAATTCAACATAAATACATAAATAACATTTAGTAGTATGAGACTATGAGTTATCTGAATCATGCATGTTTTTGAACAGACACGAAATAAATACAAAAAATGCCTGAGCAAGATTTAACGGGTTTGAGAAATAAGAAAAGCAGGCCTTTTAAAATTCTGATATCTTCAGCCCATTTATGATCCAACTCAATGCTCCCTCTCACATAGCTTCACTTGTCATCTGAAGCTTCTCTTCTCCTCTCCCAAATCGCTTTTTACTTGATTTCACGATACAGATTCTCCTGCATTACAAGTTTGATTTATCGGAGAGAATCAAACCTGTGGATTAGTTAAAAGCCTCGCATCGGCGAATTTTTTGCTCACAGGAGCTGCACGCCAACTGTTTGTAAAAATTCCTAAGAGAGAATTTGACCATTTCCTCCACTTGTCCCTGTTTGCTGTTTCACTGATCTTCTTCAAATGTGGGGTAATGTGCGTCACATAAGAAGACATAAACACTCTGAAATCTGTTTCATTCCAAATCCAGGTCGTTTCTTCCATTCACTCCAGGTTTTATATCATTCTTCGGCTGATGATTCATACAAAGATGCATTGCCCCGTGAATGGTACGAAAAGAAGCTTCCGGTTCTCACGAAACTAACCCGTGCGTTGAAAGACGTCGATTTAGTCGACGGGAAGCTCGAAGACACCAACGGCGTCATCATCTACGATGATCGGATCAAACAGAAGATGCAAGCTTTCAAGTCTCTGGCTAGAATCTTCATCGGTTCTCCTTCGATTCAGCAGAAGCTCAAAGAACAGCAGCAACGCTTCAAGTTCCCAGCTTTTGCTACTGAAACCGAGAGAGAGCCATTAGTGGTGAATTCTTTGACCAAAGTTTGCAACTTTCTCGACATCTCGGCGCAACAGCGGAAGGTAGTGAGAACCACAGTGTGTTCGCAGGTCACGCAGTATCGTATATGGAGAGGTGCTCTTGACGATATTCTGAATGGTCTCAAAGAAGAAGTTGATTGGTTACTTGAACATGGCGAGACGAGAGTTACGAGGCAAGGTTTGAAGTTGGGCGAGCAAGTGATATTGTCTTGCCTCAAGTACTTATCTGAATCATCAGTTTCATTTGAAGCAGAGAGCTCAACTTCATGGATGCGACCTGTGCCAGCTAGAAACGCAAAGGCAAACGCTTCTGCGAAATGGGAAGATGTTCTTGACATGGTCAATGACGTGAGAAGGTATCTCGAACATGACGAAGAAAGCACTGTGCTTTACCATCTGGGAAAGCTTGTATCGATGAAAGAAGGGCTTCTACAGATCAAAGACGTGTTTTTGGACAATACTATTGGATTCAGAGAAGTTAGACATCAAGAGCACCTTGTGTTTAGGAAGCTTTCGAAGATGCTGGGAAGTCCTTCGCCGTGTTTGTTCACTCTCGTCATGTATTTCCTCTACGGCCGTGTGCGTGACATCGAAGTTGATCTCTGTGGAGGGTTTCACAAGGAGAAGAGCGAGTTCTTGTGCTTAACCATGGGGAGGATCTTGACCTCAACGGATGAGAAGATGTTGGAGAGAGGGATCAAGCAGTTGGATAGAGCCTTGGGGCTCTTTGAGTTTGTGTGGGAAACTGCAGGAATGAAAGAAACTCTTAACCTGCAAGGGCATTTATGGTGCCTTGGCGCTGAAGAAAGATCCATCACATACCGTGGGAAAACATTCTTCCTGCATGACCTTAGTCTATGATATACTTTCTTGTTGGGAATCATATCATTCAAAGAAAAAGGATTATATAAACTTAAGTGAATACAAAGAGTTTGACATAGAAATCTGCAGCATGGTTTCATTGCTTCCTCGCATTTCAAGGAACCAAAGAAATTTGCATTAAAAAAAAACCCACACAGCTAACGACATCAAAAGGTTATATATATATATATATAATATTACAAAGATGAACCCTTTTCAACAACAGACCATATAGCTCAAGCAAGCAACAGCCATGGAAGGTTGTGTGAGTTTAACCGCTAATTAGCAAGCAATGGAGGTTGCTCGAGGGGTTACCAGAACAGCCGTCTTCCCAGTTATCGGCTTCATACTTGCTGCGTTCTCTAGCCTTGCCCAAATCTCTTTCCTCTTCTCCGCTTCAGAGCATTGCTTCGCTTCGTCCTCTTGAAAGCGGGCGTGGCAAGACATGAACAGAGCCTCGTCCATTTCACAGAACATCTTCCTCACGTTTAGTGTTAAGTTAAGCACCGATTGGTTCCAGTGGTTTTCAGCGTTCCTTTCTAAGGCGGTGAACATGATTGGTAAGATGGCTTGCCGGTTGTGTGCAATCAAGTTCACAATCTGATCGTTGTTCCACAAGAACAGAGCTCTTTCAGATACCTAAAACCACAAGAACAAGTTCAACGACTGCAAATCAATCATATCAAGAGAACTATGACTAGGAATGTACCTGAAAATGGGAACTGTTGACACAGCAAGCAATCCGCAAGAACAATGGGACCATAATCTTCTGAAACTCCATCACGCTCATTGCTTCTAAGATCTCCTCGACCTCACCGAGAAACATCACTTCCTTCTGGCTGTTCGTGATAGGCCAGAACTTCAACAAGCCCTTTATCACAACGCTCCCCAATTTCGGCTCTTTATCTATGAACTGAGTGATGCAGTAAGACAGCTGCTGGAAGTAGTTCCCTACAGATTTAGGCTTGTGCAGCGGAATCAACACTCTCCAAAGGAAGATCTTGTGCTCCTCTTTCAAAGGCAAAGCGAATCCGCTCACAATGCTCCCGAAAATCTCCAAAAGCTCTGCGATTCCGCTGTGCTTCTCCGTCTCAAACACAAACCGGTAGAAGATATTGCTCATGGACTTGCGCACAAACGGCCTATGAACCATGAACTTTCCGTACACACGATGCAGAATCGTCTTCAAACACTCTCGTTCTCTAGGATCCTCCGAATCGAACAAGTCAAGCAGCCTCACAATGAAGGCATGGTCAAGATACTTCTTTGCCATCTTAGCATCGAGACACGGAGATGTGATGAACTTGAGCAGCAAATCGTAGACGATCTGCAAATGCGGCCAGGCAGGGTCGAACATTGGCTCGTCGTCGTCGTTTTCACCGCCGCCGCCGCCACTAGACCGGTAATTCGGAGGGAAAACCCTAAAGAGATTCACAGCACACATTCTACACATTGCTAAGATAGCTGGCTCGGTGAATCTGATAGACCCTGCGGTTACGAAATCCAGTAGCTCGAGCAATGTCTGCCTCTTCACGTCTTTCTCGATTGAGTTTTTACTCGGGTCGGAGAAATCAAATGTTACGCAGCAGAGACTGACTTTACTCACAAAGAGGTTTAATTTCTCCGAGTTTGGCACGTCCTTGAATGGTACCAACGGCTCGATTCCGGCGACCACGCTCGCCGGGAAGACAGCGGACGACATACGCTTCCCGGAGTTGGATCGAACCGGAGCTGAGCCGGTATTGGTTCCGGATCTCTGAGTAGGAGACGGAATCGGAACCGAGCTCGAACGAGTCAGCTCTCCTCCTCCGGACTCGGTTTTTGAAGACTTCCGAGGAAGTTTACTCAGGAATTGCTTGAACATTCTTCCCAAATTTTCAAAATTCACAAACACAATCAAAAGCAGTGATGAAAATTGGGAATTGAAGAAAGGCGAAGCTAGCTCAAATCCACATAGCAATTGATGAAAACGAAACGAAGAGCCCTAAATTCCCAGACTCGAGCATGGATCTGACAGAAAACCCAAAGAGAGGAAAGGAGAATATGTTAAAGAGATTTCCGTGGAATGTGGTTTAGATCCGAAACAAAAGGTTTCCACTTTTATATATCCCCCAATACTTGGAAACCCTAATCATTACCTGCTTTCTCCTCAAATCGTAATCTCATGATTCCATTCCAGTATCCACCACGGACATTCCTAGAGAGAGAGAGAGAGACAGAGAGAAGGAGCAGAAAGAGAGACCCTTTTGATTTGATTTTAAATTTTAAAACACAAAATCTGAATCTAGAGACAAATAATTCACCCACACACCAAAAAAAAAAAGTAAATCTGGTGGGGAAAGAACAAAACAGTGATCTTCACCGTTCGATAAAAAGGAAAGATAACGTTTTTGAAGAAAAACGAGAGTAGAAAACAGAGTTTGGATCGAGAAGTTTATGATCGTTGGGGTCTATTGATTGTTTTTCCTTTCTCGATTGCTGAGAAAAATGGCATTTTCTCGGCAAATTGCAAGGGGGGAAATTACCTGCTAGTTTTATTAATTTTAGTAAAAAAAAATTAAAAAATTCCTCGAAAAAGACAACGGCTTTTGTTCTGTTTAACTGAAAATATAATTAATTTAACATATCTCGCATGCAAATTACAGCGTCCGTTTGATAAGACGCTGACACGTAAATCCAACCGTTGGATTCACTGAGAGGAATCCTAAGTAAACCACCGGCCCATTTATTTTGAAGATCTAATTTACGTAAAATGGGCCTAATATGGTTTGCACACAATGGGCCTAACTAAAACCCATATACGGTTTTCCATATATGCCCTCCACGTCGAACCAGTCTCTAGAAGAAACTGTTGCATTTCATCTTTTTCGTTTGTCACCGAAACAGCTCAAAATTAGCTTAAAATTCTATCCATTTCATCCCCAATCCAGAGAGAAGCCTTAGGTTTCCTTTTTCCATTCCGCATCTATCTGCTCCGTTTGATTCAAAGTGAACCTGTGTTTATCTTCTTATCAGGTAAATTTACTCAATTTGCGAGATCTAATGGTTCGATTCGGTTGAGCCTTTTCTTAACTCGGTTGAAGTTTCTGTGTCGACTTTGTATTTCATCCATAATTTGTCAATTTTTCATTTTTTCTACTAGTTTGGTGATTGTATTGTGTATTTGTGTTGTTAAGATGGCTAATTATGATAATTGAGATGTGTGTTCTTCTACGGGAATCGCAAGGTGTTGTAGGATTCAATCGAACTGTGTTGAAAAAAAAATTGAATATCTTTGTATCCAAACAACTGTGATACTAAACGCATATCTTTACTTTTGCTTGTTTCGCAGCTGTTGAGTGAATGTTGCATATAGCTGTGGTTTATCATGACCAGTGATATGGAAGCAGAGCATATCTCTACCCATCTGGAGACTCTGAAACCGAATCCAGATACTTTTCAAGAAACGAACTTTATAGAAATGGGATCAAATGAGCCTCTTGCTCAGCATATGTCAGCTTCAGAAGAGCTTGTGGCTTCCACGAGTAGCATCCTGGAGTTGCCGAAAGTCGAAACATTTGAGCCAGAGCACACCTCTTTGCAGTCTTCTCTTTCGGTTGATTCTCAGTCTTTGATGCCACAGTTGCAACCTTGGTCACTAGCTAGATGCACTAGCCAAAGGTCATTGCCGCTGGGAAGGAAGCGGAAGACACCACCAGAGTCTACTCTCAGTGGCTCTGCATCCGAGAGTATTGATGCATCTAACAAGCGAGTAGAGCCAGTGCATCACAGACCATGGCTTGAACAATTCTATTCAGCAAGTATTCAACCAGCTGCTTCTCTTTCTCCGAAGACAGAACATCCACCAATGCTTGCTAAGAAAGTGAGGCAAACGGAACCTGCTTCCCAAAAATCTGGGAGGCAAGCGATGAGCAAGAAACAAACAGGCGCAACGAAAACACTGAATGAAGGAAACGAGTCTTTGAGATCGAAAATGAAAGAATCATTAGCAGCTGCCTTGGCTTTGGTTCTGGAGCATGAGGAATCTCCGAAAGAGAATAAGAATGCAGAAACTGAAGAAGCTATTGTTTCAGTAGCTGAAAGTAATGAGCCTGCCTCAGCTGAAGGCATCACGCCAAGGGATGAAGATTCTGAGAAGAAGGACGGCGATGGAATAATTTTGCCGCAAGAGACTTCCAATGACACCAAGATGAATTATGTTGATCAGTCTGATGTAGAGAAAACTCAATTTGACGAGGTTTTCCACTGTGATGATGTTCCTTTTAGCAGTAGTATCTTTTCGAGCGATGAGCTTTTACAGGGTAATGGCCTCTCGTGGGTTTTGGAACCTGTTTTAGATCTTGCGGATAATGAAACTGGTGGAGAAAAAGCGTCTGAGGATCCAAACCTCTTGGCATCTAGAATTGAGTTGGAACTGTTTAAGCTGTTTGGAGGTGTGAACAAGAAGTACAAAGAGAAGGGAAGGTCTCTCCTGTTCAATTTGAAGGACAAGAACAATCCTGAGCTAAGAGAAAGTGTCATGTCCGGGAAGATCTCTCCGGAGCGGTTGTGTTCTATGACGGCTGAGGAACTTGCATCTAAGGAGCTTTCTCAGTGGCGACAAGCGAAAGCAGAAGAGATGGCTGATATGGTTGTCCTGCGGGATACAGACGTTGATGTCAGAAGTCTGGTGAGGAAGACGCATAAAGGTGAGTTTCAAGTAGAGATTGATCCTGTTGACACTGTGACAGTGGATGTCTCTTCTGGAATTACCTCACGTAGTAAACCACGAGGCAAGAACAGATCGGCGAAATCATCTAACCCTGCCAAATCCACTCTGAAGAAAAATGATGAGAACACAAAATCCGACCAGGGAACATCATCTGATACGACTCTGCCATCAACCGAGGAGATTGATCCAATGCATGGTCTGTCAATGGATGATGAGATGAAAGATGTGGGATTTCTTCCTCCAATAGTATCGCTTGATGAGTTCATGGAGTCACTGAACTCAGAACCTCCATTTGGAAGCCCAGAACATGGAAATGCTGTAAAGGAGGAAGAGCCTGCATCTGAGAAGAGTGAGTTAGAAGTTGGGCCACATTCAGAATCTCCTAAGCAGTCTCCAAAGGAACCCTGTAAGAGCGTCTCTCCTACAACAAAACTCGGAAATAGTAATGTAACATCCCCAAAACCGGATCCTGGTGTCGTACTCGATGCTGATGTCTCCAAACCTGAAAAAGCACTTCTGGTTGATAGCTTAAAAGTGGACCGAATATGGGATGGTATACTGCAGCTTAGCGTCTCTTCTCTTGTCTCGGTCACCGGAATTTTCAAGAGGCAAGTCTCTTAAATTACCTTTTAACTTTTTATCTCGTGTTTGCTATTTGAAAAATCTAGTAAATATATTTGGAGCAGAGGGTAAAATCAAAAACTCATGATTGAATTGGGATTTAAGTAGTTGTAGACTTAATTGAAAATAGCTCAGGACAGGGAACTTATTTGTAGGATACAATCATACTGATGCTTGTTTAATTTGTTGAGGAAAAGATGGAGTGAGAAGGATCAAAGATATATATGTTTTAGGTATCATTGAACATTATTCCTGACTAGATTTGATCGTGCAGTGGTGAGAAAGCAAAGACAAGCGAGTGGCCAGCGCTGGTGGAGGTAAAGGGTAGAGTGAGACTCAGTGCGTTTGGGAAGTTTGTACAAGAGCTTCCGTTGTCTCGAAGCCGTGTCCTAATGGTATATATAAAGTTTACTAGCTGCATTATCATTGTAGTAGCATTAGCATTAGATTTATTCAGTCTCTTCTTTGTTACTACTACTACGAGCACCAAAAGATCCACGAATCTTTATCTCAATATTGCAAGTCGTTTCTCACTGCAGACAATAATAGGCTTCTAAATACATGGAACCCAGAAAGCAAAAGCTCACGGTTGATCTACATGTGTGAGACAGGACCGGGACATTAAAGACCATGATTGACCAGAGAATCATATGTGGATTGAAACCGAAATTTTGTATAAAATTCATGAAATTTTGGATGGCAAATCACTTGTAGATGTATTGTTCGGCGGCATTAACTGTATAGGATATAGAATCATCGAAATCTTACCAAGTACCTTTGACAAGACCATAAACTCCAGAGTCCAGAACATACGTGCAGATCATGACCCAAAATAGAAACATATTTTGTCATAGAGAAAAAAAGTTTCTTACATGCATTTTTATCTTTAGTTAATCAGTGTAAATAAATTATCCTGATCCGATTCTCTTTTGTTTGGATTGCAGGTAATGAATGTGGTTTGCAAGGATGGTATCTCTCAGAGCCAACGTGACAGCCTTTTTGAGGTATTAATAATTGCTATTTTAAACAAAAGCTCATATATCTAATTTCGGTCATAGTCCTTCTTTTACTGCACAAGACATTTATAGTATGCTTTAAAAGTCTTTGCCTTCTCCTTTCTTTTCTTGGATCAGGTTGCCAAGTCGTACGTTGCTGACCAAAGAGTTGGTTACGCAGAACCAACCTCAGGCGTCGAGCTTTACCTCTGCCCGCCACGTGGAGAAACCTTAGATTTGCTGAGCAAAATCATCTCCAAGGACCATCTCGATGAGGTCAAGTGTTCAGACAATATTGGATTGATCGGCGTTGTTGTGTGGAGGCGTACGGTCGCATCTCCTAGCTCACGCCATAAGCCAGGATCCAAACGTCAGCACTCTTCTTCAGGCACTAAGAGCTCTGTGTTGGCTCCTGAGAAGAAAAATCCTAGAAGTGTGAATGTTACGAATCATCCTCCTCCTCCTCCTGTTGTTGCTGTTGCATCCGTGAGGATTCATGGTTTAGGTGGTCTCGTTGGTGATGAAGACGACTTGCCACCTGGATTTGGCCCTGTAGCTGCAAAAGACGACGATGACTTACCGGAATTTAACTTCAATGCCTCCAGTGGACCGGTTGCTTCTTCTCCCCGACCACCTCCTCAGTCCCGGTCGATGGATCAAGTAAGGGAGCTCATACTCAAGTATGGAAACTCAGCAGGTAGTGGTAGTAAACGAACATGGAATAATCATGACGATGATGACGACGACGACATTCCTGAATGGCAACCGCAAGTCTCAGGCCCCCAGATTCAACCACCACCACCTCCTCCTCCTGGCTTCAAAACAGAGATGAATCCTCAAATCCATAGCAGAACCGTCGCCAGACCATCGGATGGATGGAGAGCCAATCAAAACGACCCTAGGCAACAACAGTACAGTGCTCGTAGGAACAGAGGATTTTGATCTCTCTGGATATCTTTGTTTTTGTTCCTCTCTGTATATTATACTTTATTAGACTTCTCTATCATCAGTTCTCTTTTGTTTGTAGCTTTTCAATAGAAATGTAATCCTTTAGAATAATGTTTGTCTTTAAGCATAAAAGTTTGAATTCAAGTAACGCAACGCAACCAAAGATTTGTACAGATTGTTTCCAAGACTACGCTCACAGTTCTTCAACCAGCTAAAGCCCGCTTAAGCGCGGACTTCTGGTCGTTTGTCAACCTTGTCGGAAACTGAACATCGAATTTGATCCTAAGATCGCCTCTAGTTCTCGGTTCTTTAGCTATAGGCATCCCTTCACCAGGAACCACAAGCTCATACCCTGGACTGACGATCTCCGTGACACCAACGGACACATTCCGACCATCGAGCGTGTCGACATTAACAGTTGTTCCTCCTATTGCCTCTGCAAGCGTCACACTTCTGCTTGTCATGAGATCATTCCCATCTCTCTTGAACAAATCATGCGGCTTCTCGTCGATCACAAACACCAAATCAGCTGCTAACTGATTCACTTGCTCGTTTCCTTTGTCAGGAAACTTGATCTTGGTCCCTTTCTTCCATCCTGGTTTCACAACAATCGTCAATATCTCTGTCTCTTGCGCCTGTCTCCTGCACAAATCACCAAATGATACTTAAAAACAAGAAAAAGATATTATAAAATAAAAAAAATAAAAATAATAAAACTTTGTTTACCCGTTAGCATCAACAATGGATCTAGAGATCTTCATTTTCCTAGTTGATCCAGAATACAATTCTTCAAGGGTACAAGGCAATTTACTCTCAACCGGTGGAGGTTTCTTAGGAGCAGTCCCGTCGCTGTACGTTCTGAATATATTGTTATCGCTTCCGTTGTTACCACCGAATCCACCAAACATTCCTCCTCCGTCTGATTGAAACCTCGTTGACCTTCCGGGACCACCGGCTGATCCAAACCCAAATGGACTACTTCCAAAGAACTCTGCAAATATATCTTCTGCGTTTCTCGGGTTAAAACCACCGGCTCTTCCGTTGTTAGACGCCGTGCTCCCTGGAGGAGGCATGTCGCTCAAACCTTCTTCACCGTATTGATCATATACCGCTTTCTTCTGCGGATCACTCAGAACCTGAAACATTGCCTCATATGATTTAGAAAATGTGGTTGAGGAGTTACATTTTGCTTATATCCCAAGAAACTCATCCATATATTCATTAGGTTAATTTATAATCCAAAGGAATGGATCTCAGCTTGACATGTATGAACACAGAGTTTTGCATTTTGCGGGATCTATGGGATCATGGGGGACGGAGATTGGAAGATGAAAGAAAATGGAAAATGACTTGCCTCATAAGCCTCAGAGATCTGTTTGAACTTGGCTTCAGCTTCGGTTTTGGAGTTAGGGTTTTTGTCAGGGTGCCATTTCATAGCTAATCTCCTGTATGATTTCTTGAGATCATCCTCCGTTGCGCTCTTGTCCACTTTCAATATGGTGTAATAATCCAAACCCATCTTTTTTTTTTTTTTTTTTGAATATTGATCTTCCTCTTT